TCAAACGAGGTTTCAGACAAGGTGCCGTTAGTTCTGCTTTTTCCAGGCTTGATAAAGAAACGAAGCGAATGGGTCAAGTAGTGAACGAGGACAAGACGAAATATCTTCGTCATCAAACAAACAGTCATCGCATTCGCGACTTGGCTCCGACGTCACTGTTGACAGTCGTAATTTGGAAGTCGTAGATAGTTTCGTCTATCTAGAAATCAGCATCAACACCAACAATAATGGTAGCATAGAAATCCAGCGAAGAATCACTCTTGCCAACAGGTGCTACTTTGGATTGAGTAGCATATAGTCCTCTCACGACGAACGAAAACCAAGTCCCTCATCGTTCCCGTCTTGCTATATGACGCGGAAGCATGGACGATGAGCGAATCAAGAAGCAGCGGCTACGCTGGCTAGGTCATGGGGTCAGGATGGATGCGAATATTCCAGCTTTTCGATGCAGTACCCGCCGGTGGCAGCATGAAGACCTCCCCTCCGCTGGAAAGACCAGGTAGAGAAGCAAGGACCTGGCGCAATGTTGTTAAATTAGTATAAGCGCGTAATCGGTGTCCACGTCAGTAAAGTAAGTTTTCCAAGATAAGGGTTTGCTATAATGTTTCAAAAATGATTTCGGGTAAGTGACCGCACTGACTGGCAGCACTTGGAGTCGTACTGTATGTAGTTTAGACTTTGCTGCAACATCTTAAGATCGCTGCATGCCACTCTTAAAATTGAAGAAAGCACTGAAGGAAGAAGGTTTCAAGATCAATACATATTCCTGGAGAAAACAAGGAGGCGACTTGATGCTCGACGTTCAGCGCGTATTGAGTTTATAGAGGAAACACTTCTTCGGCTTGCACGAGCCCCAATCGATAAAATCAAGCTGTTTATATTATTTAAATATATACACTATAGTTTTTGCAATATCAATTTCAGAATGTAAATCTCTCTTGCTCTTTATGTGGGGACCACACTTCTGTAGTAAATACAAAGAAGTTCGAGAAAAATTCAGGGGAAATGAAGAGACGTGTGGTGGATGTTTCAGCCAACCAAGGCCGTGTGCCGGGCTCTTGAATGTGGGAAATAACAGTGTAAATATTTTTACATAAAATATTATTTACATTTCACCGTTCATTTTGGAGAATTTAGTTGAATCTTTGTATATATGTGTGTAGATATGAAGAAGACATTACAATAGTATTTAAAGGCCACTAATACATGTGAGCGCCGGACAGTTACTACAATCAGATATAATGAAAATATAAACAGTTATTGTCATTATTTGTGAAGAGAACCAACCAGAGCTGATTTATTTATAAGTGTGTAAATTTAAATTACAATAAACGAGCGATAAACATACTAAGTGGATACGCGTTAGTGCAAGAGCAGCGAGTAAAGTTGACATAAATTTCAGTTTGAAACTTTTGATCATGAAATGCAGTAGATCCTTAAAAATAACTGTGGAAAATCAAAGATAAACCGTGATGTATGCATACTCGTATTTAACCATGCAGACGCAGAGGCCATAACAAATGCATTACCAAATCAATTGTTCTCCTCCTGCGGTGCATCGAGTTCCCAGAAACGTGTAAGAGAAATATGTCACTACTTTGCAGGATACGCTGAAGGACATTATTTATTTTGCTTAGTTTAAGACAACTAAATCTTTCATGGCGAAAGGTAGAGCCTTTTTCTTTTCACTATTTATTTTTCCTGCATTTTCTACGCAGTTACAACTTGTATGTATATACATATGTATGTGTGTTACTAGTGAGAGATTTAGTATATTCTTAGCACAAATATGCATTTTAATACCTTCCCAAACTGTTCTGACCTCGTCAAACGACGGCCTGACAGCGTAACTGTTTAATGAATATGCAGTTGTATTAGCCCGGCGACCTTTTGGTTTCAAAAATACACACATAAACACAAATAGCCAACAAACATACAAACAAATATACCTGCACATGGGATATGTGTTTTTAAGGATATTTACGATTTTTGTTTGAATGAGAGAAAATCAATTTTGCTTGTTTTGAAAGAAAAAAGTATTTTAGTTGAGACTTCTTGTTTACGTACCAGCACCATTATGTTGTTGTTGATTTTCTCTTAACCAGGTAAATAATACATTTTCCCACACTCTTGCAAATGGTTAATACATTCCTGCGTACAGTGAGATGTAAATTAATTAAATTTGTACATTAAATTTTCTTTATTTAAAATATCTCTAAATATTTTGTGAAATATTTTTCTTTTTCTAAATTTTCAAAATTTTTGGCAAATCTAAATAAAAAAAAATATTAAAGTAAATAATTTAATACTCGTACATAAAAATATTAAGAAAAAATTCGCTTGGTACATATTTTTTCAAATTTTTATTTTTATGAACATTTTTTATTTATTTGTTTTCATAGCTTAGTTTCTTATATATATATCTTTAGCCACTAAAGTTATTTTCGACTGTTGCGCTCCGCCTAAAACTGTCCACCTTGATTTTTTCCACTGAAAGAGAGAGTCCTAAAGTTCATTCTAAGCCATTTCCGAGCTGCTTGGCAGTAATACTTAATTATTAGCGACATCTAGCGAGTTTTTTAAAATATGTATATTTGTGTTAGAATTACAATCTCTAAAAAGGCATAGAAAATAATCAAAGTTTATTTTATTTTCATAAAGATATAGCTAAAAATTTTGCAGTGTGTTGATTTCTTACGCTCTTCACTGTATGTATGTATGCAGTAATGAATCCAAACAACTACCTTCAATAAACGTACAAGGGTACATATTATCCGTGTCGATTTTCAAATACCAGATGTTTAGTTTTAGCACTCTCTCTTCATATTGACCCAAACTATACAATCAAAGCCTTCGTATTTCATTGAGAAGTTTAAATTTGTACTAAGTTTAACGTAGGTTTTAATTTAGTTTATCTGTAGGCTTGTAAAACCGTCTTACCCTTTGTGTGCGCGTAAATCCGCTTTTCAGTTGATCTACGCTAGGTCCTTATCTCTCTCATACTAAAGCGAACACAGATCTCTAAATCCTTCGCTGGGCTGGTTAATCCTGGCAAATTCTAAGCTGCTTGAACTATTCTCCTACTTAAGGGATAAACTCTCTCATTGTTAAAGGTCCATTGGTAGAGGTGGTTTGTGTCACGGCAACAAAAAGATGCAGAGACAAGTTTTATGTCAACTTAAAATTGTTTAGATTTGTTTAAATTATATTCATCATTTTCAAAGCAAGCAAAAAGGGTCTAGCTTTTTCTAGTCTCCCTTTACTTGCATGCTTTATCTTAACCTGATGTATGACACCTTCCCACCAAGCTCAACATCCGAACGATGGATGGCTTGCCGTAAGGAACTCACTTTATTGCAACTTTGATATACTCTCAAAGGGAATTAGGGTTTCTCCCTACTCGATCGAGACCGCGCTTAGAAAAAAACTCAATAATTTTAGATTTTAGCCTGTCAAGATTCCCGACCTTCTGCGTAGTATCCAGCTCGACTCCAGGGACCATTAAGCTATAAAAAAATTGTCGATGAAATTAAAAAAAGGCACAAAAATTTCCCACACTCTCCTATCGCAATATGAAAGGCTTCCGTATACTTCAAAAAAATTACACCTTTTAGCATCACCCCCACCGAGTTCTGTGTATTCCATTTGTTTCCTATAATTTACCATTAAAAATTTGCACTTCCGTAAGGAGGATATAATACATGACGTATCCAAATGAAAAGGACATTAAATTTGATTGTGTACATACATATTTATATATATTGAACTATAGACGAATCATTTGAAAGGAATTCGGCAGATACCAAATAAGTGGAGTAACAATAAACAAGAAGAATGCATTTCTGCAATATTTGTTTGAAGATTTCTTTCTGATTAAATTATTTGCTGCATGAACAATAGAAATTTGTCTGCAGCGTTTCTACAAACATGAATATATATGCACACTTTTATCTATATTGACGCCGCATTGTTTTGTCATTACTGTTGTAACACGATTAACAAGAGGCCAAAACAAATTTTCCGAAATTTTTTAAGTCTGCCCTTCAGACATTATATAACGAAGGCCTATTGATAAGGCAAATTGACACTGAAAGATAACACAAATACAAGTATAATAATTTTTCATGCTGCTTATTTGTTTGTATGTTGTTTGTTGTTGTATTAGTAATACGCCGCCACAGTAATGGACGATTTTAGGTAAAAAAAATGATACCGGAAATGTTTGGGGCTATGTTTTGGCTGCAGGTGCGCATTGATGGGTAATTTTTTGTTGTTTTGTATTTATGTAGGCATTCGCCAAAGTTTTATCGCAGGTATTTAACGCACACAGTATTTCACTACTCTCCTGTTATTGAAAATTTGAAAAGTTCGAAGGTAGAATGCTCTGCAATTGAATGTTAGTAGAGAACTTGTATTCTTACAAAATCTCTGGTGTTAGTTTAAGCTGTCAGGGCATAAAATCCTTAAAATATGCCTTTACTACAGTTTAAAAACGCTTTCAAATTAATTATATGTCCATAAAACGCTTTCAAACGAACATTATGCTCCCTTCAACGCCTAATTATATGCAATAATTTTCAATTTCACATTACAGTTAGCCGTGACACTTTCTTTCAATTTTCTTAACCAAAATGAAAAATAGCGGAGCTGCAAACCATTACCTGTATTTTCTCTTTTATTTATCAACCGCCGGATAACGTTTGAGCATTTTATATTATTTCCGTTTGAGTACATTCTGTATTTCCGACGAAGAGAAAATGGCAGACAAAAGCAAAATAATTAATTTTATATAAATATATATATTTTTCTATTTATTTCTAAAAGAGAAGCAATGCTATAATTAATTAAATACATTTTGCCTAAATTTTTGATTTATTTATATATTTATTATTGAGGACCCATTAACGCAAGCATGTTATTTGCTCTCTTTCGTTGATAATGGCTACACACAATTGCGACATTTTCTGTTTACATTTACCTTTTTATCATTTTAAGGCAATTGTTTTAATATTTTCGCATTTCTTCTCTCTTTCCGTTTCGTGAAAACAGATTAATAAAAGCGTGAAATAAAAAATTCCATAATATCCATGTCCGGCGGATATTTTTTATAATTTTACGCCATGGAACTCTGTGTTAGCAACCCTCTTTGTGCATGAATTTCGCCGCCGATTAGAAACTGAAAACAATTCAGTAAATTTTGAAAAGTCGTCGCGAGTGGTTGTTTTCCTCAGCAAATATTGGTTGTGTTATGAATAAGTTTTTCGAAGAGGAAAAAAACGTTATTGGAAAGGTAAGACAGAGTAAGAGGTGTGCGGTGTACCAAAATAAAGTAAAGAAAAAACTGACAAAGGAGAGACAATAACAACTACATATGTACATTTGTATGTATTTAGCCGGCCGCGTCCCGTAACCACGTTTTGTGTGTTTTTTTTTTTGCTGTTACCATTTGTGTTGTTTGTGTATATGTACGCCATGAGTAAAGAAGACGCTTAGAAAAGGAGACGGCAAAAAGTAAATAATGATTTTTTTTTATAACAATTCCAACTGGTATTTTAAGCGTATTCGGACATTTAATATTGATATTTATTTTTAACGGCTGTCGTAATCGCAAAAGTTTTTTTTTCACTTTTTAAAAATGATTTAATAATGTAATTTAGAAATTGTTGGCATGATGACCGGCTGGATGAAAGCAAAGTGCGGAGCAGTGTGCATGTGTATTTCTTGACTCGCTTGACAGTGTTTGTAACGGTCGAGCGGCAAATGCGGTGTCGGAGGCGGTGCGGTTGGCGGTTCGCAGTGTTCTCAGCGGTTTTTTTTTCGATTACGACGCTGGCGTTAGCGGCGTTGATATAAATTAATTGCAAAAGTAGCCAAGCAAAATATAAAAACACCACAACAAAAGCAAAAAAATTGAAGTCAACGGCCAAAAATAAAGAATTAATTGTTGATTGCAACTTTTTTCTTAAATTCGCTTATAACGAGCGCTTAGTATATAATTTCCTTTTTTCCTTATTGTTTCTCCTTAGCACTCTTTTCGTCTGTTAGGTGTAACGAGACGAGTCATTAGTACAATACATTGAGTGTAGCCTACCTACAGCACATTGGAATTCGAACCATCAAGCTGTACAGTTTTTGTTAAATAAAACAAAGGAAAATAAATTTAGAGGAAAGAGGAAACCGAGTACAATTTTTGGAAATTTTCCACCGAAACGTTCGCTGCACTTACGTTGACCGTAATAATATTATATATTGGTGATTTCACTTTGTACATTCACACGAGTACAAACGTTTATTCATACACACATACACGTACCTATACATATTGTGGGAAAATCGAAAATGGTGCTGACGAACTTCGAGTGTTGGGCACATGGTGGTGCAGTTATTGGTAACGATGGAATTCCGCTCAATTCCCGGCACATGGATATGTTTAATCCGCGTTTGGTACAGCAACGGCTAAATACCGCTGCGGATGGCACATCTTCGGTGTCGCATATTTCGTCAAATGGTTATTATGGATTTTCCTATGTGAATGCAGCACATGAGCTCACGAACAACAACAACCCAGCACTTACACAAAACGCCAACAATAACAACACATGTGTGCCAAATGCAAATGATGTCAATGGCATGCCTTCGATGATGCACAACAGCATGGATGTTGGCGTTTCGGTTGTAGGCGCTGCCGCTGCCGCTGCCGGTGCCGGTGCTGCCGGTACTACTGTATTTGGCACCGGTTTAAATGCCACACAACGCTGTAAGAAACGCTACTTTGTGAGCGATGATGATTACGCCAACTGTGCGTTGCTCAACGATTGTGATAGTGGTGTCGCTGCTGCCGCCGGTCTCGATGTGTGCGCTTCCAAGCGCTGCCGCTTTGACGATGACTACGCTGCCGCGCAGTATTGTAATGGTAATTTCATTCACCTCATTCTTTGTTAATCTTCTTTTTTTTTGTTTATTTATAACTTTTTGTTTGTTTTTGTTTTTCGCTTCTTGTTTGCGTGTGTAAGCTTATGTGTGAACTTTTTTATTTTCATGACTTGTATTTATGTATATTGGCCGTTCCATTTACTATACTGCATGAAATGAAATTTTTTTTGTGAAAGGGAGAGGAGTAGGAGATTCTTGTTTTTTTTCACTATTGCATTGAAGGTCAGTGGAGTGATATATATGTATATATGTACATATGTATGTACATATATGTACATTAATTTTTTTGTTAGTGTATGAAACTCGGGTGCTGCAATAAATTATACAATAATACTTTCGCACATTTTAATGTTACAGTAACCGAGGGGTATGCATATGTATGTAAAAAATTAATTAATTACTCTCTGTTATCAACAAAAAAAATATGTTAAACTAACAAAATTTGATTTTGCTTAAAATGAATAAATTTTAGTTAAATATGTATATGTACATACGTATATACGTATACACAAATATCATTTCACTTACAAATTAGAAAGGAATACATATATAAAAATGTTCTTCCAAGTGCATGACAATTTTCATTGTATATTTTTTAATATTTCGCTTATACCATTGTATTTCACACATTCACATTTATAAATATGAAGAATCATGGAAAATTACCAGCTCTTAACTTAATATGCTATTAAAATTATAGGCGAATTTAAGTTACAGCACCATGTATTACATAATCGTGTTGTTAGCCGCTGTTAGGCTAAGAAGGCCGAACAATTATGTACATATGCACATATATATGTATGTACATGTGAAGAGTTTGAAGAGTTTCGAAATTTAAAACCGCTGCAATTAATAGGCATACAAAATTACCCAGCGGACCATAAAGTCGGCAAACAAATTATTAAAGTCTTACACACATACATACGTGTATGTATAAGTATGTATATATATACTCGTACTATAGTGATGAGCAATCAGAAAATTTTCAACTCGAAAATTAAATATTTTCAAACATTTTTATATGCATACATATGTATGTACATTGGCTAATGCTTTTAAATAATCACAAAATGTCTCAGTTAATTTGTTTTTAGCTTTCGAGTGTTTTTAAGAAACATTTTCGATGAATTTCTTCTTATTTCGGTTTTGCTTTTTGTTTCCAAGTGTAAAAGTGAGTTAAAAAAAGTAAAAATAGCTACTTATGTATTATTTAAAACAATATATGTATTTAAAATCTTTATATATATGTAGTATGTGCGTGCGTATGTTTGTATATGCAGTATAAATCTATGGATATATATATATGTATATATATATACATCTGTATGTGCGTATGCTTGATTTAAAAATTATTTTATTGTCTCGTCTAAACGTTTTTGCATGGCTGGAAATACATTTGGTTTAAAAACAATTATATACAGACTGCCATACATATAAACACCACTAAATTCATACCTGTGATGAGATCCCCACACAAAGAAGAAAAAAATCACATTAAAAAGATCTTTTTATTTTGTTTGTATTTTTTATTTGTTGTATTTTTCTTTTCCTTTTTTTCGGATCGTGAGCACATGGTTGACACAAAGTACAAAAACAATAATTATAGCAGATAGGGGAGGCACGACACAACACGTTATTGAAAATGAAATGATAAGATGTACATACATACATATATGCATTTGCGTACGCTTGTAAACACACATATATACAATCATATAAATATATGTAAATATGTATGTAGCTTGGATATTTGATTAGCATACTTATAATTTGGCGGTTTTATCGTTGCATTTTATTTTGTCTGCTATGAATTTAGAACAAAATAAAAATAGGAAAAAAGTGTGCAAAAATGATACAGTGTATGTTTAAAAATTTATTCAAAAATACATATTTTCTCCGTTTGGATCCTCAAGTTCATTAAAAGACGTTAGTACACTTTTCTCTGTTATTTCCTATTGAAATATCTAACAGATAGCTTAATGTTGTTAAATATTATTTTTTCTTTGATTTTTTTTTTATTCATTTAATTTTATTTAATTATTTATTTCAATTAGTTTTATTCTGTTTAATGTTATTTTAAATTAAATTATTTTATATTGTTTTATTATTATTTTTTATTTTACTTCGTTTGACTCTAAGTTTTATGTTTTATTGTTTCTTTGCTTTTTTTGTAGTTTATTTAATTTAATTTAGTACTATTCTCTTTTATATGTTATTTTATTTTATTTAATTTTACTTTATTTCTTTATATTGTATTTTTATTTATCTGATTTAATTTCATTTTATTTTGTTTCTTTTTCAATTTGAAAGTGATCGACATTTTTTATATATTTTCTTTTTACAATTTCTTATGAGCAGGAACTCAAATAATTAACTTTTTTTCTTTTTATTAATACATTTATTATATTTTATCACATTTATAATTAATTGCTTATCTAGAAATGCCTTTAATTCGGGCTGTATATCTACTATATTCACACATTAAGCTCACAAAAAGAAAAATATAGTGTTTAACGTAGATTAATTGATAAAAAACGGGGAAGCATTTTGATTTATTTATTGCGATACAAAGCAAGCAAGTAATATATTATACAAACAAACATGAATATACATGTATACATATGTACATATGTATATACCTTGAGTAGAAAACAATAATTTTTTTTTACTTTTGTTAATTTTTGTCACTTTCTAAATAAAATAACCTCATAATTCCATATTGGCAATCCGAATGACATTGTACTTGCATATCTGTTAATTCGTTTGTATTGTCATAATTAAAACATCCCATTTTTGTGCACTAACACACGCACATGCAGAAATGCACATTGATTGACTGTCACAATGGAAATTAGCATGACACATGCAAATTCACAGCTTCCTCTCCGCTCTCACGTTTCTCCACCGTTATGTGCACTTATGCATTGACGTTCAATTAAATTTGCAATTTTTTTCTTAATTTGAATGCACTTTTTTTTCTTGTTTTCTTATATTTTACAAAATTCAACGGTTGCATTTATATATGCCTATATATATATATATACATATATGTGTGTGTGACTGCCTCAATTGGCCGCTAATTAATTAAACATGTGCGGCGTACATTCTTAATGCGACCGGTATTTTCAAGCGGTCGACTGCGTCGTTGCTATTGACGTTGGCGCAAGAAAAGCAAAAAAAAAGCAATAGCAAAAAGTAAAGAAAGAAAGACAAACAAACAGAAAAGCTGCTCGACAACTATTTGTTGTTTTTGCTTTTACAGCACATTTATTTTTATACATTTGGGTCACGCAGCGTCAGCCGACGCAGATGTTGAGTAGAACAGCGAGCGGTTAGTGACAGTGAGTCAACGTCGAGCTGCAACGACGCTGTGTTGAGTGGACGGCTCAGTTCAAAGAGGCACTCGCTCCAAAGCAGGTCCATTATTTATGACCAAGCGAATTTAGTAGGGGAAAGGGGTGTTTTCATGAATTTCAATAAAAATGATTTTTTAATTTGTAGTTGAATTATAATTATGATAAGCATATGGAAAAATGAAAAACCAATAGACGTATCTACACGTACATATGTATATTTTTTATGCACACACGTCTAACTGTAGAAAATCCTTAATTGACTACTTAAGGTGTTAATTTGTAAAAATATCTATTAGTTCCTTCAAGCATGTCACCAAGGATTTGTGCGTCTGTACATAAGTTTGTTTGTACATGGCTTGGGTTCAAAATAAATGTACAACTGTGTGTAGAAAAGCTTTCTGACAACCTGTATCGCTTATGATTATTAATTATTGATTTCTATATTAGTTTTATTGTTTATTTGCTTTTAAGGTTGTTTTGTATATATGTGTTTGTATATATATGTATATGTATGTACGTGCATGCTTGTAATTCTCATCACCTCCATTTGTATGTATTGTCCCATTGCAGATTTTTTCTCACTACCCTCAACGCAAATTGGCACCCAGTCTTGTCTTATGGACACTGAAGATGCACAACAACAACAACAGCAACAACAACAACCAGCAGAAGCACCACAACAACAACAACAGGTAGATGTCAATATGATGGGGGTCGCCGCAAATTTCAGCAATCAAACAAGCAATACAACAACAAGTAATATACACTATACTATCACACAGCAACAGCAACAGCTACAACAACAACAACAGCAACAGCAAGTAATAAATACTACAAATTATCAGCCACCAAATGTAGCGGCGCAAGCACCTCCGGTAGTTGTATATCAACAACAACACAATTATCAAGGTCACTTGCATCGCGCCAATCGGGATGTTAGTCGTTGTTTATTGTCGCACATGATCTAAATGCAAAGCATAAACAAATGAAAAAAGCAAAAAAAAAAAAAAAAACTAAAAAAAAAGAATAATGCATAAACATATCGCTCAGCGAAGAATAAAATTTTTATCAAAACAATCAGTTATGACAGTATTTACATTTATGTATATATATACAACGTACATAAAAAACTAGAGGATTAAAAAAGTTGGGTTATGTTTCGAAATGGTTTTAAATTTTTGCAAAATTTCTGAAAAAAATCCAACGCACAACGAATACATGAAATGCGCTTTTATTATTATTCTTTTTTTTTATAATTAAATTCATAAATACTGCAATATTGAATTAACTTTGAGTACCTTTACGTAATATAAATGTGTTGATTTTTATTTTATTTTTTTACAACTTTTAAAAATATTAATATTTTATAAGTCACAAGGTATAGCCAAAACACCTCAATGCAATGCAATACGAAATGCCTATTTACATACATACATACCTGCTTTGAAAAAATATAAAAATATGCAAGATAAGGAATATTTTTGTATACGTACATACATACATTTGTACATGTATAGACAACTTTTATTTCGGTTGAATTTGCTTGCAATAATAATTTTATATGCACAAACGTACTTAATTGCAATCGGTGTGAAATGGATTGTGAAATTAAATGTAAACCACACATTTACATATACATATGTATATATTGAATTTGTAAATACGTATGTTGGCTCACAAAAAATAACAAAAATTTGAATTTTTTGCGCCAAAATAAATGTATGCGTTATATGCCAGCTCCGGCAAGGCAAGTAGGCCCATACAAACATACATACTTACGTATTTAAATGTGTAGTATATTTGATGTGTAACCGTTTGAACTGTATATACATACAAACAATATGGCAAATGAGTTGTACACATTTCATTTTCTTAGCTGAATATGTACAACAACTACATGTTGGCGAAATGTGGAAATGTATTCATGTTCTTATGGCGTGAAATATGTATATAATAAACTTATACAATTGATAAATTTAAAATTATATTACTAATTAACTTGCGTGAGCTCAGCAAAATGAAGTAATAATATCGAAGTACTATATAATATGTATGTAGCAATATTTTTCTAAAAAAAAAAAGTAATACTAAACAAAACGTAGCCAAATAGAAAATATTAATAAAAAAAAAGCTATGTAAATGAATATTATATAAAATATATATGAATTTGTCAATAAAGCATATTAGTGAAAATTACTTATGCCATTTATTTGCAACTTTAAGTGTGATAATCAAAATGTAGTATTATCTTATTATTAATTTTTAGTTAATTATTATTAAATATTATAATAATTATGCTCTTTTTGACCAAAGGGGCACTTCTCTTTGGCCCAAGCACGTTCGCGGCTACAAGTGACTAACATAACGATTGGTTTATGTATGTATTATTGCTTTGCTCGGTCACTTGAATTTGTGGAAGTTGACTTTTTGACACTTGAAAAGTTTTTTATTTTGTAACTTTTTTGTAACAACATATTTTCAGTCGCTGCGCTCATTTTATAAACATACACGCATATGCACATTTTTAAGTTTTTACACAAAATCTTGCCTTCTTTTACAATTTCGTCGAATTGGCATTTATACTGTTGCTGTTGTTCTTTTTGTCATGCTGTACATTTAATTGAAAGAAAATACGTTTTATACAATCGGAACTATTCACAAATACATACATGCATACATGCCCATCTAAAAATCATAAATTATATGCAAACTACTTTGGGCTCATCTTAATTTGTCTCTTTCTCTATATCAATTCACGCTCTTCTCACTTTCATTACAGGAAAACGCAATTGGCGAACCATAAATTGTGATAACTTTTTCATAAATCAAAATGCAACTAACCAAAACAACCAACAACACTATAACAACAACAATCAAGATGTCAGACATTTGAATGGCAATGCAGCAACCTACAACCCAATGGATTGTGTGGGAAGCGACAGAGTTGAGCACAGCGTGAGGAGTAGTTGTGAGGGTGCTGCTAAAGATTTTCGAAACAATCAATTCGGAGTAAATAAGTCTGCAAAAGAGCAAACATTTCCACTTAGTCAAGCGAAGTTCCCTGCATTTACTAATGGTCATCACCACCATAGTGATAATAATGCCCCGCCTGGAGCGATTGTTGGAAACAGCAATAACGAAGACAGCGCTGGCATAGCAGCTTTGTATGCAACAACACATGGTGGGGCATTCTATCAATATACAGCGGACAGTGGTGGCAATCAGACGTATGTGGAGGATATTTGAGAGAATTTGTTGAAGGCGTAGCTACGTAGCTACCAAAGTAATGTCTTTTTAGTGAAAAATAATTACTAAATATATGTAAACATGACATAGATATTTTCCTTTGTGAATTGTTTGGAATTCATATAACGATTTTATTAGTTGGTAAAACTAATTAACTATGAAATTTAAATAAAAATCTATCTTATGAATTCGTAATATTTTAATACATCAGTCAAAAATCAATACATGCTATTATACAAATTCATTTCATTTGAGATTGTTAAAATATAATCACAAAACCTATTTGTTGTTGCACAAATAGTCGATAAGAAATTCAAATTGTGCAAAAGTGAATCATCCAGAAAAGACTTATACGTTCCCGGCTTGAGCACTACGCTCTAAGGGTTTTCAAATTACTTTATTATTATTATAAATTCTTGTACATACATACATATAAACATACATATATATATGTAACACATTTACTTTAGATCAGAAATTACCGAAAGTGTCCGAAATACAAAAACCAACAACACCGGTAAACGTTTACACTTAGTATATTTACTTTTTTAATAATATATAAGAAAATCTATATGTAAAACAGAAACAATATGAATTTTAGTTAATTTTAACTTATTTATAAACTAAAATTAAAAAAAATCAAAATCCAAAAAAGAAAAATGTATTTGAATTGGATATTGTCAACGATTTAGTGAAAAAAATGAATTTATACAATTATACCTATAAATTAGAATAAAAATGAATTGTAATTAAATTAACGCGACATACAGAATAAAAGCCGATACAATACATAAAAAATCATTTTTTTTACATTAAACTTTAATAATTTTGACCTAATAATTATTTTGTAACCTTTTCAAAATGTATAAATTGTAAATTTTTAAATTTCTTGATTACATTTTCCCATTGTGAATAAAAAATTGTTAGAAGCATTCACAATGATACTGACAAAGCAAAATTTCATTTGGTACACCGAGAGATGACGCTGCAATCACGTTGATTCGCGCTACAAAATGCTACCGGAAGTGTCAAACAATTTAAGTGTAAGATTTCATTACCATTCATTATATTGATTAATGATAATTTTAAAAATAAAAAATACTACGAATGTGTGATAAATTAAGTAGCTGAAAGATGTAGGCTGAAATTGTTAACGTAAGTGGGCTTAGCCAGAATTTGATGTTCGTTGGTGGTAGCAGCTAAAAATGGGGGCACTTCGTGGGATGAATTATGACAAAAGGTAATTTATTTTGCATAATATCTTCTCAATTGATGACAAAAACAAACAAAAAACCCGCCAAAGCCGATTAAAAAGTGGCGAGAGTCCGGTCAATAAAACCTATTGGTATTTAACTATGAACAACGCTATGTAGTAAACGGAATCATAACGTTTGTGCATATTAAGCTGGCTTTGTAACAGCTGTAGCCATTTTCGGCCGAGCTCCTCCTCCAATTTGTAGTTTTGCGTCTTGATGTTTTCCCAACAAAATGGAGGGACCTACAATTTATACTAAGGAGCCTTTCATACCATAAATACACTCCGAGGGTTTGGCATTCCGTTGCATTTAATTTTATTGAAATTAAGTTTCTGTAAATTTTTGGATATTAGTACTACATCATAATTTGAAACCGAGGCTTCCGAAAGGCAGTACCCAGTGCTAACTACTCGGCTACCGTAGCCGCGTAAGTGATCTTAAAGTTGCTCTCTGGAGTTCTATAAGGGTTATATTATTAAGTATCTACATTCGAACAAAACTCGCTTTGGAACTTTTTGTATACAAAACTACGAGCTTCGTTAAGTAATTGGGATCTTTAAAACAAGTTCAATCATCAGCTAACAACAAACTGGTGGGCAAGACGTGAGTTGGTCTAACACAGACGAATAATCCAAGAACTACTCCAATGCAACATTGAGCCACACATTTTTTATATAGTAAACTCACTATTTTTTCTCTGTTTTTCATCACTGCATACATATGTATTGTACGAGTATAACTACATGGTGGGAACGTATGCACATGCACACATATGTATTTGAGCATACCTACAATGCAACCCTTGTGAAGGTTTAGTAATTGCAAAAATGCAGTTTTCACTCACCCTCCTTCATAGCTGTAATTCACATCAGATCTAAAGGTAAGTTTAAATATATAGGTTTTGGTTGTGTTCCTAAAGTTACTCTGGCTTCTCTTCAGTTGTCGAATAAATCTTTCGCCTTTTACTAAAGATTTCCGTGGAGAGGAGCACTCTAATGAGTCTATGACAATTTTTGAAAAGGTTTGTGACCAATTGGTTGCAAGCCGCTGAGAAATACATTGGAGTGTTAATTAAAATAAAAAGACAGTTATTTTCGGTTTATCATTAAAGTTGTGAAGAAAACTTAAAAAAGGTTATTTTTCGACGATCATTCGCGCTCCCCAAGAGCATTAAAATAATTTTATTTAAAAATTTCTTAGTGTTAAAAATACTACTTTTAAATATGTACAAAAAAAATGCATAAATTGGCAATATTGGCATTATTGGGCTTGGAAATACTCATCTGGTTGAAGCCCTCGAAGTGGCAGCATACATATTTGCTTTTTCTTTATCAATATAGTTTTCTTGCACATCTTTCACCATAAAATCAACTAAATTATTAAGATCGTATTTATGTTGCCAACCCCAATCACGGCGAGCCTCAGAGTCATCAAATACTTGCGGCCATGAATCGGCAATGTCTTGCCGACCATCCGGTCTGTAGGTTACATGCAAATTGGGTACATAGGTGCTTAATTTCTCCACCAGCTCTTCGGGTGTGAAGGACATCGCAGTAACGTTGTAGACGCGACGTTTCAGGCGATCAGATGGAGTACGCATGAATTCCAAAAGGGCACTGAAAATTATGTAAAAAGAGGCAAAATTGTTATTGTTATTTCTTTTATGGGGAATATCTAATGTTTTTTTTTACCGCAAGCAATCTTCAATGTACATCATTGGTAGACGCGTATCTGGACGCAAATAGCAGGTGTACTTGCCAGTGCGCAGAGCTTCATGGAATATGGCGACGGCGTAGTCTGCAAAAGAAAATAGGAATATCTTTTAGTTAATGACAAATTGATGAGGTTGTAGTAGAAAATGCGTTGTGAATTATTTGATGATTTTATAAAAAAAAAATAATAATTAAAAAAAATTTAAATAATATGAAATAACTAAATGCAAAACATGAAATAAAACAAATTAAAGCAAACCTATAACTTAAATTAGAAATTAGTTTGAACAACCAAAATAAAGCGCATTACATTAAGATAAAAAACTTAAATTAATTAATTAAAAAAAATTAAAGTCAAAAAATTAAAAAATAATAATAAATTAAGAAATATAATAAATTAAATTAATTTAAATAAACCAAAACAAAATAAAATGAATCAATAAAACCAAAATCACACAAATTTAACGAAGTTTAATTATATAAAACGATTATTGGATGAGTGCATAAGTTCGTGCCCGATTTGAAGTGCAAACTATTGTAAAATTGAAATTTTTTGAAGAAAGCGCTTTTATTAATCAATTATGTATTCGCCATCATGTTCGGCAATCCACTTCCAACGTTCAACCAATTTACGGATGCCTGATTCATAGAAATCGCGCGGTTTCTCGTTGAAAAAGGTGTCAAGGTGGTTTTTGACGTCCTCCACATTTTTAATTTTTTTCCATTCAAATTGTTCTGCAGCGATCGAAACAAATGATAATCAGAAGGTGCAATGTCGAGTGAATATGGGGGATGCGGCATGATTTCCCAATTCATCTCCTTCAGTTTGGCCAGGGTCGCCCCTATAATTGGCAGCCCCTACAATTGGCAGTGTGATTACCTCCACAATTACTACATTTTTTCATGGTGGCATCATCTTTGTTTGACGTGCATTCAGACGTAGGATGTAGGTCCCCACATGCTACGCAAACACTGCGCAGTGTGCAGTAAGATTTAGTATGGCCGAATTCTTGGCGTGTGTGTTTGTGTGTTTTTCTTTGTCTGACTTGAATTGGGCTCTAGTTCTACCTTAAACATTGGCTGGGGCACTTTATTCCTATTAAGTATGTTTATGACCAATTTGATTCTGAAACCATTTTACCATTTTCTTCAAGAGCCTCTTTTTTCTCAGCTGATTTGACTGAGGATTCGATACCTTTAATTACAACTGTTAGGCCATTCGAGCTCTTCAATTGATATGAGTAATAATTTTTATTACTCGACGAAAGAAAACTTACTATTTGCATGAAGCTTTTTTCACAGCAGATTTGAATTTTTCTTTCATCGATGGTACATTTTTTTAAAGGCACAACGTGAAAGTTATTAGTGCCGACTATTTTGGGAAATTTTATTAACTAACGTGCTTGAGACACGTTCGCGCAAGTAAATTGGCGGTGGTTTGGCCTTTACGCTGTCCTCACGTAATACAGCAAATCCGTTGCTAGTGGAGGGCTCTTGGCTTTTTACATTATTTCCACTCATTTGCACTACTTTGTTATTGGTGTTCTTAATAGTACTTGATTTCCTCTTGATATTTATATTTCGAACTAGTCATGTCTGTATTATTGTATTCTTTTTTATGTCATTGGCCTTACCGCTTGCCGGTTCCTTTTCATTTGTAATGGTGGACGATTTCCTGCTGGGTGTTTACTTGCTGTTACCTTTTCTCTCTAGTTTCTCTGCCGACTTCGCCGTCTGTTTAGCGCTAGCTGAGTACTGCTGAGAGTCTTCTGCTTGCATGTTGCTTTCTTTTGCCGTTGTTTGTGTTGGCGTTGTTTGCTCGAAATAAGAAAAATAGGCATTTGAGAGCCTTCGATCCGGCGGGTTTAGCCGCGACCCCCTCATTTTTGTTTTTGTACTCACAGAATAATTTTTTTGTTTATTTCTCTGTTTGTACTTATTGTTTATAAATATTTTGTTGTGTTATTTAATTTGGAGTTTATTATTAGTGGTTTACTTTTTTTAATTGTTCTTCAGATTACTCTAAAGGCACGCGCTTAATTATTTGAACTTTTCACTATGGCTTTTATATTATTTTATTTTATTTTATTTTTATGAGCAGTGCTTAATTGCTTGTGTGCTCTAACAGCTCTGTCACATATATAATACAAAAATAAATAAATAATATAAAATATATAATCGTCATAAAACAAAATAAACTTAGATAATAATAAATGAAATAAATTAAAATAAATAATAAATTAAAATTAAACGAAATAAAATAAGAACTTAAAATAAAGTAATCAAAAGAATGAAATAAAATATTTTTGGAAAATCTATCACTTATCTTCAATGCCGTGGTTCACACGTTTTGAGTTACATCTACACTACATAATTAATGTTTCAATGTATGCATGTATAAACCAAACTCAATTAATTTTCTAAAAGTATTTAAAATATAAATTATTCTCCCATATTTTTGCAATAAACTAAGCAGTTTTTCAAAACACATTTTATCTTTCTTATTGTGGAAATTCACATTCTTATTGTCATTATACGCTTAATTCAAAAATGCATACGTATATACATACATACCCAGCAGTATATACTCACTAATTGAATTGGGTTAAACTCATCATGTGAGAAATTGCATGCACACACACATACATATTAACCATATCGCGATATCATCAATGCAGTCGCGCAGTATGCGCCAGTGTTTCGGGCCCTTTGTGCCGCTATACAATTATTGAAAATAACTCTACTTTTCTTCCCTTTGAAAATTGCGCATTTAATAAAGTGAAAACAATCGAAAAATGCCCACTTTATTCATTATTATTATAAATAATGGTATTGTGCTTTTGTTTACTTTGCATATTGAAATTTAATGTTTAGACGAATAAAATAGTTTCATAAAAAAAATTACACCAAAAAAAATTCGCAAAATATTGTAAGCAGCTGAACACTCCGGTGCACATGAATAGGACCATATTGCTAAATTTCTGTATGTAGTTAAGACGTAACGGGGCCGTGGTAAGGACCTAAATGAAGGATTATTTTACGAACTCACTCCTGCACTCCCCTAAGAAAAATAATTTATTCCAAAAATATTTTAAAAACCAAACTAAAATTTAGTCCGAAAATTGCGGTGCTAATTTTATTGCCTTCATCGATTTTCCATGTAGTACTAATCTCCAAAGAAAAGCTAATAAAATTCCATAAAGATATTCCAGCCATAAGTTGTGATTTCTCCTTTCTAAAATAATGGATCAGAAACGATTCTGTGTTTTGATTTTACGTGTATACTGCTTTTTAATGGGAGAAATACCATTCCAGGGAAGTGAAGGCTTGAAGAGTGGTATAAGCATTCTGCACCGCCAACAAAAAGTAATGAAACGTAGGTGTACTGGCTTCAAATGGGTATATAGCGAGTCCGATGTTGCAGAACTCAATGGCCGTCCAAATGAGACTATGAGAAACATGAAACCCTCATTTCACTCCGAGAACAAAACGAATGTCATATGAGTAGACAGAAACTGGTGAGCTCGCTTGCCAGTACAACATAACCAAAACTTAAGCTTAACTTATGAAAAGTATTGTATCATCACTATAAGTCGCCATTTTACTCACCAGTAGTACCGCCGCCGGGTGGATCGCTTGAAATGACGCCCGGAAAACGCAGACATCTGAAATCCAAACCAAATTTATGGAAATAATATTCACCCATTAGCTCGGCATGCACTTTGGAGACGCCATACATGGTACGTGGACGCTGAATCTACGAACCGAAAAATATAAGAAATGAATGATAAATCATATCTCATGCACTTGACAAATGTGCTTCTCAAAGCATAATTTAATTACGTAAACGAGGAAAAAAGTACTCACCGTCACATTCGGTGTAGGATTGCGTGGACTGTCTGGCCCGAATGCGCCAATTGTGCTCGGTACGAAAATGCGCAAATTATATTGCTTGGCGAGTTCAATGACATTATGTACACCCTCAATATTGACGCTGGAAAAATGAACGAAAAGTGGTTATGTCTTTGTTTAAAAATAAATGAAAATAAATTGCAAACGAAAATGCAAGCAAAGCTCAACTATTTTTGGGGAAGCAAAGAAAACGCAATCAAAAAAGTATTGTGACAAATATGGCAAACATATGTTTATATGTACACGTATGTAAACACAAACAAATTCTTGTAGTTTTGAATGCAGCACGCGATTACTTTGCACAACTATTTGATAATAACTTTGCGTGACTAAGTGAAAGTCTTCCTAAATTATGACAGAAAAAACGTTGAGGATGGATTTAAAATGACAGAAGTGATGTGCTGAGAAGATAAGACAAATTAACAGTTATATTGCAGTTATATTTATAAGCGAGAAAATATAGAAAAGACTGTTTGACGGCTGTCACAATAAGGATTCTGCTACAAGCTTGCACATACTGGTCACACTTATTGTCAAAATTTAGTAGGACATTAAATGTCCGATACTTACCGTACTGCTAACGGCACATTTTGCTCACCAATAGCACTCAGCAACGCTGAAAAGTGTATTAACCAATCGATACGATGATCAACGACAATCTTCTGCAGCCCTTTGAAGTCTAAAATATCCGCGAATATATAAGGACCGCTCTCGATCACCTCCCTGCCAGGTTTGATAATATCGGAGAGCACAACACTGTCGTCGCCATATTGTGAGCGCAAAACTTTGGCGCATTCAATGCCAAGTTGACCCAGACCGCCTGCAAATAGAAATACAGAGAATATAGATTATTGGTGTAAGACACTCTTATGGAATAAAAACGATCGTAGATAGAGCATGTACGCTCTGAAATTAAATTGAACATTTGCAGTAATTGCGTTGACTGTGATTTTATAGACATGTGGTTTTCAAGAAGGAATAAAACACATTTAACTATGCTCTAACCAAAAAAAGTCCTTCAATAAATGGATTGATTTTGATTGTTGTAAGTCATTTAGCGCCCTCTTGTTGCTAACAGAAGTCCTCCACATCAACGTTATCCAATTCAAGGTTATCATAGTATCGAAAAATTTTTTCATTAGCACACCCATTCAAACCAAAAACGAGCTTCATTGCGGAACAAAATTTTCGTTTAGAAACGTTTTGAGCCCATTCATCGAACGTGCAACCCGCTTGATGATGATTTGGCTTCATTCCTTGACGAGTTCGATTTTGTAAGGCGGCAAACCAAAGCGTGCCGCAAAATCTTCCATAAAGCGTACGGGCTCAGATTCAATTGTTGCGTGCGATGACAGATAGATTCATTTTGGTCTTCTTCGATACTCTATTCAACAGCAACAATATCGTTTTCGGTGCGCAGTGTAGGGCTTCTCTGAGGAAGCGTGTTATCCACTATAGTAGACGTCGTGCGAACACGATGCATGGTTTCTCGAATTGAAGTCCCAGGTGACCATTGGTAATTTATTTGCCTGATTAAGTCTCTCCATTATGAAATGCCAAACCAATCAAGTAACAGCTGTCAATAAGACCAACTCCAAAGAAGGGTTTAAAAACACCCTTTATAATCTAAATTACCCTGTTTTCACTAAAAAACACTTATTTCAATCAACCGGCCATATTATAAATAAATGGTCAAGGCAAAACTTTTTTTTTTTTTGGTAGACGCACGTTTGGCACGTTTCACATAAAATTTTTGGTTTCATATATTCAAACATACATATATGTATATCTAAGTAGTCTTCCGCATGCTATTTGGCATTGAGGCAATTTTCCGCATTTCGAAAACCAGCAAAAACATATTTAGAATATTTTTAAATATAAAATTTAAACTAAAAATTTCGTTGCTTTTCAAATTAAATTTACGGCATAAATTTTATATATCCGTAGACATTTGGAATATAGTTTTGTATGCGTAACCGGTTAAAAAAATTAAAATACCGCCACTAACACTCACTCTCAATCTATAATTTGCTGAAAACTCACCGGTGATTAGGATTTTCGGTGGACGACTATTGGCTTTACTGTGCGTGGGGCGTTCATACAAAGATTGGCAAAGTGTCGGCCTCGAAGAGCCAGCAATGTTAGCAATTTTATTTTGCACAAAAGTCGCTACACATTTCCTAAACATTTTTTGTTTTTTTTTTATAGAACTACTTTTGTTTCTCTTTAAATATTATTTTTCAATTACTTTTTTTCCGCATTAAATATTTATTAAATTATCTTCAATCTACACAACACATCGCACTTTATTTTTATACAATTCGGAAAATGCTTTAAAGTCAACGGCCAACACCGGCCGTCCCGATGTACGGATATCAACTGACATCTTTTTGCGATTATGCGATGTGGCTGCCTTGATTTCTGCCGAGCTTGGAAAATTTGCGACTACGAAAAGAAGAGATATTAATTGAAAACAACGAATACAGAACTAAAAATTTCATACGTTCTTACTTTCGCTATTTAGAGGAATCAACAAATTTGTTTATTAGCAACATAAATAAATACAGGGTGGTTGCCATGAGACTTTTAATTCGTCGATCGATAAGAGAAAGGGCGCCGATTCGTAAAAGTGATCGTCCCTTCAACACAGCACATTTGGCACTGTACTCAAATAGCATGTCGCCTGTGCTGTAGAATTTACTGAAGGTGGCCTTTCAGTGACAACCTTGGGCACCTTATGTGAATGTCGTCATTTCAGAGGTTAGTCTTTTAGATGGATAGCGAAGCTTGTCTGTAAGGCTGTATGGCTTACTCAAATCTTTATAAAAAATCTTGAAAAGTTTTGGTTTGCTGTATTTGAACTACCTTTTATTTGAGTATTGGACGTATCACTGAGCTCAAGAATACATAGATATGTATGTATGTGTTATGTTTATATATGTACTTTGTATTTGGAGATACCCTGCAAGGAATATGCAAAGTTAGTTCTCATAATGAATACAGTAACCGCCGAGGGAAGCTGAGGAAGAGGAAGACCTCCACTCCGTTGGAAGGATCAGGTAGAGATTATACTGGCTTCATTTAGTTTTTTCAACTGGGGCCAGACGGCGAAAAGAGGAGAGGATTGGCGCGCTAATGTTGATTCGGCTATAATCGCGTAAGCGGTGCCAACGCCAATAAAGTAGAAGAAGAGGAAGTTATCATAATGGCTCACAATATTCTTCAGGATCTATGTTCTTCTGGACGGCTTACGCGATTATAGCCGCGTTAATAATTAGCAAGTATCAAGAAGATCCCTCTCTACCTGATCTTTTCAAGGCAGTGGAAGACCTGCTCTTCCTCAGCGACTGTAGATGAATGACGTCAAAATTGGTTAATGATAGTACGAAATTTTCAATTTTGTTGACCAGTCTAATTACAATAAGCTCTTTCTTAGGGACACAAGCGATTTTTCCTCAGACGGGTTTTTCTCAAGTGCTTTTTTAACTTGCTTCCAACGCGTCTATTTTTTTTTTTTTTTTGCTATGGCGCTTTTCTACATATTTGTTGTTTTAGTAATATATATGAATGTGATTTTATTTTTAAATCAACTAACATAGTTTTTGGAAAACTATTTTGTACACGTGCCACATACATACATTTCAATACACACGTCCCCTCAGAAGAAAATATATATATCATATTGTGAAATTCTTAATAGAGGTGAGAGCAAGAAAGTAATCATAAAATGTGTAGTGTGTCCCACATATCTTGATTTATCGAAATTTGCATCCAAAACCATACTAAAGCTGTGCGCGTCAGATGTTAATTAACTTCATTGAAATTAATTGATAATGAAAGCTTGACCATCACCCACTGTAACGGTGTGTCGTCATCAAAATTTATACCGTTCGGGTCAGAATGCCGAGTTATTTTTACACAACCTACGCAACCTTTGGCCAAAACTGCAACGAAAACGCATCTAATAGCAATAAATTTGGTTTTCCACACATTTGAAATCAAATAGATATCAACAACAAAAAAACGAAATTAAATGATGATATAGACATTGAAGCCCCTCTACTACCCCCAAAATCATCATCATCATCATATATTGTACATATACTCCGATATTCACATATTCATAATACATATGTTTTGGCCAATTGCCAATTGCTTTTATTCACTTTTCTCTAATCATTTACTTTGTAGATTCAAAAAATAAACGCAAAACACTTTCTTATTCAAAATATGGTGCACATACATTTCACATACATATGTACAGTATGTACGTTATTATTTTAGATTTAAAATATCACGTCATGCCATCGTACACACCCCCAAAAATAATATAAAAAAAATCCCAAGCAGCCATTAATTTCTCTTTTGTCTGTCTGTCTGTCGACCATAGCCTTGAAAGATTCTTACTCTTTATTACTTAATTTTTGATTAAAAATAGCCTTGCAATTGCTTAAGAATATTATATGTAAGCGAATATTATTACATATTCTTCTTTGCTCCGGTGATAGCCAACATGTTCAACAACTAGCCGTGATTTTGATCCAATAGCGATTTTGGTAGAGAGGAAGCGAGTTTCCTTTTCAAAGCTTGGTAAATAAATTTTGAAAATGTGAAATCTGATTTTGTCGTTACGCTCGGAGAGAAATATGAAAGCTCGCAATAGTCAGAGAATATGTAAACTATACTAATAATAGGTTATAATGAGTGGGCCAGCACCCCTAGGCAGTCTCGCATTGATGATAGTGCATATACTTCTAGCATTGTTAATCACAATTTTGAACTTAAAGAACATCTAGCAAATGGAAGAAAGGTCCTCAAACTATGAGCCTTCCACTAAGTCCAGGGTGCTTAAAAGCTGGCATTCGCTATCTAAAGCGTTTAAGATAGTTCGTGGTATTGTTTATTTTATTTTATTAGGTGTACAACTTTGCTTCCGCCGTTTTTCGATAGGTGGCTGTACCGGCTGAGGCTGGTTGAAATACATAGATGATAATGCCTTTAAAGTGAGTGTGGACAGTGCCTAACGAATTGTCATCGCCGTTTCAGTGACAGTTGTTCTTGTTTTCGTATTATTCACGCTCGAAAATGTCCGTTTATGTGCCTAATTCTCGCCATTTGCGGGAAGTTTTACTTTTCTGTTACNTATTTTATTTTATTTTATTTTATTTTATTTTATTTTATTTTATTTTATTTTATTTTATTTTATTTTATTTTATTTTATTTTATTTTATTTTATTTTATTTTATTTTATTTTATTTTATTTTATTTTATTTTATTTTATTTTATTTTATTTTATTTTATTTTATTTTATTTTATTTTATTTTATTTTATTTTATTTTATTTTACTTTATTTTATTTTATTTTATTTTATTTTATTTTTTTTTTTAATTTATTTATTTTTTATTTCATTGTATTTTAATTTGTTTTATTTTATTTTATTTCATTTTGTTTTTTTTTTCACTGAGACACATTTTTCTTAAATGTGAAGCTTTTCCGCTTTTTATTTTGATTCCCCGATTTGGGGACTAATCTAAATTTATGTTTGAACATTTATTTTAGGTATGTGTGCAATTTCCATGCGGATGAGAGTGAAATTTTTTCATACAACAACCGATTAAAAACAGCAACAAACTGTTACATATCAGTAAGCGCACAATTAAATAAGTAGACATGTTTGTATACACATACAAATGTACGTTTCCAGGCGGGCACGCTTTTAGTCGTAATCACAGCAAATACACGTTAAAGTGTTGGAAGTGCAAACTTTTATTTTCTTTTGGAAATGCCTAATTTTCATGGCTGAGAGCACAGGGACAGGCTTTCAAAGTCGTACGCATTAATATTTAAGCTATTTGAAGGTATGTATGCACATATGTATGTATCTACCTGATACTCACTACCTATTAGTTAGTAGATGATCTCTACCTTGGAGCTGAATTAAATTAAATAGTGAATGCGTAAAGTAATGAATATAATAAATATTACGTTGTTGTTGCCATTGAGAAATAGTTAAAGTATATACTCGTATGAACAGAAATTTGTATAGGTTTAATAGAAAAGCAAGTTGGGAGATATCTTAATGAAACAATAAGGCTTCGTAAGGAAGACGAAAATTAAAGTATAAATAAATTTAATAAAACATGCAAGTATATATGTATATATGTATGTATATATATATGCTCAAGTTATTTATTTAATTTTTTACTCATTATTTAAAAAAAAATATTATTTTATCAATCTTAAGTTGTATATTTTGAAAAGTACTTTCCTTTAAAATATGTATTTAAACCAGCTCATAAGGTTTCGTTAAGCCATTCAAATATAAAAATACATATGTACATATGTGTATACTCGTCAGTGCAGGCAGCACCTTCGCGACTATCTTGACTTAATTTATGCAAATATTAATGAAACTTCTTTGCAATAAAACCCACACATAAACCAACCCTAAATAAAAGAGTTTCTGGTGTCAAATCCCAACATCAGGTCGTCACACTTGAAAACCCGACCAGATGGCCCACAACCGACTCTGTACTACAACCACGCACATGCGCATACACTGATCTAGCACAATATTTTTAAACACGAGACATTACGAGTATTATCTTTTTTTCAACTTCAAGTATTTTGGAAGCGCATTTAAATTTACAACAAGTGAATTTTCAAAAATTACCGCAATTTTGGAAAAGCTTTCGGCGAGGTTGCAGAAATAAAGAAAACAGACAGACAGACAGCCACCACGTATCTGCTGCACTCAAATTTATTCGCATTTTGAGTGTGACGCATCCAAGTGTAACCATATCGCACTCAACACTCGGTAGATCATGAAGGAACAACAGCGTCGACTCATTTCTGGCTCGTTTTGTTTGATGATTTTGTAAAAGCGGGAAGCAAAGTTGCACTGAAAAACATCAAACTGAATGGTAGAAAAAAAACGTTTAAAAGACAACTGAAACGTATTCTTGTAATAATGGAAACAAAACGAACCGTGAAAAAGTGGAAACTGACGACGAAGGTACCAACACTCATTTTCCTGGGTAATAACTGCGAAGAATTTCAAATTCATGGAACAGTCGCTGCGCGCACCTCAAACGTTACGGTTGGAATTCTCCAAGAAATAAAAGTGTATTTTTCAAGAAGCCAATGACTATGTATTATATATTGCGGTACTAATTATGCAATCACAAGCGAGTGCAAAGGATATATGGATAAATGTATTAAATTACTTAAACGTTTAGATATACTTTGAGCTACTTATAATCCGTATATTTTGTGTTGGTATGGAAAACCGAAAAATTTGCCTTTTACAAAGCGCATCAAGCAAACAAAAATCGTCGAAAGTGAAAGAAACAATTTATGATCTGTAAAATTTATGCAACCGTGCAAGTATTACGGTTTTCTTTTATTGCTCTCGCCGTTGTTTTCAAAAACCGCTTTGAAGCAGTGTTTGGCTACATGGAGTTGATTCAGATGGAGTAAATAAAAGCTGTGGGCTTTCCTAAATGTGTCAGTGGGTAAATGTTGAGATCAATAAATTATGTGAGAAAGTGTTTATGATTGTGCAAATCGAACAAATTTTACAGTTATGTGAAATAAAGTATTTACACTTTTTAATTAAACATTTATTTTTATAAATTTAATACAAAAAAAAATAGAAGATATCAAAAAAAAAATTTACAAACTAATATAATAATAAAAGACTTCCACTAAGCTAAAAAATTCACCACAACCAACGAATTCACCGAAGGATATGAATTACTTATGGATTTGCTTATAAGTCATCTGAGTATATAAAAAGTAAGTTTTGTGGTTTCTACTTATCTTCTAAAATACAAATAAAAATAAATAATTTCATGGAAAATTAAATGTATTCTTATTATTTTGACGCGAATAAATTTTAAAATTTATAGTTTTTATTGTGAATGCACTTTTGCTGAGCGTAAAATTTCCTAAAATATCAGCGTAAGGACGATTTTTTTTAGGTCAATAATTTATATATAATACTTCGAAGTCTTGAAAAGTGAAACAGTCACACTAGAGCTTCATATTTTAATTTTTTTTTCTCCATTTGTCAAAATTTATAGATATACGAATTATTGACATGAAAAGACATCAGACTTCGTGCTCTGCAAGAATCCATGAAGATTCTACCTATAAAACTATGATAATTTTAAGGAAAAAAAAATTTACGTGTTATTTTTAAGGGCAAATTGTGAACGCCCACATCCAAAATTCCTGGCTTGAATGGCTATTCTTTTTTTTTTAGTAAAAAGTAGTTCATTTTGGCACATAAATGCGTTCGGTTAGATTTTGGCTAACCCTAATGTTTATATATCATAAACTTTTACAATTTTTTCTTGGTAGACTTAATTGATCTTAATTGACGTAGTCAGCGCTTACACGATTATAGCCAAACAAACAATAGCGATCCTTTTCCACCAGATCTTTCCAAAGTAGTGAAGAACTTTCTCTGCCTCCACCAAGGTGTACTGCATCGAATACTTTCAAAGCTGGAGTATTTTTTCATCCAACCAGACCTAACCAGTGCCTTTTAACTCACTGATCTTTATCAATGTTTTATTATATCTCATCCAGTTCTTCATTTCATCGCCTATGGGGTTCGACGTCGCTGGTACATAGAAATCCATATCAACTTTCCCTCGAAATCTTAAAGTATCATCGCCTCTTCACAATATTGTATAATAAGACGGAATGATAAGCTAGCTTGATCTTTGCTCATCGAGAGAGATCTTTACTCTTCAGTGGCCTACTCAGTCCAAAGTGTCACCTGTTGATAAGAGTGATTCTACGTTAGATGTTCAGAATCGCCTAGTCTGAAAAACCATTTAGTATCGAATGGCCCTGTGAAATATATCCCGATTCTGACTAAGCTTTGAAAGTTAAACAGCGCCCATTTACTTAGCAGTATTAGCTTTCGGACCTCCCTGCGGGTTATGGGTTCAAGAATTTACCTGCGGTAAGGCATGCTCCGCGACAGTCGGGTCTTTATACCGGAACAAACCGGATTTTTTTCCCGCTAAGGACTGTCACTCCCGCAACATTCCTACAAAAAGAACTTTAGGGAATATTTTTGCGTTTACAACAACAACAAAATTAGCTTGCGGAGATATCAAATTCATTCATAGGAAGATAAAAGCAGCTTCCTTTCGGGCTATCGAAGCCTGTTTTAAAACCATGCCTGGTGTTGGATCTACCAGATGTGTAGTAATCTGTACTTAACTCAAATTTAAAGTCCAAAAACTTTCATATCAATTCATCCATTTGAGACTAACGACTGCCTGGAGTCCTCCGTTGGTAATTGTGGTTCTGTTGTGAGGTGTCTATGAGTTCGACTTGATGACTGGATTTCCTCTTGAGTTCTAAATGTAAAAGTTGCAGTAGATATTATAATATTGCACACATATGTATATACTTATATGTATTTGTAAGGAAATGTATTAACATACATACGTACATACGTACATAAGTACGAGTATATGAAAGCATCCAACATAAATTGGCATGACCTGATTTTCGTCTATTATTGACATGTCTATCAGTATTTTGGTGTTTTGCAAAACAACTGCAGTTATGTATGTATGTATGTACGCACATAAGCAACTAATTTTATATGCACACTTGAGCAACAATACACCAACTATATACAAACATACATACACACCTGTGTACTTAAATATTTCGGTAGATAAAAAATGCGATCAATTCGCATATAACATTTTCATCAAGTGAAAACATACCAACATACATGCATATGTATACATATGTACATATGTAGGTATGTGCACATACTGCTAATAGAGGAAGCTTAACTGATTGTGAAAGAGCTGGAAAATAACACAAAAACTGCACATGAAAAAAAATAAACCACAACAACAACACTAAACACTACAAGGCAACATTGTACGCCTGCGCAATAAGCAAATAACAAGAACAACAAAAAAAGAAACACCAAGAAAACATACACAACTTAAACCGAAACAATAATAACGAAACTGTTAACCGTTTTAGTTTTCCAAGATTTTGTAATAATTTTTTGAACGTTTCCACTTGCCACCCCTTGCCATCATAGCGCGGCAGGTGGTGCAGTGGTGAAGTGTTGTTATATGAATGTATACTATAAGTGACGCTTGTGGTTGAAATATTTATGTACTTCGACGCAAGCAGCGCAACTTAGATGCTCTGAACAGTCAGACACCTGTTTTTCGTATAGCTTGTAGATATGTGTAGCTTATGAATGCGCGCGATCGAAGGAAAACGTTATAGATATGTGCACTGGTACAAGAAACATTTGTTGTACATAAAAATGTACCACAACGATTACATCTAACGAACCTTGAAATTATTGTCGTCATATGCGCGTAATTTTCCTATTTTGCCTCGAAGTTTCACCACAATGCTATAGGGCTATTCGTTAAGAGTATCGAAATTCTAATTTCCTAAAATTTGTATCCTTGATAAATATTTTGTCCTTTGCTAAAACCATCGAGAATGTGGAACAACAAAAAAAGAACATAAAAATTAAGAAGTATATTAGTTTTTTGATTTTAACTATATTTTGTTTCATTTTATTTACTTTTATTTAATTTTTTTTATAACATATTTATTTCTGCTTGATTTTATTTTATTTTATTTTATTTTATTTTATTTTATTTTATTTTATTTTATTTTATTTCGTTTCATTTTATTTTACTTAATAATAAATTTTGATTTTAAATTTTGTAAAAATTTTTATATATTTATTTGTTTATGCTATTTTATTTTATATCATTTCATTTATTTATTTTTTGTTTTATTTAATTTAATTTTGGTTTTTAATTTTTTTATTACATTTCGTTTTATTTATTTTGTTTTTTTCTTTAATTTATTTTATTTTATTTTTAGTCTTTTTGTCTAATATTTTTTTATTTGAATTAAATTTATTTTATTTTAATTAATTGTTAAAGTTAATTTAATCCAATTCATTTTGATTAATGCAAAGCAGCATACCCTACAATATTTCTGTGGCTTGTTGTTGTTCTTCTATTATTTATTTGTGTGGCTTATTGTACTACATCTGCAACAACACCAGTGAGCTTCTACAGTGCGACAAGATGTTCCGTAATAAAATGTTCAAGTGTTATATATATGTGTATGTATGAGTGCTGGTGAAGAATTTGAATTCCACATATGCTTGTATCCCGATTTTTATCAATTTTTCCATCATAACTTTCTTCGTCTTTCACCAACCAGCGCCCGACGACATTTTTATGAGTCTGCTTTCAACCTTTCTTATTGTTGCTTTGGTTTTAATACAAAAGAAATTAATTGCTTTAATTATGTGTATTTTATGAAACCGTTTTTCGTATGCTTAGTGCGCAATTTTAATTATTTTTATTTATTTCATTTCATTTTTATACATTATACGTTTTTCCTCGTTCATTTCATTGAGCTAATTTCTTATGCGGCGGGTGCCGAACACAGCGCAGAACCTAACTACCAGGTGATATAAATTTAAATATATTATAACCGTACTCCTGTGACCGAAGGCTCCCCCTGGTAGAAGCACATGAAGAGGAAGATCTCCCCTCCATCGGAAGGATAAAATGAAAATTTGGCGTCGAACTGCGAAAAGCAAAGACGCCTGGGTACCACTGTTTACTTCGCTATTAAAGCGTAAGAGATCCATACGAAAATATGGAAGAGAGAGACTAAGACTGTTTAATGCGGGTAAGAGAGGATTTAAATCCTCAAAACACTAAATTAGAAACACATTTAAAGAAGATACTTCACACTAAAATCGGCTACGAATCCGAGTGGATGTTCGACGTCAGCTTCGTCTTCTGATCCTCACGATCTTGAATGATAAATTTAAATTTCTAACCTAAAATGCCAAGCAGCTCTAAATCAAGGCTTGCCTACTGATGGGGTTCTATAAGCAGCAGAGGTATTGCCATTCCCAGTCGATAGGCAACTTCTTTTCGAGATACCTTTTCCATCATTTTAGATGTTGATTTATGTAGATTTATGAATAAGCCTAATACATGGAAAGACCTCCAAATGAAAACCTTTTCCCTTCTTTTTTCAGAATGTGACCACTCGAATTGCTTAGTCAAAACACAAACGCTATGAAGCGCAAACGGAGCATACGCATACCTTGGGCTGATGACACGTCGCCACAGATGAATTATCACCGTTATAATAACAAACACAAACATTTTAGCGATAATCTAGTCTACGTACTGCGCTATAGATTGCTCTTATGGCTGAGCTTGGCCGCAGTCTTAACGATGAGTGTACAGGCCGAAGGTTGTCCACCTTCGGAGGCGATATTACCGTGTCGTTGCTCGCTACGCGGTAAGGAGATACAAATATGGTAAGTTATAATAAGACAAGGCCCTATATAGCGTTGCCAGCAGATTTTTAAATTTCTTCTCTCCTTCCCTCTGTCTCTCACTCTATCTTCTCTCCTTAGGTGTTCACACAGCAATTTGCCGCAAATAATGGACGGAATCAAGGCAGTTGAACGCAATATTAAAACTCCTATCGATGAATTGGTGCTGGAGAACAATCAGCTGCCCGCATTACCCGGTCGCTTCTTTGGCGCATTGCAAATAGTTCGACTAATGTTACGCTACAACAGCATTGAGCGCGTCTCTAACGGTTGGTTGAATGAGATGGAGAATCATTTGGTGGAAGTGTACATTGTGGAACCACAACTGCGTAGCATACCTGTGGAGAGTCTAAATGGTATGATCAATATGATTGCAATTACTATACAGTCTGACGAGCTGAAACATTTGCCTGACTTTTCGGGACTGCTCAGTCTTACCTATTTGAGCGTGCAGAGCGAATCGATAACAGAGTTACAACCGCATTGGTTCCGTCATCTGCCAAAGGTGCAAAATGTGCATATTAATGGTGGACCCAATCTAATACGTCTCGAGTCGGGCACATTCGATAGTTTAATCTCGCTGAAAAATATTGATTTGAGCCGCAATGCGCTCAATTGGGTACACCTACGCGCGCTGAGCCGTTTGCCGAACTTGGTTAGCTTGAAGTTGTCCTACAACGAAATAAGCGATGTTGGCATGGTGGGTAGAATTGTCAAGGATTTGGACAATTTAAAGAAACTACGTCTAGATCACAATATCATTAACATCGTGGAAGACGGCTCGTTCGTTGATCTACCACATCTCAGTGAGTTGCATTTGAACGACAATCGAATAACGGAAATTGAGTATGGTGCCTTCCTTCACACACCTATGCTAAAGACAATATATCTGCACAACAACCACATACGCCGCATACATCCTGAGTCATTTCTGCAAGCTTCTGGCAGCGGTGTCGAGACTGTTTACGCGTACAACAACGAAATCGAACACGTCAGCGAGCTGCGCTCTCTGCTGGACGCCTTGCCTTCCTTAAAATTTCTCGATATGAGCAACAACTACCTTACCGACGTACCCTTTGGTGCACTGCGCGGTCACGGCACACTAGAACAACTACATTTAAACAACAATCTTTTACGCACAATCGAACGCGATGCTTTGATGGCAATGCCGGCGTTACGGGAACTGCGCATGCGCAATAACAGTTTGTCCAGTGAATTGCCAATGCCCTTTTGGAACTTGCCTGGTCTGAAGGGTTTGGATTTGGCAGCAAATAATTTCCGTACGATCGATTCATATCTCTTGGCAGGTCTACCGTCGTTACGGCGGCTTGATGTAAGCGAGAACGGCTTGCTGAAGTTAGATCCCACCACCTTCATACACAATCCCATGTTGGAGACCTTAAATATCTCTTACAATGAATTGGTTAAGATACATCCGGCAACTTTTCGCAATTTAAATCGTCTTTTTGAGGTGGATGCAAGCTACAACCTACTCACCGACATCATACCCGGTTTACCGAAAATTGTCGAGCGCATTTCCATGCGCGGCAACGCCATCACAACGCTGCCCTTCTCCATTGGCAAGTCCTTAAGTCTGCCGAACTTACGTATGCTCGATCTAAGCGTCAACCGCTTGGAACAGCTACCAAAGTATGGCTTCCAAGGTATGCCACAATTGCGTGTACTCAGCTTGGCTAATAATCGCCTGCGCTCGTTGGACGACACCGCTTTTATCGGAGCTACCCGTCTAGAGCTCTTACATCTACAGGATAATGGCTTAACACACATTGACGAACGAACTCTGCTGCCCCTTGCCGAGCTGCGAAATTTCAACTTACAAGGCAATAAGCTGGAGAGCATCACCGATAATTTATTTTCGAATAATTCACGTCTAGAGCAGCTAGATTTGTCACGCAACATGATACGTACTATAGCGCCATCAGCCTTTGAATCGCAGCGCTCGTTGGAGTATCTTGATTTGTCGAGCAACGCACTATCCGACATCTCTGTAAGTCTATCTAATTTGGTCAACTTGCACGATATAGACTTGAGTTATAACCAAATAACGCGCGTGCAAGCCGATGTGGTGTCTTCATGGCGTAATGTCGTGGAAATACGTTTAGCGAATAATCTTATTGTTGAGCTGAAACACGGCACCTTCCGCAATTTGCCGAAACTGCAGTATCTCGATTTGTCTAGCAATGAAATTAGCACGGTGGAGCCGGGCGCCTTAAAACACCTGCCAGATCTGCAGGAGTTCGTTTTAGCTGACAACAAATTGGTGGAACTGAAGGATCATGTTTTTGAAGATCTGCCCAACTTGCTGGCCTCACATTTCCAATACAATACCTTGCGCTACATATCGCCAGATAGTTTCTTCAACTCGCCGTCCATGGTCTTTCTGAATTTGTCAAACAATAATTTCCACAACATGGAAAACATAGGACTACGTGCAATGCGTAATTTGGAGGTACTGGATTTGTCTACGAATGGCGTACGCATGGTCAATACGATGCCGCTGAAGTCCTTGAACTGGCTGGTTGAGCTGAAGATGGATAACAATCAGATATGCAAGATTCAAGTGAGTACTCATTAGCTTTCTAGCACTTAACGCATCTCAAGTGTGCCAATTGTCTACATTTTCAATTCAAAGGGTGGTCCATTTGAAACTATGCCGCGTCTGCGCGTGCTCTCGATGCGTAACAATCGACTGCGCACCATTAAAGAACGCACTTTTCGCAATTTGCGCGGCAATATCGCTATACTGGATGTGGATGGTATGTATATTTTCCCTATCGATGAACTACGCATATAAAAATGTTTAATCATATCAGGAAACCCCATAAATTGTTCCTGCGAAATGCAGTGGCTCTCTGTGTGGCTACAGGAGACCAATTTCCCATACCCTGGACCGAAATGTCAAGATGGCCGGCTGCTACGTACTTCGCGTATAGATCGCAGTCTCTGCAGCAATTTTGATGACACCAACCAACGCGCTGGTACAGCGACGGACAATAGTTTTAGCAGTGATAATGCCAATCACCTGCCGCTTTTAAACGAACATGGGGATGTTTTCCAACGTGACTTGCAGGAGGAGTTCAATGAAGAGTGCGAAGTGTATGACATGCCACCCGGCGAGCGTCCTCTTGCGGGCGAAAGTGAATACTTTTACGATCAATATGTCGATTATACACCGTCGAATGAGACGAGCTCGTTTGTTAGCACAGACGCGCCAAGTGTTAATGCAAATGCCGCAAGTAATTCAGTATTGAGTACACAGAAGAAGCCGCCTATTAGTGCTAACATTGATCTGAACAACACCATATTGAACACAAATTACTTCAAGAGACATCCACAACCGGCGGGCACGCAGGCCACATCGCCTTTCACATTCTTTGGTTATCCTATACCATCACTCAGCTTGGGTCGCTTTTTTGGTGCCGGCCAGCGTGGACGTAAAGATCGTGGCGAGAATACTAGCACTCCAGCGGCCAGACAAACCTTTTCGAGCTCGACCGAAAGTGGGTTGGGGACCATGCCAGCAACACATCGCATGCATACGCCGCATGGCAAGGTCCGCATGTACCAACCGAATAGCGCCGAGTTTGAGAAGTATCTGAATCAGCCCGATTCGCAGTATCACGATGTGTCCTCCAGAAATAAACATACTACTACAATAGCAACCAGCGCTGATTCCAGCTCCGATGAGACGACAAGTAGCGACTCGCCTAGCAGTGTCTTCAAGACAGCCTTTCGTGAACCGACCAGCGTGGAGCGTGGCGGCTTTCGCCCAATAATGCCAGCGCATGTGGGCGGTTTTATGCCAGTGCATGATCCATCGAAACGACGTGGCGTTGTGGAACCGATACCAACACCAACGAAATATGCGACGAAGCATACGGAGCGTAATTATATACCTTTGGTTCCAGTGCATTCAGATAATAACCAAGAAAAAACCAATCGGCAACCGAATTTAAGAGACTCAACAGGGCCATCACCAACAGTAGCGCTAACAACAGCCGAGTCAGCCAGCGAAGAGTTTGAGTCTCAGACATATTATGTCACTGAAAATCCCACTGAGTTGACGACGGACGCGCCACATATAACACCGCCATACACGCCAGCGACTACACCGACTACGTTCAGCTCGGTTGGCATGCAGAAGCGGCGTACAACCACAACGCCGAGCAGTTCGCACAGTTTATCACCTGCTGTTGCAACCGTAGCCACCACACCGACACCTTTTCACACTACAACTACCGACGCTCCTGCGAGCTTCACAGCGGCGACGTCCACATCGCGCCCCACTACGGTAACGCAAGCGTCTACTTATAATGCAGATGAGAGTGACGCCTTCGACAGCGCTCAGTTCTATGACGACTTGGAAGCACAGTCAGTGGTAATGCTAAAACCGCCGCCACTCTTACAGACGACCACAGCCGAGACGATATTGCTGATACCACCACCAGAGGAGCATGTTGAGCAGATTAAGCGCAACTCTTGGATATTGAAATCACCTACTACTACAACGGAGATTACCCCAAATAAGGGTAATAACGATCCAAGCGATGGCGGCAGAGCTAGTCTCGCAAGCGCCGAGCCAGCGACGACACCTTTCACCCCTACCAATTTATCTCCGCGGCAACCGCGTCCATCTGGTGGTCGATCCATTATCACAAAAGTGGAAACGCCGCAAGCAAATATAAATCAATACCTACCGACAGCGGAGGAGTATCATCGCACAACGCCACATAATGCCAATGGTTATGTGGGCGCTAGCGCCTCGGGAGATCACCAAGCTCTTCAGCAGCAGCAACAACAACAACTATTAGCAAATGCTCATAAACGCGACTTTAACGCGCTTGAGGCGATAGACGCCGAGACGGTAGATACCGCGGCGACTGCTTATCAGCAAGTAGAACAAGCGAATCGCAAAGAGGGCATGGATTGGTACTATGAGAGTTTTAAGAAACCGCGTCCGGTGACAGCGGCGGGTGGTAGTTTGCGTAGCAGTGCAAATTTCGTAGGGAGTGGTGTTGCTGAAGGGTGGAAGGTGTCACCTTGCAGGAACAGGCGGTTGGCGTACAGTTTTATGTTTCTTCTTGGGTTGCATGCAATTTTCTCATGAAATTTTTTTAGTTTTTACTTAATACAAATGATTTAAAAGTAGTTAGATTCATTCTTAAATAAATAAATGTAAATTATTATTATATTGTTAAACTTATTTTATTAAAATTTATAAGCATGTTTTTTTATTAGAAATAGTATTTATGATATGCAAAACATCCAATTTGTTCATTGAGGAAAAAATTCCAAACCAGCTTAGAGGCGGTTCTGTAGTGGTTTTAGTAGCATATTCTGGCTCATTTCGAACAGAAATGTACTGCTGTGTAAGATTTGAGCTTACAAAGTATTTAGGTTTGCATTGTAAGTACATATACACGTACATAAAAAATCCTTCAAGATAGTTCGTTGACCCCATCTTTAGATTATCGTTAGATAGATGTACTTGAGGTCTAGCGATGTGCAAACATAAAGTGTGCTGAGTAACAATTAATCCGAAATAAATACTTACGTCCTTTCCTTTTATTTAAAATAAGGTAGACAACTAGATATTATTATTTCAATTCAGTTTTTTATTTTATCCATAATTAATGTTGTTTATAATCATTTAATTCATATTAAAATTTTAATACGTTTTTCTTTTATCATACATTCTATATTCATATATCTATTTTCAAAAATTCTAGTTTACCTAAAATTTAAACATTTAACATTTAGGAAAAATACCAATTTACGCCTGCTGGCGTATAAAATATAGACAAAATATTAATATTTTAGATTTTAAACTAAAAAGTAGCATTTTGGCCCCTTTTCTGTGCGAAAATTCTCTACTCGCTTGTCATGGATCAATTACAGCCGAGATTCCTAGGCAAGATTTGTGACCTGAAAATAATAAAGTTGAAATTATTAAAAAAAAAGACTTACATTGGATATAAAATATATATCTTTTTTCTACGATAATATTATTTAATGCGAAAAACTATTCAGATGGTAGTGCATGTTATAAATGAGCTCAGCATTTTTCACTCAGCTTTGGGTATGAAATTGTCATCATGTAAGTATTTTTGCATTAAGTAATAATTAAGCGATATGTATCAATATCCAAGTTTCCGTCAACATACCTTCATTTAGTCATGTTCGAACCAATGGCCCATACAAAATTTCCGATATCTGCAAATTAAATTATAAAAAAAATCGTAATTAATATCAATTACTAGCAATTAAAAGTCAAGAATTATCTTAATCAATAAGATTGGTCAGATGGTAGTGCATGTGAGTAAAAATTCAGCACTTTTGCTCAGTTATGGGTATGAAGATGTCATCACAAAATCTTGCAAATTAAAAGGGTACATATGCATGTACGCGTATACCTCGCTCAGCTAATATTACCAGGCTATTATCTCAAAAAACAAGTTAGGTTAGGAAAAACAAAGATCAAGTCTATTGCACGCCAGAAAAAATTTTTAAGCGTTTCATTGAAAATGTTTGTAAGTTCTCCCTGACACTGATATGCTTTTAAATATTTAACTTATGAAAAATCGACCAGTTTTTCTTCATACTTACCTTTAAAGTTTCTGTATCTCAATTAACGCCATTTTCCAGACGATTTCTTGAATTTTACAGTGAATATTTTGTATTTTTTACACTTGAAACAAGATCGATTTAGTCTCACCAATGATGCGCTCCGCTCGACGGATGATTAGCGAAAAGAACTAGCAACCGGAAGAAGATTGACAAATAAAAGTCACCGTATTTTGTGGTCGTGGTAAATACAGTGTGGTGAAAGTTTTTGCTAGAATGCAACACTGCGTTTCTACGCCCGGCGTAAGTTGGCAATTGGAGTGTTTGAATTTTGTTCGAATATGAACCGTTGGGAACAGAAGGTAATGATTAAAAAAAAAGATAATTAATCGAAGCCTGTGTAAAACCCTGATAGAAGCACTATATATCTTGAGTTGATGTGACTGAAAGCTAGAAACCTTAAACGACTTGATAAATTGAGAAATTTCGCTATTTATAACGGGACGTACTACTTCACTCATATTATAATTAGCGTTTTAAGTTGTTGCGAAGGTTTCGAGCCTAGGACAGGCCAATATTGACAACAGCATAAAAAAAGTTTTCCCTCATAGTCTCAGTATGAGGAGGCAAAATACACGTTTAACTGTACAGCCCCTCCCTCCCTGTCTTGTTCTAAGACCCTACTTTCTTTTTGCATTTTACTCTTGCACATTTTTTTTTTTGAATTTTTTTCAAGACAGCTCCCAACTGGTGAGCTAGTTTGCACCGAAAACTAGCATGTGGGAAAACCTGCGCCTTCGTTTCTCAACTAACACCTCACCTATTACTAACAAATCCGGTAAAATACGAATAAAGATGCTTTCTTCATCCAAGCTTCTAAATCCTTCCACATCGCAAAGGGTCTGAAAGTTTAAACTGGGTGATGCGAGAGATTGAAGTTATGAGCACCATTTCGGTTTGAGAGTTAATTAAGATATGCATTACAAAACAGACTTTTATTGAAAAAAAAACAGTCGAAACAATCATCTTAGAAATATTTTCATTTTTGTATCTACAGTTTTCTGTTTAAGAATGAAAGATAATGCAGATAAATTAAAATTTTAACATTTATTTAACGTTAGAAACTACCGAGTTATAATTATTGCGATCTTAATGTAATTTAATTTTTTTTCCGCAGCACAAACAATAGGGTTTTTAATCTTTTATAATGTTATTTAAATTTTTAATTGTATGTATAAATATATCGAATAAAATTAACTAAATGTTGCATTCGTTCAATTAAAAACAGGCATTTAATATATACTTTATGTGCTAGTTCCCAAAAGTTGAAGCGAAAAATACAGAAGAAAATTTAGTAGCATCATAATTAGTATATTTTATTATCAATACAAAAATATTGATTTTTTTTTGCTGCATCTAGCCAAAATATTTTTAAAATTTAAGCTTTTATGTACACATTGAGCTCTCTGTAGAAGAAAAAAATTGCAATTTTTTCATTAAAATTTTAAAAATAAAGGTTTTGCAGGTTCATGTACAATTGCAAAGGCATTATAGTAAGTAGTATTTATTGGTATATCTTAATAATTATTTTATTGCATTAAAATCTACGAAATCTAAAATTATTAAATTTAACAATATGAATAACTATTTTACAAATGCTAAACACGCTAAAGCTACAGATTTAAAATTTTTCGCGCTTTTTAAAATTACGCTTCGATGCGCACCGTTGCAATATATCCGATATGTGCGATTTATGTTCAAAAATTTTCATCATTTGACTTTGTGCTTCATGTATGCCGTCGGCGACGATTTTACTACGCTGTATGTTACCCTACGGGAGAAATAAATTTTCATATTGATGATACAAAAACCTGCAATTATTTATTACCTTGAGTAGTTCGTTTATGCGCTCGATTTCTGGATTCTTTTCATGCGTCTCCATCTGCTTTAACATATTATTCAGTTGCTCAAGTCCAGTCGATTCGTTCTCGCACTATTTATAAGGTAAACGAAAACAAACATATATAGAAAATTAACTGGTATTTTTTTATTCAAATCTTATATTTACCAAATCCTCCATTTGTGAGCTTAAATGATAGAGTTTCCAACCATTAATTTTGCCCATCACATTTGCCTGATTGGCCAAATCGATAACTGTGGGACGGCGCTCTTCACGCGGTTTCACGTCTGAGTAACGTTGGAAGTGATTGTTGGCTGTCTTCCAGTTTTGTTTGTAGGTCTATGAAGTAAACAAAAACAAAAATAAAATCGAATATGTGAAATCCTTGTACTAATACACTTTTATACTATTTTATATCAACTTACATTTAAAAGCGAGAAATTTCGCGGTCGTCGTAAAGTAAACTCTGTTGGTTTGGCGTTCTCCTTATTGCCTGCGGCAGGCGGTAAATTATTATTTTTATGATTACTATTATTAGTGTGTGCGGCATTAGCGCTGGTATTATTGCCATCATATTGGTGTGATGATATCGAACTACTCGAAGGGCCCGGCGCCATTGAGCCTTGTGCTGGCGCTAGCAGCATACCACCATTGCCCGTTGCCGCCGCTGACAAATCATAGTTACTACTATTATTGCCGCTATTACTATTCATAGCGTTCATATGGCTGATGGCAACCCCCGTTGCGGTTGGTGGTGGCAGACTGAGTGAACCTTGACTATGACTCGATAGTTGACTGTCGTTGCTGTTGCGAAATGGGAGTGTGAGAGAGAGAAAAAGAAATTAGCAAAAGAATTCGATTTCCTTTTACATTTGTAAATAAACTCACGTCGAACGTCTGGACTTTTTGCGCGATGAACATTCAATTGGACCACCATTTAGGCGAGCAGAACTTGCCGTTGCTTGGGGTGCATGCAATTGCTGATGATGATCCAGCGAGGAATTGCGTGAGCCTCTAGGTGTGGCACCGCCTGCACTTAGTAGTGCATTGTGTTGCAAGTTGACGTTGCCATGATGATTTGCATACATCTAAAAAATAATTATTGAGTATGTGTAGAAATTCTGTGACCTAATAATTCATTATTTAATGAAAATATACAAATTTATAAAAAGAAATAAATATTTACATGATGACTTTCTATTATAGGCTAGGAGGTGCTAGAGTCGAGTAAACCCCATAGACCATATTCATGTCTATTATTGACTTATATTCGACTCTATATTACTCATTCAAATCATTTGAAATTAGATAAGTGTTGATTTTTATAATTTTTCTTTTGAATTAGTGGGCAGAAGATCGTCTTACCTCATTAATGGGATTAAAGTGTGTGGATTCGTTTGTGCCATGGGGCATATGATTTATCATCATCATATTGCCATCCTGCATTTGCTGTTCTACGCCTGGCGATGAATTCGCCGATACGGTTGTAGAGCCATCTGACGAGGCCGGTGACTCACCACGTACCACTCGCTGCGTTATAACACCGCCACCACTAGTTGATGCCTGTGCACGATCCTTTTTCGCCAAAGCTTCGGTGGTGAGTGCGGCAGAGGAGGATGACGACGACGACGGTTGCACTTGCGATGGCGCCATTGATGATGCTACCGAGGTAATGCTGAACACGCTGCCCACGGAAGAGGCTGCAGGTGAGGCAGTTACATTTGACATGGACGCGCCGCCGCTAGTGCCGCTCATTGATAATAAAGTCGGTGCAAGATTTTTAGCAGCGCGTACCGGCGAGCCATCAGCATCACGTTTGCGTAGAAAATTGGAGACGACGGTTGAGCCAGCGTTGCCACCACTCACCTTAATCGATGTTTGGAGCGGTATGACAACATGTTGACCTTGTGCGGCGGCTAGCGTAGCCGTAGCTGAACCACTGCCCGCTTGATGTACCGCAGCGGCTGCTGCTGCTGAAGCCGGTATAAGTAGTTGTTGACCCCCAGCAATACCACCTTGTTGCAGTAACTGTTGTGTTGCTTGTGACACGGAAATAGTATCGGCCGATATTGTATTTGAGGAACTGGCACTGGCAGCTCCTTGTGTGCTAAAGCGTAATGGAACTTGAATTTGTGTGCCAGCCGGGGCTGCGGAAACCGGTATCTGCAATTGACCAATAGAACGCCCGCCGGCTGACGGCACCACGGTGAAAGTAGCCGTAGAGTTGCCAGCATGTGAGGCAGCAGATACAGCGAATGGTAATGAAGAAATCGCTAAATTTGAAGCTGACACTGCGTTAGCCAGTTGATTCTGTGTTGGTTGTAAAGTGCTGTTTGTTGCAGTTGTGGTGGTAAGGGAGAGTACACCTGTGGAGACTTGCATCGAGCTTGCCGGGATTGATTCGTAATAAATTGTGCCGCCTGGTGGTAAGAAAGCACTCCCTGATGTGGGTATGCCGCTGCCTGTGGTTGTGAGCACCGTGGTGTTGCTACTCGACGTTGAGGATGGTGCATGTAAACTGGCGTTACTAATGCTAACGCTTGGTCCGTGTGTGCGCTGTGTTGGAGGCGCCTGATGTATGTAAACGCTTGTGGGCGGACCGGCACTGCTGGTTATTATACTTGCGCCACCTGGTCCGCTGTTGCTGCTATCTAAATTGCCTACATTTGCGGCAGTCATCACTTTACCCACGGTTATGGCACCAGCATTTTTGAGTGGTGTTATGGTGCCTGTCAAAATGTTGTTGCCACGTGATGTAATAGCTAAAGGTAGGACTGTGGCGCCCCCACCGGCACCTGATGAAACTATATTCTGTGTGGCTAACAGTTGGCCGGTCGCTTGCGAAACATTAACAAGCTGTGCTGTGGATAGATTTGCGCCACTGCCTCCGCTGGAAGTAGGCGTGTTAATAGATAAAGCTGGTGAACCACTCCCACCAGCACCACTTGAACTCGATCCCATATTGTTGTTACTGCCAATGGACGATTGCATACTGGTTGCTATGTGCTGCTGCTGTTGTTGCAAGTTAACGCCTACTTGCGTAGCATTGCCGCTACCGGTAGCGGTCATTTTAGGCAAACCGAACGGCGTTATGGTAAGCGACGGTTTGGCGGTCATCGAAACCGGTTGACGCAGGCTGGAAACTGTTTGAAAAAAAATCAAAAAAAAAAAATAAAAATAAAAAAAAATAAAAATTATTTTAGAACTTTCGTATTTTGCTAAATATGAGTAATAATAAAAAATATTTCTATGCACTTTATAGCTACTGCAATACGTTGAGATTGTCATGCTTAGATAGTGAATAAACCAAATAAACATTCGCTTCGTTTTTCACAAATATTATGTATCACGAGTATTGCTGATTCAATGACTTTATCTCAATTACACATACTCAGTTGCTTTACCCCGCAACCGCTTATGTTTGAATATATGCTAACAATGAGACCGGTTGGTCTGAGTGAAGGGTTCACAGTCTTATCAGCACAATCGCTCTCGTATGGGCAGACATACATACATGTGTATATTCTAAAAAGAATACAATATTTTTGTGGGCGTAAGGTTTTACTTTCTTTAAGCAAAAAGTGGTTCGGTAAGGCAATATTTTTCAATATAAATAAAATAAATATAAAACACAGCTTTTTAAACAAGTTTATGGTGATTTATACCTCTGTATGGTTTAGAATTTCACTAAAAAAATACTCTACTTTATTTAGCTGCAAACAAATACATAAATCACGAACTATCTCGTTACATGTATATGAGAACACACAGCTGTAAATGTGACTTTACGCTCGCTGCTTTTTTACTTTCAAACACTACGTAGGCAGATTATGTATAAACGCTAAAGCCAAATCAGATCAAACTTATTTGGAAACTATAAATGAAACTTCTCGCCACAAACAAATGTTATAAAGATAATATAATCCATCAACAACTTACCAAGTTTCCCGGTGCCCGATGCGTTGACGATTAATGGCTGAAACATGACATTTCCCGATAAACGTCCCGTTGAGCCGATAATAGGCTGTGCCGTACCCGGCTGCTGTTGAAGTTGAATTATACGCGTTGTCGGCAAATTTGCTGTAGGTATGACATTGCCACCTACTCCTGTTGTTACACCACCCATTGTTGTATTGCGCGATGAATTGTTCGATGCCGCATTTGCTGATGCCACCACGGAGCCGACACTGCCACCTATGACACCACCTGCAACCGGCTGCAGTGTGGAAGTTATGTTTGGTGCACGTATACTTATGCTGGTTGTGTTCAACTTTGCTGCAGAGAAGGATTTTGGTAATGCTATAGGTCGTATTTGACGTGACGTGGTGCCGGTGACTGATGTGGCCGCTGCAGAGAGCTGCGTAGCTACTGCAAGCCGTTGTCCAGCTGCTAATGTCGGATTGAATTGCTGTGGTTGCTGCGTGAGCGGTTGTGAAGTTGGTGCGACATTCGATGAGTAAACGAGTGTGGCTTGATGCTGTCGTGGTGGTAATACGGTGGCTAGTGTGGCAACATACGTTTGCTGCTGCTGGGATTGTGGCTGACTGCCGTGGGACACTCCCGAGGATGGCACTGCTTGAATGGTAGCTGTTGAAGTAAGATATACAGAGCTCATTTGTTATTAGAGTATTTAAAATAAATAAATTAAAAGCGTCAAACACTTACATTGTCCGCCTTGACCGCTCTGTTGGTTTTGGTTTTGACCACCACCACCAGTTTGTACAACTGTTGGTGGCGTGGTAGCAAGCACAGTACCGCTAACAGATGTACCCAGGCCTCCGCCCAAGCCAGTGTTGCTATAGGAGCCAGGTGTGGTAGTCATGCCTTGTGCGGTAATTATGCGCTTTTGTGTTTGCTGTGGAATAGCTCTTATAAGTTGCACCTGGCCAGTATTGGTTTGCATCCAAGCCGTACTAGTACCAGAAGATATTACAGATGTTGCTGGTGATGATGTGTTGCGATTAACCGTAGCGGTAGCGCCACGTACGAATCCGCCAGCTGTTGCTAAGCCCGTAACAGTGGCGCTGGTATTCATGTTACCACTGCCCGGTCCTGTGCGAATTGGCGTCACAAGACGTTGCCCAGAACAGACTGCTGTCATTTGAGTAGCTGTCACACCAGCACGTGGTAAATAAGTTGTTTGAGTCACTGGTCTTGTTACTGTTATCGATGTGTTGGAAACGGTTCGAGAATTTACACCGGCTACGCCAGCAGATATAGCCGTTATCTGTGTACGGCCGACACCACTATGATCAAATTGTTTGATCGGTATAATGTTTGTAGGCATAACAACACGCACCTGGGTCGATTGACCGCCTGCACCAATGGTACGTATAGCGGTGGGTGACTGCGCCACATTGAGTGCGATGGGTGTACCACCTATAGAAGTGGCTATGGCGCCACCAGCTGTGGTCATTTTAATGGGTCCAGTAGTTGAAACGCTACTGGTCATTATAGTACTGACTCCGCTAGCAATGCCACTGCCAAGTTGTAAATTGCTGCCACCACTCGTGCTGGTGTTAACTAGAGTGCCGTCTATGGTTGCCTTGACATGTGAAATTTTAGCTGCAACTGGATTAAAAGAATATGGATGGATATGTGCCGCTTTAATAAACTGCATGGGAGCGTGCTGATAAAGATTTTGATGGTTAGTGTTTGTTTGATTGTATGAATAGGTATTAATATCGCTGGTGGGTAAGTGTGTTGTATGCACGGGTGGATGGGTAGGCTGGGGGATATTATTGTGGTATGGTGTTGTTGCATTGGAACTGTGTAACATGGAATTGGGATTGGAATTGGGATTGGTGTTGCGTTTGTGTTTTTGTTGTTGTTGGCTTGATATGACAGTTGTTGATGTTGTAATAGTTGTAGTTGTTGGTGATGGAATGACGAACGCTGTTGAATGCACTGGTGCTTGTTGTTGTTGGTGGTGGTATTGATGAATAAGGTTAGGTTGTATGAAATGGGTTTTAATGTTTTTGTGTGCTTCTGCGGAAGAATATAAACAAGCAAAACAAAAGGCAAGCTTTATAGTTTTTTGTTCTACATGGCATGTATATAAGCACATTAGGGTGGTTCAAAGATATTATGTTTGCCAAGTTGAGGAATTGTAGAACAGGATTAGGGATTTAGAAACTATGGTTAAGATTTAATGGTGTAGACAGTGTTTTGGAAACTTCCACACGTTATATATGAGCAAATAAACTTTTTTATGCTTTTTTTATTTCACCTGAGACGGATCAAAACATGTCATAAACATATTTTACATGGATTTTTGCACCACGCTAATGTGAACTTATTAGACATCGACAATGTCGAGAAAATTTATATTTTTTTTGGCATAACGAAAATATTTTTATATTCACATTGAAAGTCGTTTGCACAAGCTAGAAATTCATCATAAGATTACTAGTGTAAACAGATTACGAACAAATTATGCAATACATAGATAACTATTCCAGAGATCATGGGGCTAAAGGCGGTCTAATGACAAAAAAGACAACTACAAATATTACAAGAGACGAGCATAACATATTCGATTCTTTTTGTTTGAATTGGGGATTTTATAAGATAAATAAAAAAAATCTTACGACTAAAAATTTTAAACGCCACGACAACACTGCAACGATTACACATTGGGAATGAAGAGGAACAATGGAATTGATAAGCTTTGGTACAGAAAATGGGTATATAAGCAAATAAGAAAATAGGAAATGCACACACAGAAGATACTATAAAAATTAGCAAAAATAAAAGCGACGAGCCACACAATATTCTATATTAAATATGTACTTAGGCAAACGGCACTGAATCTAATCAATCATGTATTAATGAAATGTGCGTTTCTAATGTTGCTCCTCACAGTACGCACATTTTTCATTAGTACTTACCTCCCGTTGGTGGCTGAGTGGATCCCATACCAGCTAAGTTGGAGTTTAGAGCTCCATTATTGCTACTTGTGCCGCCACCAACACTGCCGGGGCCTCCACCACTTCCTACTCCACCACCTCCCCCTACACTGCTACCTCCTGGCCCAGGCGCGCCACCACCACCAGTTCCACCACTTGAATCCACTGAACTCATTTTATTTAAAAACGCAGTATATTTATTGATAAAAATGCTGCAACAAACACATTTTTTTATATTATTGTAATTTACAGCTCACACTAAATTCAATTGACCAAATATATATGTAAGCAAGCATATACATATTCATATGTATTAATGGCGGATCATGAATGCCTACAAACCTTGCTTTTGTTTTAACTATATAGAAAATATTAATTTCAAACTGTTTTTGTTAAATAATACAATTTTTTTACTATTAAATTACTAATTGAAAATTTTAAGACTTTCTTCGTCTACATTCGGTCACTTCTTTATGTGTGCACTTTAAAAAATGTCTGCCCGTGAAATGAAACACAGAAAGAAGAATTGATGACCAAAGGGAAACCAGGTAAAGTAGAAACTAGTGAAACTTGTTTAACAGAGCTGCCAGACCCACATCATTTTTTCATTTAAGGTCAGCTTAGGTTGAACGCTATGTTAGCATAAGGTGAAAGGCAAAATACACGATAGATGTAACAAAATAAAAAACGGATAGTTTTATTTATTAAGGAACTGAATATATACTAGTAAAATTTACAAAACATATTTTGGGTTAATAAACTCAATTAAAAGTTTGCCGATGAGTTTTTAATTGCAGCAATTACGAGTGATGGTCGATAAAACTATTTACACAAAGTTCACAGAAAAATTTATATAAAACAAAGCATGAGAATTGTCCCACTTTCTTTGCTACTTTGCGTAAGCCTTCTTTATGCTGAAATCAAATAGAGTTACATGTATCCTTGGACGTTAAGGACAATTTGCCACTCAACGCAGCAATGACGCTCTATTAACCACCGGTCAATGCTTCAACCTGCACCCTGTCAAAGAAACGATACACACATTCAATGATTCAATGAGAAGAGCTCTTAATGCCTCAAAAAAACACAAGGTTTTGACAATTTTAGGAACCAGCCAATCGTGTTTATTGTTTTATCCATGTATCCAGCTTATTAAAACCTCAATTGCCCTTAAATTTCATTTATTGACTAATTCTATTAATTAAAACAGTAAGTTGAATTTTGTTGGTAATTTGTCCAATATGTTTATTGTTATTAAGAAAAGGGAATCGTCGAATTCCCTTCATTTGAAGAAGTTATTGAATCCTACGCTTTAACATGTATTTAATTCGTATATTTCTTATTTTTTTACAACTTCCGCAGCATTCAACCATTTCCACTGCTAACGGGAGTTGTCTCCTCTTCTCACATGGGTGGGGGCGGGACAGGTAAAACACCCATTGGCGGTGGTGGTGGCACGCCGTTGAACATATGATGGGGTCTTGGAGGCCCTGGCATTGGAAAACCACCAGTTGGACCCAATGCACGATGCAATTGCGGTGGCGGTGGTGGCGGTATAATTTTGGGTTCGAATTTGAATGAGAATTGTAGGAAAAATTGCTTAGTATCGCGATTCCAATGCGTCCAAAACTTTCCTTCGGTCTTTTCAACTTCTCGAGATGGTACCTTAAAAGCGATTGTTTCATATGGCTCTGCAGCGAACAACAAATATTGCCATTTACGATCTGGTGGTTCAATTTTTTGTTCATAAGCCGACATAAAACGATGGCGAGGTATTATACTCTCCGTAATTTCAGGATAATCAATTTGGAACAGTAGTGACTGTTGGCCATTGGTGGGATCACGTTGTTTTGTAACCCGATAACCAGGGCGACCGATTTTAACAAATTTTTTCGGTTCGACCCGAGGCTTCTCTGGCGCAAGCATTGATGGTGCTTCCTTGGCTTCTTTGGCAGCACGCCGAGCCAAATTCTCTTGATGCTTTTTACCTTGTGTATGTGCCAAATAGCTGCCCTCATTATTATGAAGCGTCAAGCAGAGTTTACATTCGTATGAACCCAAATGATTTTTCATAAAATAAGGATCCTTATTCAAGTCAATCGTTTCCAACGCTATATTAAACGGATGGTCATATTATTTATAATATAATATATAAATATACACATATATATACGAGGATGAAAACATACCAAGTTGACGAAGACGTTCCTTGCGGTCTCGATTTGTCTCCGACCAGGAGGCAACACCACCGCTGCCGGTTTTACCACCGGCTCTGTTTTGAAAATCCATCTCTTAACGTAGCAGAAAAATCTAAATACAAATTAAAAGTATTCACTTGAAATTTGTGTAAATTTCAACAAACTGGCCAATGGACAGAATAAACACGAAATGTCATTATATCAATTTCACTCGTTCCTATTTCAGTTTCACTCTGTATCACAATAGTGATGCAGCCGAATGTTTTTTTTTTTTAATTTATTAAAACTAATTCTTGATAACAAGCACAATAGGCAATAAATCAAATAATAATAATCATTTTTTGCATAAAAATAAAAAATAAGAATTAATTATTCTTCCATTTGTTTTATTGAGAAAAATTACAAGAAAAGATGCTATATTTTTTGCTTTAAGATATGTGCTACACTCTGTTGTGTTTTCATTGTGTTAACTAATTTAGAATAATTTGACAATTAAATGAATAGATTTTCTTTTCGACAGTAGACAACGAGGTGTGCGTTAAGTGCTTTTAAAATGATTAATTTTGTAAAATTAGTAATGGCAAAGTGTAAATTTAATTAATACATGTTGGAAAAGTATGCCTTTAAATTATTTATTCGCGAATAGTGCATGTCGTTAGAAGCACGTGAAATTTTTTCAATTCAATGCGTGCCCATTCTATATCACGCAAATCTCTATTAAAAAGTAAAAAAGAAAATAACGCATATAGATGTGCATGCTAAATGCATATGCTGATGCAATATATGAAATATTAGCAAAAAAATTGTGAGAAAAAAATTTGTATTTCCAATAAAAATGAGTGCTGATGAGCCTGTTAAAGCTGTTGAAACAATATCATCTTGTGCAGAGGAAAATGTGAATAGTATAAATGGCCCAACAACAACAACTATGATCACTCGAAACGCAATTCCTACACTTTCTAGCCACGCCACAAATAGCGACGCATCGTTTACAACAAACACAAATATTACTTCTTCTAAAATGTCTGGTGCTGAAAATCATGGCCAAAATACACTCGATACAAACCAGCAGCCTCCAACAGCTACTAGTTTTACACCATCGATTAATCCTGGTGTCAGCAATCAGATTCAAAATTCCAGCACAGCTAAAAGAGTCATACGCAAAATTATGGTAATTGATCCAAAAAAGCTACAACAAGCTGGTTTAGATCGGAAATTGGCCGAAGCAATTGGTAGACAAAAACTTAAGGCATTAGCTAAGGAACATAAGCAAAGGGCACCTAAAAGTTCCGATACCAATGTAGCTTCAAATAAACCGCAGCTGGAATCGAAATCACAAATAACGGCTCCAAAGAAACTAATATCAGCCGATGAACCGATGAATACACTGTCTTCGACTATAAACATACAAAATGCACCACCTGTGGAAACCACAAGCGTAACTTCTGCGGCCACAAACCCGGCGATAAATTCAATACATGCAACATCCGTGGCTTCACAAAAATCTCCTGCAATAATAAAGTTGGAAACAGTGAAAAATTGCTTTCTGGTGCCACCAGGTTCGGAAAAAGCAGCTCCATCTATCAATACCGCGTTAGTTAATCGTATACCAACACTCACAGGTAAGTAGTCATTGCATGCCGAAAAAATATTCACTTTATTTTGTTTATGTAAAAAATAAAAAACTACGAAATTGAGTTGTTTTTGTTATTAAATATTTAGTTTTAATAATTTTATGGGAAATCTGTGACATATTGAACATTTGCCACCAAATTTTATTAGGCACGCGTAGCTGAGTATGTAGTGTTGCTGAGTTGCTAAATCGTTGGTCGCGGGTTCGATTCGGCCTCGGGTCAAATTTTTGTAACAGCCTTTAAATTTTTTAAATAGCATTTCTACATTTCTGCATTTTTTCCTAAAATGTAAAATTTAAACAAAAACTGCATAAGCGCTGCAAAGGTTAAAGTATGGGAGTAGAAAATATTTTTAGACATTGTCTTATTTATAGAATCTATCCACGTGTATTTGATGGGGAATATTACAAATATTTTACAGTATTTTTCAAATTTATTGAGAAAAATATATATTTTTGAGTTAACCTTCTGCTAAGTTCAGTATACCATATCTAATACACTGAGCTGAGCATGAAGAAAAAACTATTTCTACATCTTAAAAGGCAATATATTTGTTTTTGTATAGGACACATTAAAATTATATTTTTCATTTTATTACGACAAAAAGCTAATTAAAAGCCAAAAAGGATTTCAAAAAAAGAGAAATGCACGAAATCTACAAAAAATATTCCTTAATTTTTTTTTTATTAATTTATTTCAAAAATCATAGCTATATATGAGTCATTTGCCGCACTATTTAGCCACGTTTCACTAGCTTAAGTGCGAAGCCTCTTCGTGCATGTAGAAATCGCCGAATATTCAACATAAAGTCCATGGTTCGAATCCGGCAGCGAGCGTTAATAAAAAATTATTTGTATTTTTTGTAAACTAATATTAAATCAGGTTCAAAAAATAAAGTTAAAAAAAAAATACTAAAATAATTAAAATTTGTACAAACTCATAAAAAAAATTGTGGTTCTTTTTTTAATCCTGCGAATCCTTGTATAAAATTTTAGTAATAAGACTTCCGAAAAAATGTATCACGTTTAAATGACATTAACATCTTGCAGCTAACAAGTCACCCATACCTGAGCGGAAGGTTTTTGTAACACCAAAAATAACTATTACCCGTCCTGGTGAAGAACACCCGCCTTTGCGAATAATTCCCGAACAACGTTTAGAGAATGTCAAATATATATTGCAATGTAAGATTTTGAAAAAACAACAGTTAGCGGCTCTACAGTCACCAAACACAGCAATGATTACAAACGCAACCACGTCACAGCACACGCCATCAAGTGCTCAAATGCCATTACTAGAATCAAAAGGCGAACTATCTGGAACTGAAAACATTTCCAAAGGACAAGAACTGAATAAACTTTCACCTGCCAAAACACCGAAGGACATAGCACGTGTTCTTAATTTCAGCGCAGATACGCCACTTCCAACACTTGGCCCAACATCAGCCGCTGTGACAATGGCCGATATGAATAAAACTGTTAAACTTGATGCCGCTAGTACAATGCGAATAAAGAATTATACACACAACGTGCCAGTAAAGCCAGAAACGACGGGTACAAGTGTTGCTGATGTCAAGCGCTTGATTGCTCGCCTCAATAACGTGACAATGCGTAAAATTAATCAAGAGCCCAGCATAGCTACAGCAACTGCTCAGCAAGATGCTGCGCCAGCATCCATCGAGATACCGAAAGCCACCATACGATGCATAAAGTTGCCAATGGAAAGTAAATCTTCGCCTCGAAAGGCGCGGACTTCGAAAATATATGCCACTACTACCAAAAACACGGAACAAGCCGCTATGGGGCCTTTGCCCACTTTGAAAAATTGCGGTTTGACAGTTGAAAACAAAAACGCCAGAATTCTTTATAAAGCTCCTCCGAATAAGGAGTCTTCTGAAAACCAAGTTAGTTCTAGAAGCTTTACCAAAACAGCACAGCCAACACCATCTGAACATCATGATGCTGAACTATCTAAAGATTTCCCACAATTCTCACCACTGAAACAACCATTTCCGGTTGTTACACACTCGCAAGACTTGCCCTTACCCACAATCTCTACCTTCAAAACACCATTTCCTACGACTTTGATCAAAGTTGCTCCAATGGGACAAAATCAAAGTGATACTGTCGAACCATCGGTGTCTGATGATTTCCTAAGAAATACATACGTGGCGACATCTCAAACACAAAACACATCAAATTCAGGTCAAAAGAGTCTAATTGTATTGGAGCATAAGGTACTGTCGCAAGATGAAAAGATCGACCTTACGTCCCTGGGATTTGCTACGTCTAAACTAGAGCCGAAATCAGAGGCACATGCATTGGAAGTTAAAGGTAGAGAGTTAGCGAACAATAATCCGCAGGAGACAAATGTAGGTATTGCTACCACTGAAATAGCGACCACTCCAGAAGTATCTGGAGAGTTGGCTTATCAGCGAACACAAGAAAGTCATGAAATTAGCCAAAATCCAGTTTTATTACAAAATGAGGCGATTGATCGGGAATTTGTACCTTCTATACCTGAAAATGCAAGTACAACAACTGAGACCGTACAAGAGAGCAATTTAATTGCGCAAATCACAGATTATTCACAGCAGACACAAAACAGCGAAGAGACTACCGCAACTCTTGACATGCACCAAAAAGAGCGAAAAACAGAAGTTCATGCAGCCGACAAGGCAAGTCCAGCTTTCTGCAAGCCGCTGGAAGATAATCAAATGGCTATTGCGACAGCATCGTCGTCGAGTGGCAACATTTTGCCAATACAAAAGGGCGCCACACTTAATAAACGCACCATACTGTCGATGGATAAAATAAACCTATCTGCAGCGAAAATAGCCGAGCTTGTCAAGACTATTCGCGCAAAAAATCCGAATGCCGCAAAACATTTTCTTATAGTACGAAAGGGCGATAGTATGCAGAAGGTTGGGGATAAACCTGCGACGTTCAGTAAAGTAAATTTGAATATTGCCACAAATACTCAAGGAAATACAACGCCTGATACTATCAAAACATCTCTTGCAAATACAAGCAATGTGAACTTCCAACCGATCTTTACAAACACATCATTAACACAAAAACCAGCTGAGACTACTGCCGGCCAAATGCAAAACATGTCGGTGAGATCAGATGCAGATCTTGATGTAAAGTCTCTATCATTTGATATGACAAAGGGAAACCTGGTGACTCTTACGTCTAAAAATCTAAGCGCTCCTACCTCAACGGCATCCATTTCCTTTGTAACCGATGTTGCTCCGATAGCTTGTACTCAGTCACAATTTGCTACCAAACCACAAACGCTTGTGAAGGGACAAATTATAACAGACCCACAATATGATGTGGACCAAACCGTTACAAACTCACATTTTCTTACAGAATCAGAACAACAAAATATTATAGGACCTGAAAAAGTCTCAGAACTACAATCTATTTCAGAACCAACATCATTTGTAAGGTCGGAATCATTTATTCCAATAGAAACGGCTTCAGAACCACAACCTGCCCCTGATCCAATGTCAGAAATAGTAGCAGGCTCAGCAAGTGCACCAGTCGCTGAAGCAAAATTCAAAAATCCTCTGCCACGCCTTCCACGAAAAATTTCTGAATCAGAGCATTGTTTTCACAACAAATCCGCCGTCACTGTAATCGATAGTGGTGATGAGTCAGATACACAAATATCTGCTGTCGATTTTATCGCCTCGCTGGCTGCGCAAAATCCAATTACCGAAGATATGAAGTTAGAACTGTCCCCAGAAGAACTAAATTTGAATGCTTCATTCGCCATGAATTTTTCGCCCTTGCGTATACCAAACAGAGATCGAACTGAGAGCCTAAAGAGCGAACTTATCGAACAAGATATATACGATGTCTACAATGAGCCAAATGTGGACACACTACCAGACGTATTTGAACCTGAGACCGCTTCTGATGAGATGCAGATCGGGAAGATCATCACTATCAGCGAGGAGAATATTTTGAAAGCTGTCGCCGCTTCAAATGAAACGCAAAGCTGTAACGAAGAAAAAAACTTAAAAACACAGGAAGTTTTTAAACTTACAAAAAGCACTGAATGTCTGTCGGCGCCTGCGGAGGAAGTGAAAGCAGATGATATGGAAAATGTGAACGATCTGGATGTCGTGGAAACTGACAGTTTAGCTGAATCAAAAGTGGGCCCCATAATAGTGAAGAATATTGAGATTGGCGTAATAAATAATTTTGAAGAATCTCGAGCTAGTCCAGTGATTGTGAAGAATTTGCAGAGTAGCTTAACAGCGGATGTCGGGGTAGTGTGTAAAAATCTAAGCGGTGGCGAAGATTACACCGGAGAAGTCAATATATTGTCATCGGACGAATCTAATATGAGCAAAATGTCCGTTAAACCTCCAACAGTTGAAGTAACAGAAGCCTGTTCCGTGGTTCAACCATTAACGGCAATGGAAACTAAAGATAAAGAAACAAATCCATTGAAAGTTGCGAACGCAGAGAAGAGTTTGCAAGATCTTGAAGAAAAGCCTTTAAATTTGGAAGAGAATACAACTGCCTTTGCTGAAAGCATAGCCGAAGAGTTTTCCAAAGAGGGCCCGAATGCTAACGAGCAACTGAATATTGAAAGAAATGTTATTTCTGAAGAAAAGCCGAAGCTTGTGGAAGGTGAGACCTCTACAGTATTGCCTAAGCCAAGGTTGCCGCGGTTCAAGAAAGGCAAAATTAATTTGGTACAACGCCGACGGGTAATCGGCAGTGTGCAGAACACCAAACCAGAACTCAAAACCCCGACCGAAAATGCCAAGGGCACGACAACAGATCAGAATGACGTTAGTAAAGAAGAAGTCATAAAAAAAACTAATATAGTAGACAAGGTAGCCGGAAAAACGCGCGGAGAAGTAGAGAAAAAAGGTGAAACATGTGCGCAAAAGGAAGACACAAAACCGTTATTATCCGAGGTAACAGCAAAAGAGGAAGAAACTACAGCTGTCATGCTTGACAGAAATACTCAAAGCTCATCTACGCATACATTTGATCAGCCTCCCAGTGAAGTCGCTCCACAAATCAATGGCGAATCACTAAAATCTCAGACTAACGATGAACCGGGCGAAATAACGCGCAGACCCGCGTCGCTATCTGAACTGTTGAATCCGCCAAAATTGCTAAAGCGGAAATCTGCTGGATCGTCTATCAACCCCGAAACTCCGCAACCAACTGATATGTCAACTGTAGAAAATACAACGAATATTCTTTTGAACGCAATAAAGTGTGCCTCGGAAGAAATCGAACTAGCTCCGCCTCAAATTCCATTCAAGAAACCAAAGAGCGAGACTTTCCTCGACGAAAAGCCAATCAAAGGAATTCAAAATCTTTTGACAAAATTCAATAAAGACAAAAATGTGGTTGAAACTAAGATTGATAAATCAACTGAAGAGAATTTGGCGGACGCAAGTACAAATTCGGTAGAGGTTACAATGGAAAATCGCTTGGAAACTGTTGAAAGCTTTACTGCGGTTGTTGAGAATTGCAAGGTGAATGTAGTGAAGAATCACGAGGAGGCGCTTGAGCATTCTAAAGAGATTCACGACAATGCCCCACCTTCGACTTGTTCACCGGAGAATGCGGGGAAAGAAAGTGAACATCTTATCAGTTCAGTGCAGCAAAAAACTGAAGCTGAGAATAGACTTGCAGAAGCGGAATGCCATAAGCAACAGTTTCATGCGGCAAATTTAGACGTCCCGATGAATACTGAGACGGCCGTTGCGCATAAAGCTGATGAAGCTATTGATTGTGATATTTTACAAGTGATAACCGAAGAAAAGCAACAGGAACAAATTGCGGCAGAGAAGACAACAAAGGCCGAAACGCCGACTATTGAAAGTAAGGAAAATGATTCAAAACCGAAATCGGAATTCCACGGGTTTAATCACAACTCACCTAGTACGCAAAATATAGAAAATAATCTACAACATATACTCACAATAACCACCAATGCTGAGAACACGAAGACACGCGAAATAAACTTTAGCACAGCAGAGCGTGAGAGTCCACACACTAGTCCACCTGGTAAGAGCGCAGCGAAAGGTGCGTCTGCTACGCCCAAGTCAGTGTCTAAAAAGGTTCAGTTCAGACAGGCGCGCAGGTCAAGGAATCGACGTAGTGTTCCACTCAAAAAACGTTGGGGAGTCTTACGCGAATCGGATGATGACATAGAAGTGACAGATGATGCTTCGCCAGCCGATGATGACGAGGAAGATGCTGTTAAGTTGGGAATAACGTTCAACTCTAGTGATTTGTTGCAGAATATGAGCAAAAGCGATGAGAAAAATGTAGCCGAAGAAAGTCAAATGCAAGAAATGGATGTTGTAAAGGAAGAAGCAGCCCAAGACAAACCTGAAAAGTCTACTAACACGGCGATAGAGCTGCCAGAGAACAATAAACGAAATAGAGCTGCCACAGAAACCATAGATACTGAAGAGCAAGCAAGGGAAATGTCTCTTATCTCCAAAGCTGTGAGTCCTAAAGATTCGCCAAGACCCATTAAAAAAGTGCGTTTGAATCCAAAGTCCGAATATACGAACTCAGCGTCATCTATAGAAAGTAAAGAAAGTGCAACTACAGGAACAGATTTAGAGACAGCAGCGGCAATTGAGGTACTGCCTGACGAAATTATAAGTGCAGATACTGATAAAGCTGAAGTGAAAGAAATAAAATTGAGCAGTAGAAGTCACAGGTCAATTAGCCGCACTTCAGACGATGCAGTCATGCAAATTGAGGAAACAACAGAGAAAACTCAATCGAAAGTTGGTGGACGAAAACGTAAACTAAATAAAAATGATTGCAATGAATCAACAGCGGACATACAAATAACGGACGCTGCAAAAGAAACGACTGAATTGACCAATGACAATAATAAAAAAGTTAATACTGAGGACCCAACGAAAAAGGTGGAAAAAGAAGATACAACTACAAAGGCAACTAAAACGCGTTCAAAGAAGCTCACGTTTGTTGATCCTGTCACGGAAAGAACTGACATTGACGAAGAACAACCAAAGAATGTTAATCAAAGCAAAAATTCCTCACCCTCGACAGCGTCGACGAGTGCCAGCAGTCACAAAGTGAACACTGACGACTCAGCACAACAAAGGGAAAAAGAAAATAATTCATCCAAAGGGACGAAGAGATGTTCCAAAAAGCAAGAGGCGTCAGATATATCGGCGCCTGTGATTGAAGAAGCAAAGACAGAGACTGAACCACTTAAACCTGCGAAAAGGCGCTATAAGAAATCAAATATTAAGGACGAAACTTCAGCGACTAACACAACAGCAACAAATCTCTCAGTAAACGAGGAATCGACGATAAACGAAAGCCAAACAGCTGCGCCGGCGCAAAGTCCATCATTCGTTGAAAATACACCGAACGCTTCAGAATTCAGTGCGCGCGCCCAAGAGTTTGCAACATCAACCCCGAGAAACGAAGAGCCCGCAGCTAGTGTTGTGCGTAAACGTGGCAGAAAGCGGAAGTTGCCGCTCGAAGAAGCAACCGTGAAAATTGAAAATGAAACGATTAAAACTGAAGAGAACGCGACTGTGGTGCGTAAAAAGCGCGGACCCAAACCCAAGTCAGCACGTGCTACAGGGGAGAATACAAACGCGTCAATCGTTTGTAATGGTATTCCCGAGCTGGATAAAACAGTGGAGCAAAAACCAGTTGTGAGTTCACATGAGCCCAGCATGAATGTAACTGATGATATTAAGCCAGCCGATTTGGAGACTCCGGTGAAAATTCCGAAGAAACGTGGGAGAAAGCCAAAAGCGCTATTGAACGCAACAGTAAACACCGACGTCTCAATGGAAACACCTCAAACACCTCAAACACCGACGGACGTTGATATGCCCAAAAAGAAACGAATCGGTAAAAGACCGACTGTGATAGATCTTGAGGAGCGTGGCACGTTTAATGAGCGCCACCTGTTGATGACTAATCGGGCGCAACTCGACAACGATGAAGTGCTGACGGCCGAACCCGTGGCCACCACTTCGAAAGCAGATCTCATACAATGCGGACTTTGTTTGCAGCAAATGGCACGTAAAGACTGGTTGGACCATCTAGCGACACATTATGGTGTGGGCTGGATCGTGGGCGAAATGAGACCGACCGTAAGTGCAACAAAAAAAAAAAAAAAAAAAAAACATTAAACTGCTTCTTTTCCAAACTATTAACCATCGTATTATATTTTGTTGCTACTTTCAGAACGTTACATTTCGGAATGAAGTGTTGAAGGCGATGGTAGCTTTTCTGAAAGCACACGGCGATACATATCCCTTAACTTGTCGCTTGTGTCAACGCACCTACCGTTCGGCTTTGGGCATTTTGTTGCACATTGAAGCATGTGGCGCCACCGACACGCGTGTACCCTGCGATTTTTGTCAAAGACAATACACGAAAGGCAGCTTGCCGAGTCATATGCGTGGCTGCAGCCAACGTGTTCAAAAAGAAGAGGAAAAGGACGAGAGCAAAGAGAACAATTCCGAAACGGTTCTTAATAATGTGGGACGCTTTAAGCGCGTTGCTGTGCAAAGGTAAAAAAAACCGTTGTTATTACCATTGTTAAAATTGCAGTACAAAAAACAAAAATAGATATAGAAAGCGCATTTCGAGCAGAAAAACAACATTTTCAAAAGTACACATAAAACTTAGATTGTAATTAGTTACGAAATCGCAGGTCTGACAATACGACAAAATAAAGTAGATTAGCCACTAATTAATTTTTTTTTTAAATTATTTTATTTTATTTATTCTTTATTTTATTTTCTTTACTTATTTTTGTTTTAACAGGGCTGAAAAAATGCTGAAGGCAATCGGCAATGACACACAAACCACCGCAATATGTACCTTCAAAGATGCGAAAAAGGTGAGTTTAACCCCTCTTAAACAAATACTCCACATTTTCTAAACTCGCATACTCGTATGTATTCGCCAGTATGTAGAATTTGTGTCTACCACAGTATTATCCACGGCTGGAACTGAGAAATGGTCGAAGGATTTGAAAACCATGGGCAAGGCGCAATGTCCAGCAGCGAACTGTAAATTTTCAGCAGAGGCATTAACCTCGCTACAAGAACACTACGCTAGCTGTAAGCTAAGGAATAATGCACGGAAAGGTGTTTACATTTGTAATCTATGTGGGGAGTCGTCCAAGTCCTATAGTAGCTCGTATAGTGCGATACAACATGTTTTACAAGGCCATAAGACCGATGAAGTTGGACAAGATTTCGAAGCAGATGCTTCCGATTGCGGCATTAAGACGGATGATGAAACGAGCGGTGATGATGTTGATGCTTCATCGGGAGTGGACTCGCATGAAGATAGCGAGGCTGGTGGTGAAAACTCGCTTGATGAAGGTGAAGAGCAGCTAGTAAACAAACCAAAACGTACAAAGAGAAAGAGGAAAAAAGCTGCACCAAATGCTAATCTTGCCGATAGATGTGAGTTGATTTAATTTGTGTAAAATAAATCGTTGGTTAAACAAATACTTGTTCTATATTCAACAGTGCATGCACCACGTGATCTGGAGCATAGTCAAAAAACGAAAGTTTTGTGGCAAGAATTGTAAGTGCGAAGGAAATTGTTAAAACCTGTTGAGTTTGATTTACTATTTTCTGTGTCATTATAAATTTTAGTGTAACCGCGAATCACAGCACCCAGCCACTCTTCGCCGACGTCAAAGTTAACTATAGCATTTGTGCACGCGCCGATTATGAAAAATATCTACCGCGTTCGGAAACATCAATGAAATTCAACTTGAAAACGGATCTAAGAATTTCTAAAATAAAACCTGATATGTGTTTTGGCGTAGCGCAAGATTTGGATTGGTCACAGTTGAAACGGTTTGAGACCACTGCTTCAAACAGTAAGTAAACTCCCACGCACTTGCAATACAAACTCTCATTAAGAAAATAAATTTTTAATTGTTTAGATGAACAATTCACCTACATTGGCGATGCTATAAAAATGTTGAAATGGGCGCCCTTGCCTGCCGATGTTAAAGATCAATACCTACTTCTGGGCACACGACGTGACTATACCCGCTTTAAAAATCCTAAAACTTGCAATACCCTACTTTGGTTATACAAAGTTACATGCAAAGAAATGAAAAAGACATTCCAACAGCAAATACACTACGCCATTAATATACCCGATGGCCCTGTACATTGCGCAGCATTTTTGCCGAGCGGCGGTTACGATGAGCAGGCGAACCGTTTGGGTTTGCTCGCTATTGGCGTTGCTAGTAGTACGATTAAAGTTTATGCTTTGCCTTTGAATATCGAAGAAGCAACGTGTGCGCAGGAGACGACTGAGAAATTATCAGAGGATTTTATAACGATACAATTACAACCTGTGTGGGTATTAAAACTGGAAGCAAAGGAACAAAGTTTAGGCGCAAATGCCCTTGTCGAAACGCAATGTACTTCGCTGTGTTGGTCTGAGGTGAGTTATATGTGGTTTGGAAAATGCCAAATTATCAAACAAACAATTCAAATATGAGACAGTGACGATAATCTAGATTTTGTAGAATTAGATTTTTTTCAGTTCGAAAAAGAAAAAGAAATTTCGAAAATATTGCATAAAATGTTTAAAGTTTTTTTCGTTACTGCAGCTGGGTCTCTCATTATTAAATATCCACAAACCTAACCTCACTACTCTTTGTTTCCAGTTTGCTGGTCATGCGCACATTTTTGCCGGCTTTGCTAATGGCTGTGTCAGTTATTGGGATATCAGCAGCGATATGAATATAAATCGTTTCGTCATCGACGGTGTGCCTAATTATGTGCCAATGAATTTCTTCTACACACGTGAGAAGAATGTGCGATGTAAGTAAATGCGCTAACAAATAACTTCCTTTAATAAAATAGATTTCTTTTAAATATTTCTTACCATTTTTTAAACAGGCATGGCACTGCACTACGATGACAGCGGCGTGCGTCTGATCGCCGTAATTGTTGATAGGCGATTGTTGCATGTGTATGATATACAACATTTCGATCGTCCGATACTGTTAAAGGAAGAAGTTGGTAGAAATGAAGTGGCAGAACTGGAATGGTCGCCAATTTGGCAGTCAGTGGCGTTAGCAATCTCCGGTGCCTTGGCACATGGTAAGTTGAAAGAGGAAGAAAAAAAAAGATCGTGCTTCCAACCATAAATAATGAATTTCCCACTATTCTTCCCACCAGTTGGCCATTGCAGCTATGTAGTGAATCCAACGAATATAGTTTACAAAAATGAGACTATTGAGAAAATGAATGGCGGCGTCAATAGCATACATTACAATCCTATGCATAATATACTCGCCCATGGTACGGATAATGGTGATTTGGTGCTTTTGGATATACGTGAAATTCACTTAAAGGACATAATGCGCGATACACAGCGTGGCTCACATGCAGCGGCCATAATGGATATGGTCGCTTTGAACGGCACGGATATACCGAAATTCGATACAAGCAGCGTACCGAAAGACTGGGCTCTTGCCGAGAGTGATCTTGAGACGAAGTATGGTCTCGTATTCGGACCTATAAAGGGCGTAAGTATTTATTTTGGTATTTACAACGTATAAGACAATTCAAGCAATTATTATTATTTTCTCCTCCATCGCAGTTTGAAAGAACGCACCGAAAAGAATATCTTAACACGCAACGTCAACCGCCTATAAATTTGATGCATTGTACACGTATAAATGCTTTGAAATTCAATTTAAATAGGCTGGGTAAGCAGTTGCTGGCGGTTGGTTATGAAAATGGCTTCTTGCGTTTGGCGTATGTTGATTCCAAAGCATGTTTCAAATGAAAGTTTTGCCCTTGCTGAAAGCTATGACAAGAGTTAGTGAGAATTTCTAGGCTTTTGTCAGAGATTTTATGAACTTATACATGTTTGCATGTACATATATAAATGTAAATATATACTCAAATTAGAGTAAAATATTATATGTTATAATAGTTGTAAGTATATTAATTATTTATACTTGTTTATGGCATAGTTTACGCGTAAGATTACAATTAAGTTATTAGTATTGGGAATATATTATTAAATATTATTATATTACAATATATAAACATTATTTATAGTTGAATGCACTATTTTTTTTGCTGATATATTGACATCGAGTGAAACATCACATGTGTTGTAGTAGCTGCAATGAAATGCAATTTGTGGAAAGAGAGATTATACGCAAAAAATGTGTGGTTTTGTGAATTTACGCTTAACAATTAAATTGAATAAAAAGTCAAAATCGTTTACGCAAACTTTCTATTTATTTTTTAATACAACTACGTTGAATTGCAAAACGATCAATTTTACACGTAAAATGTTATGATAAGTTATCTATTTTTTTTTATTTATATATCTCTGAACGTGTACTTGTACGTTAGCGAAGTTCTATTTTACGCTTCTGCTTGAATTACTAAACTGTAATACCAATATAAATTGAGTGTTTTATACGATTCGTACACAAATACACATAAATATCGCTTGAAATAAAAATAAAAACAAAAAAATTGCCTTAACTCCTTTACTATTTAGTTTGTTAGTTAGTCATTTAAGCGCCTTACTCCGCAGCGAGGATAGCTTCCACTGCTGGGGCTTCAGCATTTGCTTCTGGGGCTGGCGGCGGTGGATTATCACCAGCTGCTTCCACATCGGCAACACCGTCTTCAGCCGCAGCATTTACCTCTGTTGGCGGCGCTAATTCCTCGCCAGGTGCTGGCGTTGGTGCACCCTCAGCATCTGTCGGCGGCGCACCGCCTTCTTCCGGTGGCACTTCCTCACCTTCCGCCCCCTCAGCTCCTTCCTGTGCTTCACCTTGCTCTTCTGGCGCTGTTGTAGGTCGACTTTCGCCGCTTTCTTCGCCACTTGTTGTAACGGCTGCCTCCGTGGCCTCGGTCTTTAAGTCATGCTGCGAACGCTTCTGTAAAGTTGCAAATTATAAAAGTTATTATCTCAAGTAGACGGCGGTCATTCTCATTGGCACTCACCTTCTTTTTCTTCGGTTTCAAAGCTTCCTTTTCGGCTGCCTCGATGGCCTCCTGTTCGGCCGTCTTGTATGTTTCTGGGAAGAATTTCAGCGCTTCCTGTTGTCCGATAACCGCGTCTGCACTCACATAACTCGGACCGTAGGTGGCCAAAGAGAGCATTGTGTGCGAAGTTTGTTTGTTAACCTTGAACACGATTTTGTCAGCGCTGCGTCGATGAAATTTATATATATCAAATTCAGTTGAAGAGAGAAAAAAATGAAAAAAATTCACCCCTTCCCCGCTACTTACGGATTTTGCGGCATTGTGGCATATTTCGTAGCTGAGTTCGCGATCAATTTAGCCTCATCCGCTTCGTCGCTGCTAAAGAAACCATATCGGGGCACATCATCCTTTAGCCGCTCCATTACACTCAACAAATCTCGTTTTTTATAAGCATCGAAAGCCATGATAATATGTGGCGGCTCTGGCACCGGATCCGGTGGCAAGAAACCGGACGTTTGTTGGCGGAAGAATACGTAAATGAGCGCGGCGTGTGTGCGTGCATTGGCCGCTACCCAAATGGGTGGTACGCGTATGATTTTCTTGCGATAACGCTTCTTCACAACAATTTCAACTTCTGGTTCTGGTTCGGCTTCGGTCTCACCCTCTTCCATTTCGCCCAAGTCAAAGTCCAGATCGAGATCTAGATCTAGATCTAATTGTAGTTCGGGCATTTCAGATCCTTCGCCAGCTTCGCCGCCTTCACCTTCATCGCCTTCACTGCCTTCCTCAGCTTCATCTTCCTCGCCTTCGGCTGGCTCGGCTGCAACCGCTGGTGCTGCTTGTTCCTCTTTCTTATGACCCTTCTTGTTCGATGCCGTAGGCGCGGACGCTGGCTCAGGCTCCGTTTCATCTTCCTCCCATTCCTCACCCTCTATGCTCAGCAAAACAAAAAAAAAAAAGAAGAATCAAGAAGAAACTACAAATATTGCGATATGCTAAATTGATTTACCCTGTAATTCTATTTCAATTGTCAAATCCATCGGCACTATAATCGGTGGGTGAACTATTTCTTCTTCGGTAAGATCATCTACCTCGTGTCGCTCCTTCGTCAACTCATGCGCATATTTGTTCAACACTTCCGGTATGGGACGACGATCATCTTCGGGCATTTTCCAAAAGCACATCATCAAATCTCTTTGATCCAACTGCTCGAGCACGTCATCGGGCAAGGGATTGGGACAGGCGTAATTCACAATATCGAAATCGGCGCGTGAGACACTGATAACACGTCGGTCCTTACACTGCAGTTTCATATTTTCGGCCGGTTCGAGTATTTTCTTATACATATCACGATTAACTTGTGGTCCAAAAACAGTTACACCCATATCGGGTATATTCTCGATAATCGTATCTGTCATCGAATTTAAATAGTCATGACGTTTCTTCTTCTTCGCTGCCTTCTCTTTGTTAACCGCCTCCATCTCGGCATCCAATTTGATTTTGCGACGACGCTCTTCCTCCGGTTGGAGTTCGGTGATTTCGTAGAAAGTGCGTGGTTTGTTGAGTAATTCGAGCTCTTGTGCTATGAGTTTCATCAGTTTCGGTGTATTCGAACCGAATAAGAGGTTTGTGGATTTACCTTTCTGGAAAAATGAGAGTGTAAATATTAAGAGCTGGATTCGGCTTAAGTGCAAACTCTAACATAGTTAAAGAGCACAGAGGATTTCATTGTGGCAATTTCTGCCTGTGTAGAATAAGACCACTGAATAGTCATGACGTTTGAATAAATTCAAGTCTAAGCTGCTGCAAAGAAATAAGCTGCGTAGATGATTTCCAGCGTAATTTGACTTGCCGCATTTTTTTGTGCTCTCAAATTCTTTTCTTGAGAGAACATGCAGATATCGCAAAAAGCGCGCAAAGGCAACAGTTTGACCTAAAAGCTTTGTAAGAACCCAGCTTGCGTTAAGAACCTTAATACACAGAGACTTATTCTCCACTTTAGCAGTCTGCCATTGGTTTTACTTACTGTAACGAACATCCATGTGGGCTCACTCTTCTTGCAGAAGCGTTTCAGGTATGATATCGTATCCGCTTTACACTTTCGAAAAAGTTAATATTAAATTTCTCCCAAATTTTTTTCTTCATTCCAACACTTACAATACCCAGATGTAAATTATCGCCACCGATTTCCAATTTTATCTTACGCAAACTGCCAACCATACCGAGGCAAGGGCCACACCACTCTGAGTAGATATCCAACACTGCACCGAAGCGACAAAAGAAGAATTATAAATAATCAATAAATAGTTTCTTATTTTAGAATCCCTACCCAACAAGCCAGGACGCTCGAGGAATTTTTCAAAATCCTCATCCGTTTGTATGTCGGCCTGCAACTGTTGTACTCCGCCCTTCTTGGCCATGGCGCTTTGTTAATGCATTACTTGGTTTTTGAAGTGTTTAATTTAATTACTACAGATTTCGAACTTATTTTTTTTTTTTGAAATTTTAAAACAAATGTTCTCAAGGGCTGTATTGAAATTAATTTAATTTTTTTTTTAATTTACAATTTCTTTTCAATTTTTTTTTTTTCAATTTAGAATTTTTATGCAGAACTTTTTGTATAATTTTTTTTGTTGTTTTGATTTAATTGATTTTTTCAAAATTTGGAATATTTTTATATGACATTTCACTTACATTTTCGTATATTTATTTTATGCTCGTTTACAATAGTTTCCTGGCACTTTGCGGTAGAAAATATTTATTCTTAATCCCAATTGTTTATCGATTAAACAAATTTTGTTTCCAAATCAACAAGAAGTAACTACAAAGTTATAGACAGTATTATATATACATACATATATGTATGTACAATGATAATGAAAATGGAATGAGAATGGCGAACCCAATTCCCAATCGATGATGATGAAGGGGAGCCTGATTGTCCGACTACGAAGAAGTTCGCATAGCAATCGATCGCCTCAAAAACATCAAATCGCAGTGACCTATACGCCGACGGAGAACTGATCAGGTGCATACATGGATAGATTAAAGCATGCCCGAAGAATGGAGCCTAAGTTTGCTCCATAAAAAGGGAGATCCCTCAGTCGGCGGCAATGGCCGTGGGAAAAGCCTCCTCGAGCGCATTGTGGTGTACATTCACCACTGTTGCGATATTTACCTTGTGTCAAAACGAAGTGAACAAGGACAAGACGAAATATATTCTGTTATCAAACAAAAAGTCGGCGCGCTTACGGCTTGGTTCCCACGACCATGTTGACGGTCAAAACTTTAAAGTAATAGCTGATTTCATCTATCCAGGGACTAGAATTAATACCAATAATAGTGTCAGCCTTGAAATACTCTCGCCAACAGATGCTATTTTGGAATGAGTAGGCAATTTAAATGTGAAGTCCTCTCTAAACGATCCAAAAGTAAGCTCTACATGTCGCTGCTGTCCTGTCATTCCAAAAAAAGCGCAAAAGCGTGGACGATGTCGAGATCTGATGCGTGGGTCCTGGGAGTCTTCGACAGAAAGGTTTTGCGAACGATTTGTGGTCCATTGTGCATTGGCTACACTGGTTAGGTCATGCTGCTTGTATTATTTTATGTATGTTTTCATTGTTTTTGTTTTGATTTTAATTTATTTTGTTGTTCACAAATTTTCTCACTTTTTTAAACATTAATTATATTTTTTTTCCTAATTTTTATTAACAATTTTTTTTTTTGCTTTTTCTATTAAATTTCGATATGTACATATATAAAATAATGTACATATGTATGTATATAAATAAGCACCAAACCTTCGGTACCACACCAAAGTCCAGCATTCGAACCAACGTTCTTAAAAGACAAGTCGCTTACGCTTCCATCAACAAATACGCACCAACTTTGCCAATGCGGCGCTATGACGTCACACGTCTAAAGCTCAGTATAATTGGTTTACGCAGTAACTGTGCTCATTTACTAACATTCATACATTTGTATGTACCTATGTATGTATGTATATAAATAAGTTTTATGTTTTTTCTCGTCGAAAAGGAATTTTTACTTTTTATATGTACATACATACTTACACACATATATAATATATATTTGTATGCTTTTGGAGATAAACAAGTTAATTGCGCGATGCGTGCGATAATTGCTTGCTGAATTCTAAAGTTAACCGTGTGATTACTCTTCAAAGGAGTGTTTGGCGAGCTCAGCCCCAACAATGAAACGGAGATCCATCAAAGCTCATCAGAATCCAAGCATCAATAGGACAGTACTGGGACTTTATCTGAGTGAACGTACATTTAAGGAAGATTAATATGGGCTTGTTTTAAGGTTCTTGAGGAAACTTGTTATTTGGAGGAAATAAAAAAGTTTGTCAAAACACTGAACTGAGCATATGGAGTTGAAAGAAGTCTGTGTTAAGAAGAAATATCTCTTATTCTAGAAAAACTACTGGCTCTAAGTTTAACTTAAGTCAAAGTTCTCTCCCTATGAACAAAGTAGGGCGGGCATGCTTTTGGAACGGTGTCTACACCACTCACGATGAGCAAATACTATGCTGCATTGATCTGGGCGTCGGGAATGAACGAGACGCAGATGTAGAAGCTACAGGCTTGCCAGAACACCGCCCTCAGGACCGCGACAGGAAAGCTCCTGATGTCGCCGGAGCATCACTTGCACAGGGAAGCTTCTATGCTACGAGTTAAGGAGCATAATGCCTTGCTGTGCAAGCAGTTCCTATTGGGATGCCACCTTTAAGGACTCCCTTCCAGTGAATGGCGTACTCGGAGAGAAACCACCACCTATAGCAGACAACGAGCTCGAGCTGCCTCGAGAGACCCGCGTGACTCTGACACATCTTAGGTCTGGATATTGTAGCAGGTTAAACTCCTACCTATCCAGACTAGACCCCAGCATACCCAACGTATGCCCTGCATGTGGAGACTCTCCGCACGACACTAACCACCTCTTCACATGCCCTCTCAAACCAACTCATCTAACCCCCTTCTGGTCAAACCTCGTCGAAACAGCTCGTTTCCTGGACCTATCATTAGATGACCTCGGCGACTAAGACTGATCAAACTTGTGCCTAAGCGGGGTTAGCGAACCGCTACAACAACAACAACAGCAAGTACAATATTTGAGAACTTTGACAACAGAAATGGAATGGAAAGTCCTAAAATTTTTCTGTTATCGAGCAGCGTACTCACCTTTTAAGCCATTCAAATTGTAATAAAAGAAAACGGATACATTTTTTTAATTTCTTTTAACTTTATTGAAATGCCTCAACACTCTTTGGGGTTCTCATAGCGATATGTTGGTATTATAATCAAATTTTTTGGCTTGCAATTGGAGAACACGACGACTTGGACAATATGTAGTTTCAACAAGGTGCCACACAGCACAAGCGATATAGCTCTATAGAGAGAGAAATTTCCCGGCCGTGTAATCTCTCGTCTTGACGAAGCCAATTCGACACCGAAATCTTGTTGGACTCGCTTAGTTTATGCCGAGGTGATGTAATTCGCCCGGCATTTATTCGCATGTATACAGTTATATCTCCAAGTGCTGCTGCAAGTGCGATTTACTGCGGCCATTCTTTCTAATTCAAGTAATTAATTACCTTTTCACCACAGGTGCTATAAAAAACCTGCTCCCATTTTCATAAACAATTGCAAACACACTTGTGATATTTTTTTATTAATTTTTTTTATTTATTTATATCATTTTATTTCATTTATATTTCAATTTCAACAGCTCTTCAATTTTCGGCTAAGACTGTTCAAGTTTTCAGTTTACAGTTTGGGAGGCGCTGTATAATTACACTGGTGGCTAGAAAAAACGCATACACGGTGTACTTACAAACAAACATATATTGTACATGTACATATACATACATACACATGTACTGTACCTATGCAGTGTGGTCTGGTGTAGGTGTTGGTGGTGGAGGCGGCGGCAGCGGCGCTACGCTTTTTTTTATTGTGCAAAACACACTATAATTTAATTTATTTGTAATCAGCTGATTTTTTGGTTTTTTTTTGGTTTTTTTGTTTTGTTTTTTGTTCAACAATCCTTTCTATGTGCTCGTATGTCTCTGTATGTAATACTATTATATGCAAGTCTGTAGGCATATGTTCATGTATGTAGTGGAGGGTAGGAATTAGTGGGCAGAACTTTGTGTGTGTGAGTGCGCGTGTGTGTGTATTTTAGCGTAGCCAACACTACCGGCTTTTATTGCACTTTTGTTGTGGCCTGCTACTTTTTCAACTTTTTTTTCGTTTTCACTGCAATTTCCTGTTGGATTTGTTTGTTTTTTTTTTTTTTTAGTTTTTGTTTAGCTGTTTTTTTACATGTAAGGGAATATATAATCTGGTGTGTGTGTGTGTGTGTGTGTATGTGAGGGACATAAATACTTCCTGTTTTCCTGTTTTCCGTTTATAGCCATCAATTTTCTTTATACTATTCTTTGTTTAATGGTTTAAATTTTCATTTTTATTATTTATTTGTTATTAATATAATTTTCGTTTGTTTCATATTTTTAATACAGTTACAAGTACACATTTATTTCTGGCTAACTTCTGCTTATGCGGCATTTTGCTCATTTTGCTTCAACTAATGTTTTTCTCGTTTTTTATTTTTATTTTTATTTCTCCTTTTACTTTTTTTTAGTTTTGTTTTTAATTTATATTCATGCACTCCTTACACTTAGTCACTAATTTTATTTCGTATGAAAAAACAGAAAAAGTTGAAATGAAAATAAAAAATTTGATTTTTTTTTGTTTTGAAGAAAATGCTGTTGCGTATATTTGCCATTTTGCACACACATGCATGAGATTTAGCAAATTATTGTTGTGGCTGCGTTAAATGAGAATTTCGCATTTTTGCGCTCTTCCTCCACAGAATTTGTTAGTTAGTTGATTTTTCGCCACACATATATTTCAAATAAATTTTTTTCTTCATTATTTTTATTATTATGATTATTAAGTGTATGTGTGGGTGTGTGTGTGTGTTTATTGCATGCCATAATATATTATATTTTGTATTCAAGTTAATTCTCTCTTAAGTTTTTCCATTTGTTTTATCTTTTATCAATTTTCCTTGTATCAGTCATAATTTTGGTATATTTATGCATTTTTAATCTTTATTTTTTGCTTGCGCTCTTCTTTCGTTTATAATTAATAATTTTTGCTTATACATATTTATTTACTATTTTTATATTTTTGAAATTATTGCAATTTATACAGAGTAATTTTTTGCTTAAATAACTAGCGGTTTTTGTTTCTTCTATTTAATATTAATTAATCTACAGTTTTGTTTTGTTGTTTTTTTTTTTCTTTAATTTACATTACACAATTTGCGGCGCTTTCATTGATGTTCTGTTCCCGGTTAGCGGATGTCGTTTAACGGAACCGTGTTTTCTATTTCTCCAATATTTCATCAAATCGCTTTCTTTTTACCTTTGTCTTTTCTTACAAAATTGGCGTGTTTTTCGCTTGCCTTGCTATTCGTTAATAGTTTTTTGTATATTTTTATTTTTTATTTTTATTTTTATTAAAATACATAGCAGTACTTGCTTTACATATACATAATATATAGTAACACAACTTTCTGCGTACATATAAATGCCAAATGTACTGCATTTTCACATTTCACTTTTTCATTATTTTTAATTATTTTATGCATTTTCCATCATTATTTTCATATTTAAACCTAATCAATGATCACTTAGCACCTAACAGTAATTAAGGTTATTTTTGGGTGTTTTGTTTCATTTACAGTGTGTGCTTATAGCTAAATTTATTCATATATATATAGTACATATATATATGTATGTATATATTTATATTAATATTTATATTTAGTTTACTTTGTTTTTGTGTTTTCTTTAATTTGATTTTCATCTATGCCTAATAATTCCTTAATTAGGATAACACTAGAGATGCGATTAATCATTAGTCAATAATCATATTAATGATAATTATAATTTTAATAATATTAAAAGTATTTAATAATGTTGTTCAATACAAAATTTACATGTCGCATTTAATTTAGTATACACATTATGTTGATAATAATAAAATTAATAATAGAAAATTCGTTAATAATAAACATAAATCGTTGAGTATGCAAGTAATTCGTTAGTTATTATATAAATACATGGCTTGAAAGAGAGTACATTGCATTGAGTGAAAGCTTTTGGCGCTTTCGAGTAGAAGTCTTACTTGCGCTAAATTTCCATAAATAAAATGAGAAAGTGGGGAGAACCGTTTGGAAGGCATAATTATACCTTGACAACGAGCTTTGTGCTTTCGGTTGATTTAGTAAGAGCTTTCAAATGATTGCCAAAAGCTTGCCGAAAGCCTTTCCAAACATATTGTTATGACTTATAATTAAGCTTTAAGCTTGCTTCTCAGTGCTTTCGCCGAGGTCTGATTTGCTCTAAATATTTGTTAATAAAAGTAATTTATTGCCGAAAACTCCATTAAAGGCGTATTTTTCATATTTCACCTGCGAGCTTTTATGCTTTCAGTTGATTTTGCGTGAGCTTTCGCATGTATTGAAAGTGCCGCAAGCGAAGTCGAATAGCCATTAAGTCTATTGAGAGCTTGATAAAAGTCTTTGAATGGATTTTGGCGAGTCAGAATTTAGCTTCAAGTTTTTAAGTGAATTTTCAAAAGCAACAGATGAACTTAAGCAATTCTAACGCTTTGAGCGCTAGAAATCGAACAAATCATAATTTGTTGGTTAAAATATAGAAAAGGCGTTGAGTTTTTTTTATTACATACATATATAAAAAGATTATTCGAAAAAGATTAAATAAGAAAAAAATTCAATAAAGTATTTATTAAATGCAAAAAAAATATATATAGTAAATATGATGAAAAAAATTAAATGAATAAAAATTGGCAATAAAGAAAATTATAAAAGGTGTAATTTATTGGGGGTTTCTACGAAGATATGCCTTTAATTGTTATCTTAAACTCATTTATAAATTTATTAATACATATTTTAAAGCAGATATTTTTAATATTATTTAAACTTAATGTTACTGTTGCATTGAAATAAATAATTTACAAAATTTAGGTGCACCAATTTTGTAATAAAAAAAATATAACAATAAAAGAATCTTGAAAACGTTGAAAAATCAAGCTTAAAAAATTTTAAAAACGCTTATAAAATTCTTGGAAAATTTCAACGTAATATTTTGGTGACAAAAAAGTTACTGATATTTTTTAGATAATTAAAATATAAATGGCATTTGCAAACACTAAAACTATTTATTAATTTTTACAGCAAAAAATATTTTTTAACAATAAAAAATGTTTATAGCAAAATTTAGGTGACCAACAGAATTTGACTGCTGCTTACGTGCCCCTTTTCAACCAACCTACTGGATATAGTATATATAAAATCAAAGTAAAGTAAAAAATATTCGAGACAAGTGAGATATTAGCCAAACAGCATTTACGCTTATCACAAACTTTTTAAAAAATTTTCCAAGTTTATTTTTAATTTTTTAAGTAAATTTAGATTTTTTTATTATGCAAGCTTTTGGTAAGCAAATGCGTAGAATTTTAATTAAAAAATCATATTGAAAATAGCAAAGCATTATGCTTCAATGAGGCTGGCAGTTTGACAGCCACTGTGCGCATGTAATGTGCGGCTGCTTGCGGAAAGAAGTGCGCGTATGGGGACTTACAGAAAGGAAGTATAATTTTAATAAATGTGTATTTTACATACATACACTATGCTGCTAAGGAGTATTTAAAATGTAAAAGTGTATTTATATCGAAGACAAAGGCGGTGTGTGAATTTAGCAGTTTATACGTGAGTGACAGTTTGAAGAAAGTATATTTCAGGCTATGAAAATTCGGAACAATTATTTAAAAATAATAAAAACTTTAATAAGAAAAAGACATATGTGCCAACAAATAAAAAAAAGCATAAGCTTTATAATTATTACGGAAAAAGTTTTGAGAAAAAAGAATTTTAGTAATTTAAGATATAAAGTAACAAAGTTCAAAGTCAGCAAATAAATTATAAAATTTCACTACGCTATGCCTGCTTTATTAACATATTTCAATTATTTTTTCTTGTTTTTCCTTATTTTTTACTCTTCAGATTCTCTTTATGCACCAACTATTTGCTTTCTTTTCGTCTTACTTCCTGCAATTATACAAAAACATTCAGTTACACTAAGTTCATGCTTTTCTTCGCCTTAATACGCCGCCTTTTTCTTACATCTGCCTATTACAATACTTAATTAGCTAATCTATTACTGCTTATTTACCACTTACAAGTTAAAATTTGATGGCTTTTTCACTGGCTCACACTTTCTGTTGGTATTTTTTTTGTGACTTTTTACAAAATAAACGCGGGCTTTTCAAAACAATGCTACGCCTGCTGGTGGTACACAACCTCAAAATAAAATGCTTGCTGGTTTTCCATGCATGTTAAGCAATGCCGCACATTACTTTCGATTTTTTGCAATTTCATGCTTCATGAAAAAAACACCTTTCGTTTTTCCTTAAAACTCCGGCATTTTTTCTAATATCGCCGCTCTTCAGCTCTCGAATAATGTTGAATATGAATAGTTTTATTGTTTTATGCTAAATTTTTTTCGTAATGTGCGGCTCCTCTACTTGTTTTGCAGTCTGCCATCACTCATTTCGTTTTTACAAATTTGCCATTTTCTCAGAGTTTTCTGTTTCTGTATCTCTAGTATTTTTTATGATTTTTTTTACACACAAACCTACTCATAGTATTGAAATTAGTCGTACGTACGCATACATATTTTGTTTTTTATCTAAATACTCCTTAAAACATTAATCTTAATTTTCATTGCAGTTGATTTTTTTTTTCAATTAAATAGTATTGTTTTCTTCTGCATCTTCTCTTTTCAATATAAGTCCTCTGTATCTGTGCTTTTGCTGCTTCGATAGTGCTGCTGCTGTTCGTAGTGGTAGTTGTTATTGTTATTGTAATAGTATTCGTCTTGATAATTGTAGTCTTCGCCCTCACTATCGTTGACTTCATCGACAACAGCGCGTAGGTCGCGTACGTCCTTTGGTTGCACCTCGTCAGCGTCACTGTTGTCGTTCTCGTTCTCGTCTTCGTCATTATCATCGTTTTCACCGTCATCTTCGTCGCTGATCTTGCTGTTGTTGTCCAAGTACAGTGTTGTTTCGAGTGTGTTAAATTTATTTGCTGCAGCGCCCCGCTGCCAACCTTCGTTTAACTTGCTTCTCCTAAGCTGCTCAATCTCTACATGTTCTGTACGCACACGCCCAGCAGCTTTGCTCATTTTGGTCACAGTTGTCTCTATATCGCTTATTTTATTTGCATCTTCACTATTCTCCCCTACTCACGCACTCAAGTCCACAACTCTCACCTGCTGACGGCGTGATTTCGCTGACCGATGTCCATTACCAATCTTTCTGCGCTTGCGTTTCGCATCGCGTTGGAATGCTACATTGCCGGGATCATCTGCCAGTTGTGGATATTTGTGGATGCTGTGTATGTCAATGCCGATCCACCCGTCTACATCGCCATGCGACACCAGCTCCTCCTTCTCCTCTTCCGTCCAGTCGCCGCGTCCTTGGAAACCAGCAGCCACTAGCTGCTTTTCAAGTTCCCACGCGCGTTCGACGGCGCGTTTGTGCGCATGTTTGAGTATACGGTGACGCTCTTGATCGGGATCGACGCCATATTTAATGATCACCACTGCATCGGGTCCGTGGAGACGTAATTCCTTTGCAGCGGTACCGCCATGATCGGTTACCTCGTGTGTTGATATGTTGAACATGCCACCGAGTCGTCGAAGTTCTTCGTTGTCGTCGCGCAGTTTGAGCACATTGTCTTTGACAAAGTAGAAGACATCCTGATCGTGTATGCTAAAGTGCAGATCGAGGAAGTAGGAATTGTTGAAGACGGAGGAGACAACATCTTGCACAACGCTATTTGAGCCATCGACCACGCTGACTAGTGCGCGTCCGCCAATGCGTGAAAGTAGCACGCCCTCGCCGAAGACGCCACGCCGGTAGCTAATGCGTGGCAAGAGGTTTCGCATCTTCGGTTCCATTTTTAGCAGTGGTTTCGGCACGAAGTCAAAGTCGCTGAACTTCTCGTTGGTCTTCTCGACAATGCACTCCAAGCCGGAGATAACGCCAAACTCTGGCGCGAGTGTATTCGATTTGATGGATATTTGTGGCACATACTGTGCGTCTTTGGTGTATTTCGAGCTCTGCATGTTGCGTAGATCATACCCGAAAAGCTGTAGCCATGATTCCAAGTCGATCATATAGTTCTGTGGTTTATTGGGGTTGATGGGGTCATTATTGTGGTAGCGGTAGATAAAGACGTCTGTAGGATTAGACATTTCGGTAGCAAGTGTTTCCCACTTAGGTGTCATCCACTGTCCAACTGTGGGGTCGTAGTGGCGGTCTTCGGTATAGACCAATTTTGTATTGGGATCAAGCAATCCACCATGAAAATCAATTGGTATGAAGAAGTCAGGATTGGTGTCTTTGATAGTGCGACCGAAAGGTGTGCGTCGAACATCCTTAATTATGATGCCGTTCGGATCGAAAAACGCCAGTGGTGAGCCATTCTGATCTGTAGCTACATAGTAACGCTGATCGCCATTCTCCACGGCAATCAACATATCGCGATCGTCGTAGAAGAAACGCAAGGTTTTACCTACCTTCGGGAAGTGTACATGCGTCAGCAATTTAGGCGTCTTCGGGTTCGCGTAGTAGTACTGCGTTATGTTACCTTTACTGTCGTGCCAGGCGATCAAACGGCTGCGGTCATCGTAGTAGTACCACGACTGGAAACGATCTCTTTCGAAGGCATGTATCAGCTGGCCGCGGTTGTTGTAGCGGTATTTCTGCTCACCGCGACGCACCACAAAACCACGCGCATCATAGTTGTTGAACTCAATTTCACCAATTTGTATGACACGATCGCCAATATCGTAGCCGAGGTTGATTTTCTCGCCTTGATCCACAATGCCCACGGTGTTGCCGTTCTCATCGTATAAGTACTTCCAATTGTTTGTGCCGAGCACTTCGATAACGTGGCCGTCGGCATTGTAATTGATCTTATCGAAAGAGGTTGAGCGCCCCAATGTGGTCTTCTGCGACTTGATACGATTGCGCAAATCGTAGTCTAACTCGAGGCGGAAGACGTCGAAGCTCTTTATATTCATGAGCACGCTCTTCGCGCGACCATGTTGATCGTAATCGATGATAGTGAAAAATTGCTTCGCAGAGTCTTGTATTACGGTGCGGTTGAAGGCGTTGCGTGTGATCTTCAGATCTTGCACCACTTCCAGTTGACCTAAGTTCTGACTGTACTTGTAGCGTGCTGTAGGCACTTCCTTGTCATCAATGGACATTTCGATGCTACTGAGACGTGCATTGCCATCGTAGAAGTATTTATAGTGAGCGGAGGCCAAAGAGTTCTTTGAGCCAAAGCGTACTTTTTCATCCTTGAGTATACCGGCGTGGTACTTGAACTCGCGACGTAACTCGAAGCCGGGCTCCTGTACCTCAACTGACTTTATGAGGCTGGTTGTGTCTTGATAGGTGTAGTGTGTACTCGAGAGACCAGCCAATATAGTTTCTAAACGGCCAGCAGAGTCATGTACGAACGCCACCTTGCCGGATTGATGTGGATGTATCTTGGCGAGTATTTGACCCTCATCGTTGTAGAGTATTTCGAATGGATGGCGGTTAATGGGCGAGAAGTACTGATACTTGAAGAAGCCGAGTGAGGTCTGCAAGGAGAATGCATGTATGTGGCCACGTGGTGTGGTTAAGCTTTGTAACGCGCCTGCGTCATCGTACTGCAACAGATAGTCAGAACGGCGTGGTGTGGTCACCTTCAGTGGTAGTGAGCCGAACATGTCTTTGAAGGCATAAACCATTGAAGAGCCGTCACCGTATTTGATTTCATTCAAGCGCCCATTGCGATCAAAGGAGTATGCCTCCTGTAGTACACCCCACTTCCAACTTACTAAACGGCCGAAGCGATCGTATTCCAAGTCGACATCAGCATAATCGCCGGATTGTGGACGGAAACTGACTGGACGTGCTGTGCGGTCGTATGTTACATTCAAGAGCTCCTGCTTATCATCGACCAGCACTACCACGGACTGCGTGTCGCGATCGTATTCCAGGGTAAGTACATTGTCACCATTGACGCGTAGTTTGCGTCCCACTTGTGAGACGGGACGTGGTCCTTTGCCTTGTTTACCTTGCTGCATGCGACGCACAAAGTAACGCCACTCAAAGCGATTAGCCAGATCGCCTGCGATTTCGGTACGTTGCTTAGCGGGTACGGGATAGCTTTCTCCAATTACTGGGTTGATTTCAGCCAAGATAGCGTACGGTACTACCTCCATCTGCACCGTGTGACCCCATGGTGTTAGGCTTGTCATTGAGCCGTCCATTTCTACGGAGGTCTTAGATTCAGCAGCACCATTGCGTACCATAACGGTGGAGCCTTGAATCAGCATCGATTGTTCCTTCTGTGCATTCTCAGATATCTTAACCTGTGCGCCTTTAACGCTTAGATCGAAAACTAAGTCAATGACACGGCCTGTGGGTGTTACTGCCGAGGTGAGACGACCAAACTCATCGTAGTTGTAGACATAGGAGCGGCCGGTGGAATCGAGTTTAGTCTTAAGCAACCCAGTGGGACCGTGATACTCGAAGGTCACATTGTAGTTGTCAGGTGTACTCAGTTCGTGCAACATCTTCATGCGTGTCATGCGTAGACGACACTTCTGGCCCTTCGTGTTTTCAATGGAGTTGACCTGTGAGGTGTAGTCGCGCAGTAGGAAGACTTTATTGCCCGCCGCATCGGTGACGGTGCTGAGTTTCCCGTTCGAGGTGTTGACATTATAGGTGAAGACGTAAGTGGTTTCACCAGTGAGAATATTCTTTGTAGAGACGTGTTGTCCAAAGCGATTAAAGATGTATATTTCTTGCATATCTGGTGCATAGATTTCATACTCGCGTGAAACGCTCGCTTCCGGTATACTGGACATAACGGAACGTATGCGGTAATTTGCTTGGTCGGCAATGTGTACATGACCGTCGGGGGTGACAGAGAGTGCGGCTATAGTGTTGAACTTTGCGCTCGTTGCCAGAAAATGTTCGGCCTCGAAGCAGTCGCAGCCGCGTTCTAAGCAATTGCATTTGGACTCCGCGCCTGCGAAAGGTGCAATGCGTCCGTCCGTGCCAATTACGCGCACGCGATTAATGCGCTGTGAGTCGCTCTCTGCCACATACAGCTCGCCCATAGGACCAAAGGATATGGATTGCGGCATCACAAGAGTTGCGTGTGTAGCCAAATCAGAGTCATAGACGGTAGAGGTGGTGGCACAGTGCAATGGGCGTCCAGAGATCACACGCACGCGTCCATCTGGTGTCATACGCAAGATCATGTGATCATCGATGATGTGCAGCGTATTGTCTAAGGGGCTCACAGCCAACTCAGTGGGCCAACGCAAATGCATTTCCTCCAGTTTGAGTGTACCTTCACAAGGTATGGGCTTCCAGTGTGACTTGTGCATATGATTACCAATCAACGTAGTAACAATGCCGTCGCGGTCCACCATGCGTATATTCGTTCCATCGGCAAAGTAAAGTATGTTGTCGCTAGAAATAGCAATGCCTTTGGGGTAAGCCAGTTTTGCATCTTTGGCTAAGGCGCCATCGCCACAATGTGCTTCATCACCTGGAAGACAACGTTCACCCGAGCCGACAATTGGTTCCCAGTTCTTTTCCGGTTGAGAATAGTCATTGGTGTCGCGTACGCGTATGATCTGATGCGACTCCGGATCGGATATGAAGAGTGTGCCATCGAGTGGACTGAGCGCCATGTGATAGCGGTAGGAGACGCGTGTGGCATTCAACTTAACAACCGTGCGTATGCTGCCGTCGGTCATAATGCGGCGTATGTAATTAAAGTCGCCCACATACAGGCTGCCATCGGGAGAGGAAGCCAATGCGACAGGCGCTAGTAGACGTTGCTTGTAAGCCAAACCCTCACATTCGTTACACTCCAGTGGACGCTGATGGCCATCACCCATGGTGGTGAGTATGACTCGTGGTTTATTCTTCAAGTAGATGTTGGATCCGTCGCCCTTCTGCAGTATGCCCTCGTGGAAATTGTAACGGTGATGTATATCAAGATTCCAGCCACCCACCTCCGAAATGGACATGTCATGACCGGAGAGTTTGGTGGTTTGTATATCCCAAATGATGTCCTTGCAGTCGGTGTATTGATAGCCCACCTTCACAATAGCGGTGGTCACGCCATAAACGCGCTGGCGATAGATATTCAAACGATTCCAAGCATAAGTGAATTTAATGCCCGGATCAGCTTCAAACACGCGCTCGAACAAAATGCCTTCAATGGTTATGCGCAGATGTATCAAGTGTAACGTGTCCGGTATACTCTCAGGCGTGAGTTGCAGCTTTATTGTCGACAGGTAACCAGCGGCACGCGAGGAGTGATAAACCAAATTCAAACCGGTGCCAGGTATTTGCAAAGACTCCTGTATAACTTGTGATTCGGCCAAAATTGCCGACCGATCGGGACAAGCGCCTTGGAAGCCATGCTTCCACGAAGCCAACACAACCGGTTTCATGAGATCATAGTCATGCGAGAAACACGTGTGCGGTACGGGTATCAAATTCTTCTCCTCCGACATGGACATAACCACCACATCAATGATGATCACTTCATTCCAGGGTATTTGTACGATACGCGACTGTGGCCGGAAAGGTGAGCGCCCAAATTGCAGTGTGACGGCGCCACCACCATTGACCATCAAGTCGAACCAGCCATCATCGCGTGTCAGCGTGAAGCCTTCGAGGAGTGTTGTGGTGGATACGCGTACGCCAACCAAACCCATGCCGAGTGAGGTGACGACACGACCGCGTATAACGGCGGAACGGCTGCGATGGGGAAAGAGAGAGAGAGAGAGAAAGGGAGAGAAAAATGCGAGTTAGTGACATTGCTGTGATAAGAATGGAAAAAGAATTGTGTACAATGTAAAATACGATATTATATCTTTTTATCTTTTGTTTTGTTTTTTATTTTTTATGTTTTTGAAGAGCGTAAAAATATATATGCAAAAAGTTGAAAAAAATCGACCAACAAGCAGTAGAATAAATTATAAGAAATATTTGCATAAAATTGTAGCTAAAAAACGTATTGACATTTACTTTTATGTACGTAATATTAAATATAAACTACATTAAATGAATAACAGTAAATTCGCTAAATTAACGGCAAATAATTGATAATAAATTGATAAAAAAGTACACACGCACATATAAACATAAAATAGACTGATTCTCTCTGATATAAAACACATAAGACACAAACGAAGAACGAAGTTTGAACGAGCGAAACAGCGAACGAACGAACGAACGAACACGAATGCACGAACGGATGTTTACAAGGTGTTCGTAAATTTTTTCTATAAATATCATAACGGTAGTTGTATAGTTGTATTGAATTGCAGTAAATTTTTCGCATTTTCTATTGAAACCAAAACCTAAATTGTTGTAGGGTTGCTTTGGAATTCGTGGTAATACTTCTTTCTTATAATTGCAGAAAAAGTCCCGCTAGTATTATTTATTTTTTTCAGTGAAAATTATGTAAGTAAAAAGGTGAATTAAAAAATGTGTGTGTATGAAATGCACTACTAAGAGATTAAAACAACACTACTAAGCCTTGAGAAAGGCATATAAATATTTAATGTTGAGCATTTGAGGTTAGAACTGAAGAGTTTTTAGAAAACTATAAAATTAGAATTTAAAAATTATTTAATGTTAAAAAATTAAGGTTAGAAATTAAAAGTTTGATGAATATTTATGAAATTAAGTGGATAATGTGAGGTTAGAAATGAAGAGCAACTATGCAATCAAAATTTAACAGCTATTCGTAGTAGAGAATTTGAGACTTGGAATGACGAGGTTAGTAAAAAAGGTTCCAAAAATATTTAAAACTTATTTTTTATTCAAATTCTAAGACTAGAATTAAAAAAGTGAATAAAAGAAACTGAAACCTAAAATATATTTAATAAAAAAAAGTATTTTTGGGAAAGTAAATTTAAAAAAAAAAAAAACAAACATATATAACTGAAATCGAAATGAAAAAAAAAATTATGAAAAATGGTACATTAATGAACGGAATATGTTGTTGTGAAAATTCTAGCTTTAAAATTAATTTTTGAGTGCAAAAAATATGAAAAATAAAACTTAAAATAATAACATTTCACAAAAAATCGGCTTAAAAATGAAATAAGTTCTCGTGTGAGTGCGAGATATCAACAAATTACTGAAATGAACGAACTATGTATGTAATGATAGAATAAAAATCCAAATTTAGAAAATTCAATTAACTAAAAAGCATTAACCAAACAACCATCGTATTTTTTTTTTTAATTAGTTATATTAGGTTGAGCGCTTTTTGTTGTTGCTTTCTTTTTGGCTTACCTTGCATTGAAATAATTCCAAAAAATGCTGTTAGTGTTTAATGAATTTTGATATGATTTTTGTAGCGATTTGTTGGTTTTTGTATTTTTTTTTATATTTTTTGCATTTTTTTTTTGATTTTTTGTATCGATTTTTTTTTTTAATTATCGAATTGAGAGTGCCGAAAGGTATGCATATTTTCAAAACGTATGCATTTTATTTGAATCAAACAAATCGAGTTATTTTATTAGTAAATTGGTTATGTGTACGCAGTAGTAGTAGTAGTAGTAGTGGTAGTGATGTTGTTGGTGGTAGTAGTATTTGGTTAGTAGTGTAGTTTTAGGGCACGCGTGTAAGAGAAGAGAAAAGAGTAGAGAAAATTAATTGCATTAGCGTTGATTTTAATGTTTGGTTACGTGGTATATATTTTTAACTTATTTTTTCTTCGAAGAATAAAAATGTTGAAAAACGTAAACTGAGACACGAGTCTAGTAAAATTGAGAAAAAAAATACATGTTAACCTAATAAACATTGTTTTTATTTTCAAAAAACCTAAAACTATGCGTTGGGCTACTCAATAATGCGCTCATTTTCTTTTTTCTATTTGTTTTTCATAATTTCATACTTTCCGTATAAAACTGTTGCCTACATTTAGGGTGAATTTGTTGTAGGGCGGGTGGTGCAATAACAAAGGACATTTAGTGGGAATTATTTACATTTGTATATGTTTTTGGCTGGGCTTGTGGTGGGGAATTGTCTTGAGGATGGGAGATTTTTTTTTAGACATGGGCACGAAAACTCAAAAGTATCAAAACGTAAAAACTTAAAAAAGGCAAACTAGTTGTCATTATGCATTATTTTTTTAGTGTTTTTTTTTTCGTCTTGAAACAGGATATTTACATCCACTATACACACTAAAACATCAGCGTTTTTGTAATGCAAAAATTTTGTTTTTATTTCTTCAAAACAAAAAATTGTCTTTTCCTTTGCCAATTGCATGTTGTTTTTTTTTTATACACATTATTCGCAATAATCTTTTCAACATATTTAGCTAATTTTTGAACTTAAAAACGAAACACTTTCAAAAATAAACGCAAATTGGCTAACGCATTTGAACAAACCTTTCATTGAACGTCTCGAGTTTGGCATAATTCTGCAGACTGCTCTCGTCAATCAAGAATTTCATGCGTTCGAAGAATGAAGCGGTTATGGCGGGCGGTTGTTTGCGCAGCAAGACATCGATGGGCTTGGGTGCGGACACACAAAGCTGTGATGTCTTGCAGACGTGGCTGGCGCAGCACTCGGGATCCTCGCAATCGACGAGACCATCTGGAGAAATGCAGAGTTATTTAGTATTGTTACCTCACATAGTAATCACAATCACTCACCCTTGTCATTGTCCTTGCTATCGCCACAGTTCAGTTCGAGCGCTATGCCACAATCCGGGCCATCCCAGCCCTCGTAACAACGACATTCCCATTGACCCTCTCCGCTAACACGACACTGGCCGTGCGCCGAGCAACCATTCGGACAGCCTTCGATAGTGCAGTGTTTGCCATTCCAACCGGTCACACAGAGACAGGTGCCGTTCTTGCACTGGCCATGCTCATTGCAGCGTGTATCGCACAGCTTCGTGTTGCAGTATTCGCCACCCCATTCGGCATCGCAAGTGCAGGCGTCACCCACACAACGACCATGTTGACCGCAATCCAAATCACAAAGCTCCTTCGAGCAGTCGTCGCCACTCCACTTCGGTTCGCAGGTGCAGGTCTGTGTATCGACGTCGAAGCTGCCGTGGTTCGAGCAGTCGGGCAGGCATTGCAGCGCATCCTTGTCTACCGTAGCACAATCCGTGCCCTTCCAACCCTTCTTACAAATGCACGTGCCATCAGCGCAGAAGCCATGCCCAGAGCAGTTGGGATGCGGGCAGTCAACTGGAAGTAGAAATGTAAACGCGGTTTATTGAAAGATCTTCTGTAAATGTATTATATATAAGATGTACTCCGCGCTTCAAAACTGAAAACTTAAAAAACACAAAAAAGTCCTTCCAAACTCGTCGCTCATTACCTTCCTCACAGAATTTCCCTTTATAGCCACGCATGCATTGGCACTTGCCGCTCACGCAATGACCATGTCCATTACAATCGGCCACCTCGCACTCATCATGACGTAATGAACATTCTTTACCCTTCCAACCGGGATTACAAATACATTCACCATTTATATATTCGCCATGCTGTGAACACAACACGGGGCATACGCTTTCGCTGCAATCGTCACCACCAAAGCCGGGATTACATTGGCAGTGTCCGAGCAGGCACTGACCATTGCCGGAGCAACCGTTCGGGCAATTCTGTGTCATATCCTCGGCGATGGCGGCATAGAAGGTCACCTCCTGTGCGTCACCATCATCGTTGTATAGCGAAACGAACCAGTGACCGGGTTCCATGTAGCGTGTAACCTCCCGTGTAATCGATAACTGTGCGCCGAGGAAATACGAAGCGCGCACGAAGTGGTGAAGAGCGTCAGAGGAGTGTCGCGTGAGAGTACGCGCATTATCAAGCCGCGCAGCCGTAGCGTAAAACGTTAAGCGATGAGTGATAAAGTGTTGATTTGATGTTTGTTGTGATTTTTATGGTTTGTGGAACATTGAGCACATGTATGGATACATAGTTGTGTGTTTGTGTGTGATGTATTTGGGATGAGAAACAAGAAACAGAGAAACAGTTTGGTTAATTAAGCATTAGTTATAAGTTAGGAAATCTAAGCGACATATAATAATAATACATATTTGAGAAAATAAAACAGATCACTTAACAACCACAAATGAAAAGCATAATATTAAATAAACGCGCTCAAAGCTTCGCGCACAAATAGGGAACTCTACTCACGTGTGCTGCACGCGCTGTCCTTGTACTCGCGCTGAAACCACTCAACACTTCCTTAAAGTGATATTGCGTGTGTGTGGGCAAGGCGTTACGACGACCATAAACGCCAATCGAGGCACCACGCGGTATTGTATAATCGAATTTCACATAAGCCGGCTCCGATTGATAGAACTGCATATTCCAATAACTATACGGTTGTATCTCCTTAGTCAGCTTTTGACCCAATGTGATTTGCCCGAAGGTAGTGCCATCTGGTGGGAAACTGCGTGCTGGGAATGTGCGCGCGCCTACGCGACGTTATTGTGCGCGAGGGCGCGGGCGAGCAAGTTAATGATCGATCGTGTAGTGCAGCATGCGTACGATTCGTAATGTAAGTTGCGTGCGCAAAAGGCGTTACGTAAAACGTGGCCGCCATGATGTGGTGTATGAATGCGTGATGAGTTTACAATAAAAGACGTAATAAATTGTGATGAAGGGAAAGAGAAGAGAAAAAGGGAAATCGTACATTGTTTTAGAATTCCATATTCAATATTTTTTTATAAATTAACTATTTATTTAAATTTTTATTAATTTTGTATGCAGATATTTCAGGAAAATTTACAAGATATGCTGTAAATTTACATGTAACGATTTTTTTTACAAAGTTTTAAAATGATTTGTACTTCTTTTGGGCACGGAAATTTTCATACAAAAGGTAAGTTGAGAATGTGTTGATAAAATAATAGGTTTTGGATTTAATTTTTTTTTAAATTTTGCATTTTTTCTATGCACGCATATTTCCTCCTTGCATCGTGGTTATCTTGAGCGTTAAAATAATAGTCCATTGTCTCTGAATTAATATGCAAGCAGTCATAAAAAGCGTAACTTTCATCTCTGTTGGCCAATAAGATTTTAACGCGCTCTTTCCTCTTCTCCTCATAACTAAGTGAAAGAGTTGCAGATGTTTATCCGTTGGTTAAGTTGATGTGTTTGAGTGAACGCCGACCCGCGCTCTCTGACCAATGCTCATCTGCAAACTATAGTGGGCTTCTGGAGAGTTTTGTTTTTATATTGAACGATAGCTTCATTGCGTGTAATTCTCAACCGCTTTATATTATGTAGTTTATATGTGAATGCTTTGTGTTTATGATTTATTTTTAGCTAGAATTTTAAGCGATAGGTATTTACAGCGATCATATAACTTTTAAATATATTATTTTAAATGATGATAGTGATTTCGGTTCTGTGGATGATGTAAATTTGTGTCCATTTTTGCCAATTTCTGTACTTTAGGTGATATTTATGGTGTGATTGATATACAAATGAATGAGTTAGATGTTGTTTAATTTCAGTTAATATTTTTAATTCAATTTATTTAATAAAAATTAGTGATGATATTAAATTACTGTAATATTTATCTACTTATAACTTTTAAAAATATTAGTATACTTTTGATTAGCTTTGCTTATATTTAGGTTAACTTTGGTTTGAATATGTCGACTGAATCGATTAAAAACTACTTAAACCATATACACTATAATTTATTTCATTATTATATAGCTTTTGCGTGCTGCAGATAACACAGCTGAGGTAAGAACTTTACATATATGGCTTATGAGGGGTTAAATTGGTCGCTCACACAACAGTTTGAGAGCGTGAGAGTTTTGTGTGGAGTTTTAATAAATACATCGTTATTTATGTGCATGGGTTAGTCTCGCTTTCTCCAAAATTTTATTAGTCTACAAGCATGAATTGTTAGTATTTGTCTTATTAATCACCATATACCATAGTCGTATACATAGAAACAATCACCTTCAAGTATCAGAATAGGCATAACATCAGGACATGCAGTTTTATTATTGCCAACACCAGCAAGGACAATATGATCATCAACACTTTGCACATCAGATGCAACAACACCAAGTAAATTAGTAAATGAAGTATTGGAGGTGGTTGTATTAAATAAGAGAAAGTCTTCAGTTGCAGTCTCGTAATTAGTGGGCATAGTTGCGGTTGCGGCGGAAAATTGTAAAGGCGGTGTTGGTGGGTTAAGGAAATTGTGCGTGGAATTTGGCGCCGTGGTTGTTATGGCAGCGCGGTGTGTATTATCGTCGGTATTATCATCCTTTAAGGCAACAAATTCTTCGACGCTTTCAGCAGTTTCTGCTGCTGCGTTGTTTGCTAAGAAATCTACACATTTACAAGGACATTCCGGTATGGGTGGTGGCGGCTCCGGTATGCAATAGGGACTGTTGTACATGGGCGGCGCGTCGTTATGCGCTTTTTGCACTTTCAACGGCTGTACATTCAATTCTTGTGGCGGTGCTCTCATGTGTTCGTGGGTGAGCACCTCTTGTATATCATTTGACCGTCCACCAAGCGGCACGGCGACATGCAGCGTATACACGGAATTGCTGTCGCCTTCGGTGGCGATCGTGACATTCACGAGTATATGTTTGTTCGGCAGATCGTATGTTTCGCTCACGACGGGGGGCTTGAGCGGGTAGGGTGGCGGCTCGTTGACTTGAATATCATCTTTTTTTAGCACTTCATTTTCTATTTTCGCTGGATACTTCGGCGGTCGGCTGGTGACAAACTCTTTATGTTTATTGTACATATATTTCGTCTTCTCCTGGTGGGCGCTTGCATTACTAGTGTCTTCTATGGTTTTGTAGATTTCATCTTCACTCGAATGTGTATCCTCCAATTTGATTATGTCAATGTCGTCGGCATTTGGCACGCTCATGTAATGTTGCTGCTGTTGTGGATGGTGTTGTTGGTCATTAGTAATGGAATTTGTATTGAAATTGTTATTGCCGTTTGTATTGTGCATGTTGTGGTTTCGTTTAGTATGCGTTGTGTCGCGCTGTGTGTGCTGCTTGCTGTGCAGTGGCATTAAACCGTCATTAAGCATGAGCTCATCATCAGGCTTAGTGTTGCTTTCATCAACTACAACTGTTGGTGTCGATGTGGTTTCTTGTGTGCGACTTAAATGGGTTAATGCTGCAGTGGTTTGCGCTTGAGCTTCGTCTTCAAGTTGGTGTGGCCCTTCAAGCTCTTTCACACCCGCATTCTTGCTTTCAGACACTTTTTCTGCTGTCTCTGCAGCGTCTATTTCATCAGTTGGCATGTTGGTCATTTGCGCTGGCTCTGTTGCTGATGCTGTCACTGGCGTTTCACGCTCCTCCTCTTCTGCTCCATTTTCCGTTGAGTCGTTAGTTTCTTCCATATATTCTGACTTTTCTTCTCCTTCTACTTTTTCAAAATTTCCCTTCTTCTTCAATTCATCCCCCAAGAAGTCGTTTGAGTTTTTTCCTTCCTCCGCTGTTGCTTTACTTGCCACTGACGCGCGCTCATTTATCTCCATCGTTTGTCGTTCATCAGCTGTTATCATTTGCTGACTAGTAATTGTCTCAACATCAACATCAGCACCAACATCGCCTCCAACTATTGCCATATTTTGCTCAAGCGTTGTTGTGTCGTGTTCATTTTGTATTTGACTTCCGTTTAGCTTAATTTGCCATTGGTTTTCGTTGGCTCGATTTTCATGCATTTCATTTTGCTCGCCTTGCGTCTCTACCAACGACTCGGCGGCGTTTATGCGCTGCCCTGCTTTTTGCTCATTCATTTTGGATTTATCAATTTTTATGACATTTGACGTGTCTGTGGCGGCCACTGGTGGCATTGCTTGTGTTTGCGCGCCGTCGACATCATCATAGCTGTCAACTAAATCACGCTCATTAATGTTATCATCAGTTGCAGCCTTGCTGGTATCGCTTTCACTGGCGCTCAATGCGTCTGCTGCGCCATTATGGCGATTGATTTGAAAATCATTTGCATCATCAACCCACTGATGGCGCGCTGTATTTTCTTCTGCGCCTTCATTTTTACTCAATTTAGTAAGCGGGGTTTTCAGCGCTTTATCGTCCATTTTATTGCCATCATTTATAGCAATGTTTTTGTCTATTTTAGACACTTTTCCCTGCTTTTCTTTCAAAATGTTTTCTTGGTCAAGTTTAGTCGCTTCTTCTACTTGCGCAACCATTACGGGCGGCCTGTCAATTTGATTATTGTCATCATCACTATAATCATTAATAATCACATCGAATAACTGCCCAGCCGCGGCGGCGGGTAAGACGGGCGCATGTATGGGGCGTCCCAAGTGTCTACGCAGGAGTTTGATATGTTTTGGCGCGTTGCCTTTCTGTGTACGCAAAGTGCGCTTGAGTGGCTTGGCGCTTAAAGTCTTCTCACCTGTCGGCGCGCCTATTTCAACTTTATTTTCGTTAAACGCTGCACGCGATGCCATGGATATCGCATTAATTTCAGTCGCCGTTTGAAAAAGAAGTTCGTTTGCATCTTTCTCAGCTTTGTTTAGAAACTCTGGGTCACTTACTTGGCGCTGCGTGTCATCGAAAATACAATCAACATCGCCATCAAACATATCAACAATATCAGGCACATGTTTTGGAGTTGGCGGCGAGCTGGTTTTAGATGAGTGTGCTTTGAATTCGCCAAACGCGCCTTGACTGTGTACCTCATCAATGCGCTCCTCTAGTGCGCTATTTGTCGCTTCCGCAACGCTTTCTCCATAACCAGACGAGCTACGCGCGTCATTGTCGCTTGTCATATTTAGCACTTCATTATGTTCAGCCAGGAAAGCCTTTAATAAAACTTTGCCAATCGTCGGGAATGTCTCTTCATTCTTTTTCTCTTTCTTATCAGCATACACCTCATCGTCAGCAGAAACGGTGGTCAGGGTAATTTCGCCTTTGTACGCCTTTCGCCACGACGTGTCATCATCGAGCGCCTGAACTACGTCGGCGGCAGCAATTTCTTTGTCATCATTAGTGCTTTGATTGAGATTTAATACTTTATTGATTTGCAAAGTTTGCTGCGCGTTGACAGACGAGTCGTTATAAGCGGCGCTTGGCGTTCGATTATTATTTTCATTGCTGTCACTGTGGGCAGCTTGCTTGGAATCTACGTTACCTTTCTCATACCCTTCCTTTTTCGACAGCTCAGGCGCTTTTTTGTCCACCGCCGTGTAGTTACTTTCAGCGCGCGAGTTGGTGTGCGCTAACAGAAGCGTTTGACACTTGTGTAGCGCGTCTGCTTCTTTGCAATTTTCTGTAGTTGGTTTTGACAGTTTTGCCATTAATGTTTTCGTTTCATTTTCATCTTTTGTAGGCTCATTATTCGCTGCCCCAGCTCGTGTTGAAAATGGAAACTCCACCTCGACATATGTTGGCCGTGCGGTGGAAGTGTCAAAAACTCTATCATCTACCGGCTGCTTTGTCAACTCTTTGAACTCATCATCGTCCCATGGTAACCTCACCGATTCGCCCTTTGTCTTTTCAGTAACTTCAAAGCTGTCAGCGACCCCAGCGACGTCAAGCGATGACGACACATCACTATCGCCCCCGCCGTTGTCCTTTATTTTTTCATCAACAAAGTCTGCGTTATTGGCTCTTTTCCGTTTACTCTCTTTATTGTTGTTGTTGTTGTCAACACTCGTATACGTTTGCCATTTGCCATAAGCGCCACCTCCAGCATTCTGCTCATGCGTTCCCGTAATTGAGTCGAGGCTTTGTTGGTCTGTCATTAAACTTCGGCGATAACGTTTCTTACGTGCACCATGTGGTTTTTGTTGTGGTTGTGGTTGCGGTTGTTTATATGACACTTGGTCTCCAACTTGTTGTTGTTGCTGTTGCTTAGGTTGATAAGCGTACGCATATCGCTGATTGTATTTTTGCCTTTGTCGCCATCTCTCGCTGTCATGATGTGCTTCGCGGCCACCTGCACGGTGTTGTTGTTGTTGTTCACGTCTTCTTTCATATTGTTCTACGCGAAATGAAAGCTGTGTCGTCACTGTTGGTATTATTTTTCGTTGCAGCGATTTTTGTTGTTGTACCTTTTGATATTCAAACGCGTTGTAAACGCGCCCACCATGCGGCCATGCGGCGGGCACTATAATTGCTGGCACATGGAATACCTCATTTCTTATGTCTAGAAATGGGGGTTGGTAGTTGGTGTACATACATATAAACAGATTTTTTCTTGAAAATATTTATCTTATTAATCTTAATTATTTTTAACATATTTCTGTATGGCCTCCTAAGCGCGCGGTATTTTTGAATAAAAATGTAAATTAAATACTTCGATTTATTTTTACTTGATTTGAAAGATTTCTTTCTTTTTATGTTAATTTAATTTCTGCTTCTTCAATTTCTTATCACCTCGTGACACTAATGAATATTTATTTATTTTTTTTCAATTCTTATAGGCTTTCGCACGCTTTGAATTACGCAAATTATGTTAATGTGAATGCCGTTAGACAAGTGGTTTGGGGGCGGGGAGGCGCGTGAAAATGTGTTTTTAATGCGATTTTACCAATGACTGATTCGCAAAGCCGCCTACAAAATCATCTCAAGCGGCGAAAAGGTGTTAGGAATGAAGCATGTGGTGGGAATTTAAAGCCTTGTGTGGCGTGGAGAGTACAAACGCTAAATTTGGTTTTTTCTCATCGCGGCATCCTGCTTTGGCTGTTTAGAGTTAGATGATACCTATTGGTATAAAATAAACCTACACATATATATTTATAAATATTTTCATAATTTCTCTAATTTCAAGACGCGTTTGCTGGCGGCGTCTGCGTCTTTGTGTCGCTTAGCATATTTCTTTAATTAATTGCATTCATTTGAGATTTAATTTCATTTCGCTTGGTTTCATTTTGTTATGGCTTCGGTTATTTGAGCAATCTGAGATGCGAGAATGAAAAACTATTGCGGCCTGGCAATTCGATAAATGTAATGGTTTTGAGGAAACCCAATACAAATTTAGAGCTCTGATATAAGAAGTGCGTAAAGCACTTTTTCTCATGCAACAAAAGAAGCAAATTCATTGTATCCGATATTTCAATAAGCGGATTAAATAAATTAAAATAAAATAAAATAAAAAAAGTGAAAAAATTATAAATTAAAAAATAAGGAGAAAAATAAAATAACATAAAAAAAAACAAAATTAAAACAAAATAAATTTAAATATTATGAAATTAAATAAAATAATATAAAATTAAAATAAATCAAAATAACATAAAAAGATTTTTATTCGAAGAAAACACAGCAAAAAAAATAAAAATAAAACAAACACCAACAAGAAGTCACAAAGACATTTTTGTGTATACATATATGTACATATATATTCACAAGTAAACGTTAATCTCACTTTTTTATTTCTCTATTTTTTATTATTTTTTTCTATATTTTTTATTCTTTCGCACTTTCAATTCGCCGGCGTCAATTTCCGTTATACAAAGTTGACCTGTAATTGCTGTGAGCTCCTGCTGACAACCGCCACGCTTTGATGAAGTATTTTCTAACGGTGTTTTATTTCGCAAATAACAATGGAGCATACATATTTTTGTAGCTCTTGTAGCTATTGTCGTGGTCTATTTATGGTTAAACAACTTTGTCGAAAGTGTCAACAGCAGACAGCGTTGAATAAATAAATAGAAAGCTAAATTGCAAAAAAAAAGAAAGAAAGACGAAGGAAAAATAAACTAAAGTATGAAAATTTTGGCAAAACAATTACTGATCCTTTGGCAAATACAAGCAGTGGAGAGAGAGTGATGGAGTGAAAAGAGGCAGTGCCAAGCGAATCAGTCACACCGAGCTGTCTACACTTATCCAGTAGACAACAACAGCTAACCAGACATACAGCCACAATGCCTAACAGCCAGACCCTCGCTCGGCGGCCGTTTCGCTTTTCAAGTGACAATTTTATTCATTTGATTTTTGTTTAAACTTTAGCCTGTCTTCATTATTTTTTACAGACACCATGTCTGCACACGCCACACCAAACCAAACTCACTTGCCTATGTCTTCTCGCGTTTACATTTCTTTAGCGTAATTTTCATTTCGTACTTCTTCATGACATTCTTCCTCGTTACGACGCGTCTATCGACACTTTCCACGATCTCGTCGCCGTACTTAACAACGGGCGTGCAAATGAAACTCATTTAAAAATAATTAAAAGTTGAAAATAATTACCTCCATTATTGGCATTTGCCAGCGATGAGGATGAGGGCGAAGACGCCACAGCACCGGTAGTACCCAAAGCAGCTATTGCCGATGAGGCGGATGCTGGCGATTGGTAGGCAGTCGATGATGGCAAAGCGCCGCCAACGCCCACGCCACCAATCATGCCGACGCCAGTGCCAATCATGTCAGCACTGCCGCCGCTTGCCGCCTGCGCCGCTGCCGCTTGGGATGCCGATATCGAGGAGAGTGATGAGGTTGCCGTTGATGCTGTGACCGTGGTGGGTTGTCCAAATTTCGTTAGATCCGTATTAGTGCTTTTGGCGGCCGTCACCTCGGATGCCTCATTGCCGACTAGAATTGTGCGTGGTTCGTCCATGGACAAGTGCAGTACGCCGGATACTAAATGAGGAAGAAAGAAAATTAATGAATACGAGGAGAGAGGGCACAAAATTTGATGTGTATAAATGGGTATTAATTGAAATAATTTTAATTAAATCAACAATTCAATTGAAAAGCTAACGAAAAGAGAGTGGAATTGGGAAGACTGTGTCTCACCATAAAGAACGATTGAAATCAAGCCCAGTAACGCAAAGACCGCCAAACAAATGTTGAGCGCACATCGCCAGCGATGCCAGCGCGCCGCTAAGCCTTTGCGAAAATTCATCGGTGTTGAGTAATGATGCGCAGGCATACTGCTCATAACACTGCGCGGTGGAAGACCCGGTCCCATGCAATTATTCGTGCTACGCTCGTAACCTTTAAGTGTGTCTTTTGTGGGTGTTGAGCAGGCAGAGCCGCTTTTATAATCGATGGGTGAACCTTTGTTGATATCTGCGTAGAAGAGAGAAAAAAGAAAATTTATTAAAATTAAAATTAATTCTTTGTACGATATTCTTTATTATAAAAATATCCTAGAACGAAACTCAGATATAATAAATATTGGCATATATTTTTTAAAAAGTGCAAACAATTGTTTATACAAAGAATATTGACAAAATTATAGTGAGTAATGAAAAATCGAAACGTTGTCTGCATTTTCGTAGATTTTCATTAGAAAACTTGTCGATACTGGTTGGGAAAACGATGCGTAGCGTTTCTTCCTTTGAAGAAAACTCACAATCATAACTTTGTACAATGAATTAAGATTACCCTAAAGAAAAAGATTTGATAAATAAACTCAGGAAAGAAAACTTTCAACTTTACCATATGATTAGGCGCAAAATTTTCGTGAACGAAAATTGGCAACGTTGCTAAGAAAAAACTTCGGCATAGATGCTTTCATCGAAAGAAGATCGATTGAATCTCGTTTTAAGGGTTATTAAGCGCAAACTTCACACATTTACATGTGCGTGTATATTAAAAAAATTGAAGTTGAAAATTGGCAACATGGCCTGCAAAAAGCGAATATTTTCAGCGTCCATTACCGAAACGATAAAAACTTAAATTTCGTTAATGGATACATTAAATTTGCATTACAGCATACTGCAGGAAGATTATGCCTTTTTCTAACGTATCGTTTTACTTTGAAATAGTAGTATCGAAATTACTCAAAAGGGAATAAAAAATGTGTATGCATAAAAAAGGGAATTAAAGTAAAATCAATTAAACCATTTGACCATGAAACACAACATAAAAATCCCCAACTTTTATTCCACTAATGTACTGCCATAAAAGAGAGCTGCCCGAATTGTAGAAAAAAAATTATAATAAAATAGAAGAGAAATCGCAGGAAATGTAATCAGAAGCCAGCAAAAAGTAGTAGAACCGTAAACAAGAAAATCAAACTGAATAAACGACAACTGTGGCGACCATTAAAATCACACCTAATTTTCCATACACGCACACCCCGCTTCACACAAAACGAAGCTGAATAGCGCTATAAGCAAATGGCGCTATCAAGGATAAGGATAAAAAAGCAAAACACTCTCTACTTGTGTGTATTGAATTAAAGAGTGCGACGCGGCGTTGTCCAACAAAAGTCCTTTCGCTTCATGTTTATGTCACGAAGAGAGTGACGCTGGTGTGGGTGATGGGTTTCACAACTGATTTGTTGAGCTCGGCAGCAGTGATTGAAGTTTTGCTTAAAGGACAAAAAAGGCAACGAATTAGTTGCTGGAAACGAATAAAGTGCGAGTTATAAATGTATATGTGCGTCCTCAGCGTGCCACCTCTCTACACCGAGCGAGCCTTTAATAGTTTCGGTGTGGCATGACGACTGCTGCTTATCGCCTTTTTTGGCTCAAATTTCATTTGTATAAAAGGATTTGCGCAAAAGGATAAACGAGCTGACAACGTACATAACCTCTACATCGGGCGGGAAGTATGAGAGAGGTAAAGGGGATTTAGACGCAAAAAAATATAACGGTATATATACACAGACGAAGGGCAAGTGCAAGACAGGCGAAATTAAATATATGCAAAAATTTGCCAAATGGACTGCTTTATTTTTATTTCATGTCCTTTACACTTACATTCATACATACGTACTTAAATAACACATACATATATCACAACAAATCAAATGGATTTGCAATCAAACTCAAATGACGATGTTGGTGCCTGTGGTAGAGAAAAAGCACCAGTGTGACACTGAAAAAAAATGAAATAGATATGAATGAAATGTAAAAAACGGAATTATAGAAATACAAAGGAAAAACAAGGAGTGTCATTGGAGAAAACCCCTGTAAGCCCTGAAACTCCAGATAATGTTGGGCAACAGCAGCAGAGACAAATCATTTGTTGACGCCATGATGATAATTCGATTATGTGACGTGCTTGGGTCGACAAAAAAAGGAAAAAAAAAAATAGACAAAAAGAAACCGCAACGGGGTAGCTTTGGCAGAAACACGCAGGAAATGCGAAACGACAAATCAAGCAAGCACTGCTCTTGCTATAATGGCGGAGAGTATGTGCGAGTCAATCGCATGGGTGCGGGGAGTGTCGTTTTATAAATATTTGAGTATTCATATATTCCTTACTTTAGTGCAAAGCTGCTGCTGCCGCCGCCGTTGCTGTCGCCGCCGCCGTCGCTGCGAGTAAAAAAGGAATGCGTGCTGTCTGCCAATGTGGACAAAAGACACGCAAAACGGAAACATGTCTGTCTGACTGTCTGTTTATCTCTATTCTACGTGTGCTCGCTGTCTGTCTAGGCGTATGAGCAACCATGTGGAAATTCAATATCGATAACATTTCCAAAAGCAAACTTATAATAGTTTAAATACATGTAAATGTTATGTGAATGATGAAAAAAGATGCACAGAGAGAAGAGGTGGTGGAGAAAGAGTTTAAGAAATTGGAGAAGGACGATGAGTCGTTCAACAAGGAACAGGAAATAAGGTGAAGAGAAAGGGTGGCAGCATTGTCAATAGTAGGGATCTTAATATCGTATATCGTAATATGTATGCATTTTTGTGTGGTGTGTCGATTTTATAGAGTATAGTACAAATTAGTGAATAAGTGTTATTCCAAGCATAATTAAATATGGTTAATGAAATGGTAAGGTAAATGGAGTTGAGTTGATTTAAAGAAGAATAATAATATCGAGAAAATAAGAATATTAATTTATTTAATATTTAAAACTGATAAAATAAAATCAGAAAATTTTTTATGTGCATTGAAGAACAAAAAAAGAAGATGCATTTATAGTTTTTATTTTTTATTTTAATTAAACTCTTATTTACGATTTAAGATTTACTAATCAGAAAACGACATCTATTTCTAGGCATTATTTTTAATCTTTAATTTTTTTTTAATTTTTTTGTTTATACAAAAAAAATTATGTTACTCATTTACTCATATTTTTACTTTTGTTACTGAATCCGCTATTACTTTTAATCATAATTAATTTATTTTAATTTATATTTGCATTCTCTAATTTCCTTTGATTTCACTTTTTACCTTTTTTCACTTTTACTTTGGTTTTGCTTTTTTCCTTTATATTTATTTTATATTTTTTTCAGCTTTTTAATTTTCTTGATTTTTTATTTGGCTTTTTTTACATTGATATTTTTATTTATATTTATCTTAATATTTTTCTACTTTATTTTCTTGTTTTTTCTTTTTCTTTTTGTTTTTTTTTAATTTTATTTGTATTTTTCTATCTTTTTTTAATTCTTGTTTTCAGTTTATTATTTTTGCCAACAATTTTTTTGTTTATTTTTGCTTATTTATTTTTCTTTCTTATTTAATTTTTACCTTTTTTATTTTCTTTTTGTTTGTTATGTTAATTTTTCATTTCATTTATATATTTTATTTAATTAATTTTCCGTTTTATTTGAATTATTAATTATTTTTTTAATTTTTATTCTCCTTGGGCATTGCTCCGAATGACAACTTTTCTCCAGCTCGTTAGATTATTTAGAATGAAGTTTTAATAAAAAAATATAAAATGAAATAAAACTTATTTTTAAATATTTTTTTCAATGTTTTGTTGAAAAACTAAATCTCTGTCGAAAATCGTAACCTTTGCACTTATGTATATGTCATACTGTCTCGCCATCTTTCAAGCAGTTGTAGTTGTTGCAAGTAAGCAATTTCAACAGGCACATTTATGTATTGTGTATATATACATACTTACATATATGTTTCATATTCAGTACTAAAACTCACATGCACACACATTTGGCACGCTTACAACGGCAAGCAAAACTTTTTACGCTCTTAAACATATAGCAGTATAAAACTAAAAATATCGAAATGCATGTGTATATGTATATACTGTCATACATACAAGATATGTACAATTTAAGAAGGCTATAAAAATCTGCATACATTTTAAGTCAAACATATTTGTATCAGTAAAATAAATGCAATATCACCGCAATAACATGACTTTTACATTTACCAAACTATACCACATACATATACATATATACGTATAAATCCGTACAACCATATCCATTTTTAGGGATCCTTGCTGTCTGCTCAACGATATTGCCATTTTTGCTGCCAATGTCATGGTCTGCGGTTATAGTACTAAGCACACACAGACATATACACACACATGCACAAAAATAAGAATACACAAACGCACTTTCACATACACAAACATACTAGAAGCTAGACATTTTAACATTTTTTTTGTATACAAAAAGTAATATATTTTATAGCGTACTGTATCATATTTTTTGTGCTTTTTTTGGAATTCTCTCGCTCTATGAACACATTGACATACAGATAAATAAATATTATAGTTTTTGGGTGCCTAGACAAAGTTTTATTGCACTTTTGCCAAATCTATTGAACATCAGCTATACAAATAGAATAAACTTTAAGTCGACCACATGGATATGTAGATAGACTGGTGTGAATGTGCGAAAAAAAATTACAAAATTTATTATTTTCTGCTCAAATTTGGTTACACTGATATATTTTTGCCGCTACACTGCAGCATTTGTGTCTCCTCAAGCAGATATAAAATTCAAGTTAAGTTGTATTTAAGTGCAGAATCATTTCGTTAGCAGCAATGCTGCAGAGAATACTCACAGCTATTCTAGTAATATTGCCTTTTTTTGATTAAAAAGCAAGGAAAAATGGAGAATCTCTCATTTTCTCTGTATTTGAGTCGCATAACGTACCTCTCGCACTTTGAGAGACACTAGTTTTTGTTTATTTTGAATTTTTGTGTTTTTTCTTTTAACTTTTCTCAACTGTTGAAATTTTATTGCCAAAACGTGTTCAAGTTACTTATGCATGCGTGAATAATTAAAATCCTTCGGCTTTGGCGCATTGCCACACTGCAGTGCAGCAACATACATAGCCATACGAATACATGCACACATTCATGAACGCATACATATGTACAAAATTTATAAGAGTAAAATATACTACTA